AAGAAGAGGGGAAAGCGAGACAAGGCGTCAGTGGAGTGCGAAGGCTGTGAAAAATGGGTGGATATCAGCGAGACACCGTTCGAATCATGCACGGAGGCGGAGAACAGTACATACAAATGTAAGGAGTGCAAGGAAAATGAGGTGAGAAGAATCACCTTGGAGGAGGAGATCGAACGGCAAGTTAATGCCTTGAGAGAGGCAATGAGAGTGAAGCTGGAGGAGGCAAAGACAGAGAGAGCGGCCATAGAAAGTAGGATGTTGGCGAAGCTCGAAGAAGAGAGAACCTTGAGAATAGCGACGGAAGAGAAACTGAATGCAATAATGCAGGAGGAAAGGAACAAGAGAGAAAAATTAGGGGAGGTGTTTAATGAATGGATGAAGTCATGTGAACCAGAGCAAATGACGGTCAACGGGGCTGAAAACGCGCCGCAACAGCTGGAACCGAGAAACGGGGTCAAAGAAAAGATGACATACCACACAGACGGGAAAGAGACAGTTAGCTTTTCCCAAGAACGGACGGGAAGTGGAGATCTGGATAAGGAGCAGGGGAGACAGACGACTGGAGGCCAAACAGAAAGAAGCCAGCACAGGAACTACAAGGAGGCCCTCATGAGGCAGAGAGCAGACCCAGATGACGGGACAAAGAAACAGGACAAAGAGAAGAAGGTGGACAAGAGAGTCTTAGTGGTAGGGGACACCAATGCCTTCAAGATAAAGAGAGCCACACTGAAGGTGGTAGATTACGACAAGAAAGTTCACTTTGCAACTAAGCCGGGAGCACAACTGAGAGAGTCACTCGAGAGAGCAGAGAGGGATGGGAAAATATGGAATGCAGAGGCAGGAGTGGTGGTCATACATGCGGGAGTGACAGACGTGCAAGGCGAAGAATCGGTGGAAGAAATGGCAGCGGAGCTAGGGAAACGGCTTGAGGACTGGACCACGAGAGCCCCGAAACATTCTTTTATGGTGTATGAAGTCCCAGAAATCAAAGACAAGGGGGACCCACTCAAAGAGAGGTGCGCCAAGTGGAACAGGCTATCAAGAGAGATCAGCCAGCAGCTGGGACCGAGGGTGGAGGTGGTAAAGAACACAGGAACGGGAAACGACATGGAAGATGGCTGCTACAACAGAGATGCGGCAATTGAAGAGGGACAAGCACTGGGTAACAGACTAAAGAGTTTTTTAGGACTGAAATGCAAGGGGAAAAGCGTGACACCGATGAAAAGGCGACAGGAAAGAATGGAAGGCAGGCTGACTCTGGACCAGAGACTACAGCGACTCGAGGAACAACTCCAGAGGATGTGTCCCCCACAGGGACATGCCCACTAAGAAGAGAAAGTAGGAGGGATGGTGCCTGCAAAAACACGAGAGGCGGAAAACACAAAAAGGCACCTGACCGGGAAAGAAGGAAAAACAGACGAGCAAAAAAGAAAAAGAGGGAAGTGAAGATTGCCTTTTTAAACCTACAGGGAGGAAGGAAAGCAGGAAAATGGGAAGAGGCCTTTCAGATGTTACAAGATGATAAGATTGGAATGTTCGCAGTCACAGAAACCCACCTCAGAGATGAAGAAAGACCCCCGGATTGCGAAGGGCTTTTTTGGGATGGGGTAAACAGAAAGGACAGTGAGAGAAGGGGAGGGGGGGTAGGATGCTTTAGCGGGCCAGGCTGGCAGAGAGAAAGTCCAGAGTGCAGAGAGCACATGTGGTTGACGGGGACACTGGCGGGGAGAAAGGTGGCAGTGGCAGTGGTGTACCTGTGGACGGGGGCAGACAGCAGGGAGACAAACATCAAGCTAATCAAGTGCATTGAAAAAGACTATCACAACATGGGGAGACCTACCATTATGGTAGGCGATTTCAACGCACACCTAGAGGAGTTTGATGGGAGAACAGACGGTAATGGAAAGCTGCTGCAGGACATGGCGGAACACCTGGATATGGTAATCGTCAACACACAAGATAAATGCATAGGAAAGACGACATGGACGGCCAGAGGGATGAGCTCTACAATCGATTATTGCCTGGTGTCTCCGGACCTGTATGAAAAACTGAACTACATGGAGATAGACGAGGAAGGCGACAAGAGCTTGGGAAGTGATCACAACAGATTGCTGATCACTTTCGGAGGAAAGCCGACGGAAAAGAGAGTCAGCGAACCTATGAGACCACACCACATAACGCAAGCAGAAGCACAAACCATTGCGCAGAAACTGGAGGAAGAGGTGGAAACCAGGCAGGTGGAGACGTACGGGAACCTCATGCGGTGGTGGAAGGACCACCTGGAAAAACTGAAACGACCGACACGAGGGAAGCGGAGGAGAAAACGATGGTGGGATGTGGAGGTGAAGGAGGCCATTACAAGAAGGCAACTGGCAAACAGGACTCTGCGAGGGACCATCAGAAAACGAAAGGAGGAGAAGAAAGCCCCCCTACAGAAAGATTCAAGAGAATGGAGGGAGTACCAGAGCAGGAAAATAGAGGTGACAGCTTTGATTCAAAGCAAAATGGCCAAGGTAGATAAGATATTTTTGGAAGAACTGAGAGAGGCAGGACGTGAGGCCCCACTGAAGTTCTGGCGACATGTACAGGGCCAAACAGGTCGACCTAGGGAGGATGCTGTAATCAAAGACGATGCAACGGGAAAGGAACTGGACCCTGGAGAGACTAACCGGTACATTGAGAGGTGGATAGGGGACATGTTCACAGGGGACAGCCGACAAATGGACAGTGAGGAGGGGGAGACGGAGGACGAACTGCAGGAGCAACCGAGCAGAGAGGAAATCACGGAGAGGGAGTTAAATAGAGCAGTCAAGAGGATAGGAGGAACCACAGCCACTGGAATGGACGAAATCCTAATGAGGCTGGTGAAGGAGCTGGGGCCAGAGACGAGAGCACTGCTGCGCGAGATCCTCAACCAGATCCTGAAGGAGGGATGGGTGCCGGAGGAGTGGCGAACCTCAAGACTCAGACTCATCTACAAGGGAAAAGGGCAAAAGTCAACGCTCGGAAACTACCGCCCCATAGCCATCACATCGGTACTCTACCGCGTGTTCACACAAATAATACGAGACCGACTGCAGACATGGGCAGAGGCAGAAGGAGTCCTGGGGGAGCTGCAGAATGGGTTCCGGTGGGGGAGACGCCTTGAGGACAATTTATTCGTGCTGACGCAGGCCATCGAGATTGCCCAGAAGGAGAACCGCCCCCTTTACCTCTGTTTTCTCGATATCAGCAAGGCTTACGACACGGTCGAACATCGAAAACTGTGGACGCAGCTGGAAGAGCGGGGACTCTGCAGAGAGTGGATAGACCTCTTGCGAGAAGTGTACAGAGGGACGACGGTGGTGGCACAGTGGCAGCAGGAGACAACACATCCAGTGACCTGCTCCAAGGGCTTGAGACAGGGCTGCCCGCTGTCGCCGCTATTGTTTATGCTGTACATAGCAGGAATCGAAAAGCGGCTGCAGGAGAGTGGGGAGGGTTTCTCACTGGAATATTCGGAAGGCGGGGAAAGGAAGGGAGGAAAACTCCCGGGACTCATCTACGCCGACGATATGGTGCTGATGGCGGACTCGCTGCAGGGCCTGCAGGGGCTCATGAACGAGTGTGGTGCAATGGGAGAGGCCCTGGGGCTTAGTTTCAGTTCGCACAAGTCTGGGCTGATGGCCTTTGGGGCAGCAGAGGAAAACGGGACCGCCAACCTGTCCATTCAAGCCAATCCTGTACCTTGGGTGGACCACTACAAATATCTGGGTGTAAACCTACAGAAGGGACACCACTACCTCCTAGAGCACGAGACGAAGGTCAAGGCGAAGAGCAGGAAGAACAAGGGCATAGCAACGGCCAGGGCCCTCTGGGGATATAACCGATACGAGGTAACCTGAGCGGTCTGGAAGATGGTGGCGGTGCCGGGGCTCACTTTTGGCAACTCAGTGTTGTGCCTGTCATCAGGTACCAGGCAATACCTCGAGGTCCGACAGAGGGAGGTGGGAAGGACGGCACTGGGAGCAAGCCGAACAGCACCGAACGAAGCCGTCCAAGGAGACATGGGCTGGTCCGGTTTTGAGGCCAGGGAGGCCCGAGCCAAGCTGGACTTCGAGCGACGCCTCAGCCGGATGAGCGAAGAGCGTTGGGCCAGACAGGTCTTCAAGTATGTACATCTTCGGTCCGTCCCAACCCGGTGGGTGCGACGGACGCGCCAGCTGGCACAGCGATACGAGGTCAACGGCCCACTCCTCTACCCAGCCGCGGAGCAGCCGGAACTGCAGCAGAGCATCCGCACGAGGGTGATCGAGAGCGAGACACGGCGATGGGCGGAAGCGGCACGTCTGAAACCAGCGCTGGCCCTGTATGCCAGAGAGAAACAGGAGGTGAAGCGAATACCTTTCGTGGACAACAGCAAGGGCAGTGCACTGCTTTCGGACGCCCGAGGCGGCATGCTGCGGACCCGCGTTTTCCGCGCGAAGTACATGGACGTGGAAGTGAAGTGCGTCATGTGCGCGCAGGGAGCAGACGAGACGGCGGAACACGTCATACTGGAATGCACGGGTATAAAGCCGGACGTGACGTACGAACCAGACATGGCGGTGGCGCTGGGTTTCCGGGGCGTTGACGAACAGTACGACGCCGACAGCTCGCAGCCAGTGGAGGTGACAAAGAGGAGACTGGAGTGTTGGTGGAGGAGAGCAAAAGAACACAACTACGTTTTTGGCTAGTGTAGCTACTAGCCAGGCTAGATCCAGCGCTGCTGAGATCCCCCGATACAAAGGGGTTAGCCCCAAATCCAATCCAATCCAATCCAATGTCAGGGCACGAGTCTGGCAAGCGTGGGCACGGCTTAGCAAGGCTGGACTATCAGTCTTCTAGCGCGGGCAAAAAACTGATGTTTCCCCTCGTTCCGGTAGTTCCACAATTCTGCACGGCGACTGCACGGCGTGTAGAGGAATCAGATTTTGAGGAAATCCATTTCTTTTCCTAACGAGCTACCTCTGGTTTTGCAGGATGGCAGAGTATGCCGAGTCTCCTTTTCAGTCCTGACAGACCGCCTGGACCTGAGCAAAAATGAGATATCTAAAGTGTAAGTATTGCAACTCAAGTTCTGGTGAGCACGTTGGTGACGGTGAAAACATCAGAAAGAATAACCAAAGGGAATAACCAGGACGCAATGTCTCTTCTTGTCTGTCCCTTTGTTTATTCTTTCTGATGTTTTAAGTATTGCAACGTTTTGTTTTCTTGAAATAGTTGGTCTCAGTTTTTGTGCCAGTTCCGAGCGAAAATGTGGAAGTGTTTCTCTTTTATTCTTTATCACTAGAGTCATCGAATGACCGTGACCGACAGCCGAACGTGTGGCCACTGCATAACTGTCATGTTAATTTTTTTAAGTATTCCTTTTCTAAGAATTTTTTTGCAAGTTGGGACAAGATTGAGAGTGCACTTCATTTCCTTGAATATAAAAGATTTATTGTGGAGGTATGATATAGATTGTTTTTGGCATACCTGTGTTCACTCCATTGTCGAAGTGTATGAAGTTGCCTTTTACGCAGAATATGCTTTATCAGTCGATTTTCATGTAGTTCTCTAACGTCTCTAATGCCAGCTGTAATGCTTTGCTGTCACAGTCGGCTGTAACAAAAAACCGACACCGAAAAGCGTACGCCCATAGGGAACCATATAAAAATTACGCTAGCTTGATTATGCTGACAAAGACTGGTAAGTACAGAACGTCTGATAGGCCTCTCAGGAAAGAAGAGAAAGGCATCTGAAGGGCACCACCTATCGGAGATTAATCTCATTTCTGACGGACGCTGCGAGATGGTGCAGCACGACAGGAAAGGCCGCAAAGCGTGCAACCACACCTTTGTGCCAATGAGTTTGCTTTTCCGTCCTCCGACCACCGACCCTGGGTAGCTCAATCTGCAAAGCACTTGGCTCAAGATCTCGAGGTGGGCAGTTGAAGTCCCGACGGGGTGCTGAAGTCTTTTTATATGGGCGTAACGCATTTCGGTGTTGGTTTTTTGTTTAAGCCAAAAGTTACAGAACCCCATAAAAATTGGCTGATAAAACACATTCTGTGTTAAAGGGGCACTGACACCCCAAAGGTCGTATTTATTTTTATTGTCTAAAACGATGCAAGTTGCAGTCATAGACACGCAAAAAAAACCGCATCGCGAAAAAAAATTTTTTCGCGCGCTCGCGCGCCTTTTTATTTTTGGCGTTTGATTTTCCCGCATCTCGCCTCCTCGCTTCTTTTGATCGGTGACGTCAAAAATCAGGAAATTTAGAAGCTTTGTAGGCGACATCTCTATAACATTTAATTACGGCAATCCTAAAACATGTTTTGTAACGCAATTGCGAACGCACTACGGCCCTTCTTTTTGAAATACCAAAAATCGGGAGTTCGTTGTGGTGCCGTCTCCTGGATTTGTATCCTCCAACGGAAAACAGGCGACACCGCTCAAAACCGGTCCGCCGCAACGCCGGGCGCTCGCTCCTTTCCTCCTCGCTTTGGGTCGCCATGGCAACAGCAGGGAGTGGTGAAAGGAAGTCGACTCTCAGGTCTCCGCGATTTTTGACGTCAAGGCACCGGCGCCGATCGCGCGGGAACTTCGAATTCGGCATTTGGAAATTGTTTTTTTACTTCACGAATACTGAATTCCCAAATCTCAAATTTTGAGGGTAATGTCCCGGCATCGTTTTCAATCGTTTCGGATAATAAAGAAAAATATGATTTTGATGTGTCAGTGCCCCTTTAAGACTTCAGTCCCCTGGCAGGATTTAATTCGCCACCTTGAGATTGTGAGCCAAGTGCTTTGCCGACTGAGCTATCCAGGGTAGGTGGTCGGAGCACGCAAAAACAGTCATTGGCGCCGCTTGTGGAGGAGTGCTTGCGGTCTTTTCTATCCTGTTGCACCATCTCAAGGCGTTTGTCAGAAATTAGAGCAAATATTTGGTAGACACCCTTCTCTTTGTGAGCATGTAAAACTTATACAAAGTTTTGGTTAATAATCTTGAATTTACCAAAACCTTACGTAGGTTATCTTTCCTCACATCTGGCGTGCAGTGTGCGTATTTCCCCCCTTCCTGCAGTGGCCTCGTGTACTATTTAGTAATAAATAATTATTGCACTGAGGTTTGTAATTGAGGACAGGTTCCTCAACGGAAGTCCCCGGACATTTCCAGTCCCTAACACATCATTCCGATGCCCCTCATCACAGCCTGCTGTCCAGCGCCGCCTCCCACCACCATTCCAGGCTGAACCTGAAAGGGGGCGGGGTCAGTGGGAGTGGTGCCTCGGGCGGAGCGACCGGCGGAGGCGGAACCGCCCCTTCCGGCTCCTCCTCGTCGGGCACGTCCGGGTCGAGGTCCGCGGCCAGGTCGCGCGGGCGCATCCTCCGCTCCACGGCCTCGAGGGGGCGGGGCTCAGGGGTCATCATGGGGTCGCGGCCGGTTGTGCCCGCCCCTTACGTTCCCGAGGAGCTCGTGTCCCAGGTGCGTGAACCGCGCGCGTGTGTGTTGCCGAGCGGGGAGAGAAGGGGAGGACTCTCAAACCTCGCCATTGTCGCCGACGGTATGAGAACGACAGGAATGCCTTTCAGTGGTCCTGCTTATGGCGCTCACTTTCTGGTTTCGGCAACGCTTTGGCCCGCCGTGGGCTCGGAGCGTGCGTGCACAACCAAAGCCCATCGGAAGGCAACGAGGCGTGGCGGAGGCCGAGCATCAGGAATAGACACCCTGCCATTCTCATTCCGTCAGTTACTATGGGGTGTATTCAGGTGCGGCGTGCGAACGACGCTTTCTGGGTCGGACGCCATCTTTGCATTTGTGACGGCACACGGCTGCGGCCGCACGGGCCATTCTATGCAGTGGATCTTTCTCTAGTCCAGTTGACACCGCTCTTAGCAGTGCTAGTATGATGTCTGAGATAGTTGGCTGCCACACTAGGATGCAGTCGAAAAAGACAAAGGCTGCAAACTCCTGTATTTCTTCCTTTTCTTTCGAACTCTTAAGAGAACGAACACGCGAGTGTGGAAAGACTCGGCCGCTCTCTGCGAGAACACGAATGGATCGTATGCATTGACGGGACGTATGTCAATCCGGATCTCGTCGAGTACCGGGTAGATTCGAGAAACTTTTTCTCGGGTAAGTGTTGGCATAGTTTCCTTTTGTTTGACATTATTCGATTTAACGTGACGTACCAGTATGCTAGGCTTAACCTCGGCCAAAGTTTGGTCAATCGCTGTTTTCTGCCAGCTGACGACGATGATTTTCCGCCTCGATGCAATCCCTAACATTTGTCCTCGCCGTTGGTTTATGGCGATGAAATGCTTTGGTATTGCTGTGATGCGGAGAGACATGCTCATAAACGGAGGTTTTTTCCTATGTCCACTTGAGGCCGCTGCTATGAGAAGAAGCTCGCATTTAAGTCGGCCTTGCACACTGATGCGGCATGTCGGACAAACGCAGACTGTGAAGACACATACCCAGGGCAAAGGGCCTTGAACAGACTTGATTAAGGTGATGTAGTGCAGTTGGTTCATACTGACAAAAGGGGTAAACGGTGCCCAAAAAACGGACAAACTAGAAGTGCACATAAGACAAGCGCTGACTCTCAACTGAACTTTAATAAAACACAAAATCGGCAATACCGAACACATCACGGGATTGTTGATTGACCACCCAGTGATGTGTTCGGTGTTGCTGATTTTGTGTTTTATTAAAGTTCAGTTGAGAATCAGCGCTTGTCCTGTGTGCACTTATACTTTGTCCCTGTTTTTGGCTCCTTTTGTCATACTCAATACTTGTCGATATATTTCCCGTTGATGCACGTCAGTCATTTGTGTTCTTACTGAGAGCGGAGGAGCGAGCAACTATTCACACTCGCATGCTCATACTCTCGGGAGTCATAAAAAAATGGCAGCCTACTCACACTGCAAAGAGTGGTGTCACCTAAGCCAGAGAAAAATCTGCTGCGTGGAGCGACCCGTGCGGCCGCAGCTGTTTGCTGTCATGGATGCAAAGATTGTGATCTGCCCAGAATGCACAGCTCGCAGGCTGCACTTGATTACATGCTGAAACTGTTGACTTAAAAGTGGTGAGGGGATTTGTGATAAAAAATTACCCAGCAAACTAAAGAATAGAAAGGGAGGTAGTCATTGCTGGAGGTTCTGAGCAGCAGGTTTTATAAGGCATAGTCTTTGCTTCAGGGTTTGAATATTGTTTTAAAATACTGCTGACCAATTTATTCAGTCTCTGTAAGTCTGAGAATATGAAGCTTGAGTAAGCTTCGTATTCACAGCCATTCCCTTTGCCTGTACAGCAGAGGGAATGGTTGTGGCAAATTGTAAACACTGGAGGGTACATGAAGAGATATATTCTGGCATCTGAACTTGTGACTGGTGTCTAAACTCACATGGTTCTTTTCTTCTTCCCCAAAGGCACAGGTGGTGCTTCAAGGAAAGTCCCGCAATCTCATCATACGAGAGCTGCAACGCACCGTGAGTTGCCCAGACGTTTTGTCTGCCACCAGTTGCTTTTGTTTTTTGTGGCGTCTAAGTGCCGATTTTCTCTGTGCAGAACTTGGACGTCAACCTAGCTGTGAACAACCTGCTCAGCAGGGACGACGAAGACGGAGAAGACGTCGATGACGGCCAAGAGTCCTACATGCCCGGAGGTCAGTCTCTTTTGATTGTGAGATTCGGGGCCCTAAAGTCCGTGTAAAGATAACTGTGATGTGATCATTTTTGAATTTTGTTGTTGACATAAGAAATGTAGTCAGACTGTGCGTCTGACTACATTTAGAGGCGTCCATTAATTGAGTGCTCCTGACAGAGAAGCGGCTCCTTGCAGACGACCTGATCTCCCTGCTCGACGCCGGCATCCACGGGGACCACCCAAGTGTGATCATCGACGCCGACGCCATGTTTTCGGAGGACATGTTTGGCTACGCCAACCTCCGTAACCGCACCGGGAGTAGGGGACGCACGGGTGAGCCTCTGTCGGTTTGGCAGTTTCTTTTATCTTGGCACACGGGGCAGCCTGATCTTGTGTGCTTCGGTTTTGTGATTCATCCGGACAGATTTGTGATGGGATGCTTTTTTTTTTTACTTATCATCGAAATCCATTCCTTTTTAGCAGAGACATTCTACATCTCTCTCATAGGCATTCGTGGAGAGTATGAATTTTTTTCTCCCCAGCTTTTTGAGCACTGTTGTTCTGGCCAGCTTCAGGTGTGTTATTGGCATTATACAAAGGTTTCACGGTAAAGTATTTGAAGCATAATTGTTACTGCTGTCAACAAACATTAATGTGCAATTTTTTTTTTTTTTTTGGTGCAGTCAGTTGGAGGTTTTGGTTTTTGATGGCACAGGGGCAGAGTGCCGGTACACGGTGGCACCTTGTGTTTGTGGGTTCGGGTCCCAGCCTTGATGCCTAAGGGGGTTATTCACTGGCTGCTGTAGCTCTGCAGCACTGTTGTGCGAGTGCCAAGTGCGAGCTTTCGCCGGATTCATATTGCACCATCACAGCTGCTGCTTTTGGCAAACCATAAGTCACTTTACCCTCAACTTGTGCTTATGACCAGGTATGAACACCTGTTGTGTGTCAATAACTGATTGCAGTGTGTGTAATACGTACTTAGATTTCCGATAGCATATTCAACGTTTCCTGTTTGTCTAAATATATATAGAATCCTCCGGGCTGTCCCAGGTTCATCATGCTTTTACTGGTTTGTTTCCATTCCCATTCTTTTGGCAAATCTTTGTCTGTCAGTGCCAGAAAACTAATGGCACCTGGGGACGGGTTTCAGGGGATCAGGATCGAGATCGGGACAGAGACAGAGACCGCGACAGCCTGTTCCGCGTGCGGGAACGCCACTACTCGGGATCCCGCCGGTGGCTTGAGTCCGCCCTGCGGGACAGCAGCTCCGACTTGGCCGATGCCAAGAAGCTGAACCCCCTGTGGCTCTCCGAAGAGCCCGAGTTCTGGCCCGAGAAGGTGAGCGCTGGGGATTCACTCTTCCGACCTTCATTGCGAAAGAAATGGCACGTGCATTTGCTCGGCGGGGGCCGAGAGGTGTGCTGCTTTTCACGCTGCGTGTTCTGGCTCTTCCTCCGGTGCATAGGGGGTCAAGTTTGTGCACATTGCATCTTTGTACTCGGAGCTGGTGGCCCTGAGTTCGACGGGACAGCTTCACCAGTGGAAGTGGACCGAAGCAGAGCCCTACAAGAACTGTGACGTAAGTTCCCTAGCTTTTGCATCGGCTGGGCTTAGGGGATTCTCCGTAAAACGAAATGGCACGGAAGGCCGTTTGGGGAACAATGACATTCTTTCCTCGAATCCTCGAAATGGTTGGCCCTTCGTGATATCTAGAACACCTCGGCTTGTTACGAGTTCAGCCAACTGTACCTGTAGCGTTGCACCATTCTGTGCGCTCATTGTACGAGATCTGTTTATATTTTTTTTTATCTGCAAGAACGAGTATTACCGATAGCGATTTGCAAATCAGCCCAAATGTATGGCGGTGAATGGTGCACGGCACACTCTATTCCAGGGGGTGGCAGCGCTTGATGTAAGAGCCACTCCAAGACGGCTGCTGGAACAGCTTTACTCCCCACTGCTTTCTTTCTCACGGTTCACGGTCGCACATCGTTTGATCGAGTTTCGAGATCATGCTGGAGTGCCAACTGCGTTTCTCTGTATTGACATGAGGGATCCGGGCAGTTCAGGTTTTCGGTGCTCGTGTATGGCCATTCTTCATCCGAAAGCAACCAACAACTGCTCCACTGGTTGCAAGTTTGTCCCGTCAAAGCGGGTGGTGCTCCAGTGGCGTCCGCAACGGTGAAGGACCTTAAATGTGACAGTAAATTAAGAAGCTTCCGCATGCCGAAGTCCGGATAGGTCTGGGTATCTTGCGGAGTTGGAGATCAGGCTTGCAGCATACGTCGCAGAAATGCGTAATCGGTCCTTACCCGTGACGTGCGACATGACCACCGAGCAGGCGCGGAAGATGCAGTTGATTTGTTCATTTGGGAAGTGCAAGATTTCGTTGGGCGACGCTGGCGATGTGCTTTGAGAATGTAGTAGCGATGACGACGGGAACGACAGCACCAGTGCAGACGAATCATCATCTCTAATCGCAGACCGAGTGAGAACGATGGAGCAGCTTCAGTTGTCCCGCCTGCAGCGCAAGCTTCCTAGTTTTGATAACGATTGAGCATCTCGTGTGACTCGCACCTGCATGAGCAACCAAAGCACGCCAGAGGGCATTGAGCGTCCGCTTGAGGCCAGGCTTTCGAAAGAAACGCCCCGCCTTTTTTTCGCTGACGTGCAATGTGGAGGGGCATGACTTACAATCGTGTAAATGTGGTAGGTAGCTTCCTTAGCTTTGCATCAGCTGGGATTTAGGGATGCACTGCAGGTTGAGAACTTCAATCGAGGGCTTTTAGGGGGAATGAACGACATTCTTTGTCACCTGGAGAGAGCTTTCATTCTTTGTAGTGAATGACCTTTACCAGACTTGCGGGGATTAGGAATCTCCAACGTGTCGCTTGGACGCGTGCAAACGATTGGCGGCCCGTGTCTCGTCCCGCAGCAGCCGAGCGTCCACCACCCGAAGACGCTGTCGCTGGGGCTGGTCGGGGAGCGGTGCGTGCTGGTGGAGGCGAGGTGCGTGCGGGCCACGGCAGTGACGGAGTCAGGTCGGGTGGCCACCTGGCTGGACGACACCCTGGCGGCCGTGGCGCCCCGCCTGGAGCAGCCGGCCCAGGCCTTCCCCGAGTTGCAGCAGGACCCCGTGGTGGCCCTGCACGTCTGCTCGCTCTACTCGTGCGTGCGGCTCCAGTCGGGGGCCCTGTACTGGTGGGGGGTGCTGCCGTTCAGCCAGCGCAAGAAGCTCTGGGAGAAGGCCACCTCACGAGCCAAGAAGCACAAGGTGTCCAGCCACGCCTCGGAGATTGTTGCCGGCTCACAGGTGTGCATGCGCAACAGCCCCATGTACCACCCGGGGGCCCTGGCCTTCACCACGGCAGGGGGCCTGCCCAGGGTCGGCCAGTTGCTCTCGGCCGCCTGGAACCTGCCCGACACCTGCCACTTCAAGATACTCAGGTGGGCTGCACTTCCAGCACCTCCGCAAGCAGCGGCTACCTTTTAGTATGATTATTAAATAAGTGGACAATAATAATTTTACGGATAAAGTCGGTATACATAATATATGTTTCCGCTGCATTGCTTCGGGCTTGTGGTGGAGTTTATTTTGACGGGTCTATATTAACCTCTTAACCGTTTTAGAGCGCAGCTCTTGGGCACCCGTTTCCGGCTTGAGCTGCGTCGCCGCTGCCGTCGGCGTAACCGCGCAGTGCATTATGGGACGTCTGATGTTATTGGTGACGTCATCACGATGACAATGACGTCATAGTGATGCAGGGTGTCTAGCGACCGGGAAAACCGGGAATAGTCAGGGAAATTTTAATTACTGGGGAAACATCAGGGAATTGTCAGGGATATTGTCAAAAAGCGAGCCCAGTCAGGGAAAATGAGCCGGAAATGCCATCGGGTGCCCTGAGCAAAGACTTGAGGACTTGGGGGCAGAAAAATAGGCAATAAATTCTGCTTAAAGCGGAGCACGGGCTCTGCTCACCCGATGCAAATGGAACAGCCGTCAAATCCAGTTCAAGCCTTGGATTGGATTGAGGGCGCAGCACTAGATTTAGTAGCAAATAAAAAAGCCCGCAGACCCCAATCCAATTCAAGCCGAAAGTATCCGAAAGTCTGGCGGCCATGTTGCCATTCGGTTATTGGTGTGTGTGGTTGAGCATCGGGTTTTCATTCTATTTCCGGAAGCAGGCTCTTCACTGACGATGTCAGTGGCAAGAAAATGCTTGTTTAACCCGGACTGGACAAACCCGAATATTTTGGAATATGCAAGTTGGATTAAGCCCGTGCAAAATGATCCTCGCAGTGCTCGATGCTCAATGCCTTATGTTGTAGTGGTCTTATATATTTGACCGCCTCTACAGTGGTCAGGGAACTTCAAAATATTAATTTGCTAGACACCTTGGTGATGACATCGTCATGTGACCTCACAGGGGTCACGTGACCCCGGTGACGTCACGTGACCCTCGTGAAGTTACGTTACCCTCGTGAGACGACGGCGATGCCGCTCGTAGGGGGAAGTAGCAGACAGGATGAGGAGGTGAGGAGGAGGCAGAAGGGGGTATACTCTAATTAGACATGAGGAAGATACATAGAAAGGGGGGACGGACAACAAAGTCTTCCAACTAGCAACAACATTTATTGACCCGAAGTTTGCATATATAGGTGAAGGAGGGGAGGGTGAAAGACGCTACACTGGAAAGTGAGAAAGCGATGGGAGAGGGTGCAGAGCCAGGGAAATGAGGGACGATCCCGTGGGGTAGACATCTAATCGCTTGGAACCGCGGAAACGAGGGACGTCAGCTCTGGCCCCAGGAAGTTTATCTCCCTCCTGGATAAGCCTATGGACGGGGATCCGAAGTTGCTGTGACTGTGGTGCATGGCGAAGGCCTCCATGATCTCTTGTCCGTATCTTGAGGCGTGACCTCCAATCCTGGTGGTCGAGGGAAGGTCGGCCGAACAGGGTACCCTTCCGTCCTCCTCAAGAGCTGTGCTCTATTTCGGCATTACAGGGAGTTGTAAACGGCTTTAATTTTTTGTTTCTGGAAATTTCGGTTACATTCGTTGCCTTCAAATTCAAATTTATAGCCAGAAACAAAACAAAAAAAAAAAACCCACCAAAGTTTGAAGAAGAAAAAAAAAAAATTTGGTGCTGCCATTTGTTTGATGCTGGCATTGTAACCTAAGCCACGAGCAAGCTTGGTTTGTCTAAAAAGGTAGAGTACACGAACCGGCAAATGCGGGCGGGCTACATTCATCCCAACGGTTAGGAGACGGCTTCACGTAGACGAACTAGGCTCCTCCAACACAATTAACAACACTCGGACCGCGTCTCTCTCCACGTCGACTTGTAGCGAGAAGAAGACCGAACCGTCGGACAGCTCAGCGCCAGGCAGCAGCAGTGGGGGTGGTGGCGCCAGCAAGGGGGTCCTTCCGAATGAGGGCAAGGCCTCTGACCGGGCCGAGATGCCCCCACCCCCGTCCCCCGCGTCATCGACGTGCAGCGAGCCGGCGCACAGCCCGCTGCCGCACAAACGCAAGCACAAGGCCAGCACCTCTTCGCTAGACGCTGCCTCGGAGCGCAGGGACGAGGAGGAGTGGCAGCTCCGCGACGTTGTCTTCGTAGAGGACGTCAAGAACATCCCTACGGGCAGGGTGCTCAAGGTGCTGTGGTGCTTTCGCACTTCTCTCGGGACGGGGGCTTTAGCGGCGGCGTCCTCAAACTGTGGTTTGGTGCCGAGAGGGTTTCTTTTTAAATGTAGCAACAATTATCAGTTTGTAATAAGTCCCGCGTACCGTCGCATACCTTGCAAGCACGAAAGGCCCGCCTCGCCATATTTGGCACGCCTGCCGGTTTCTACGGGTGCTTCGGTTCAAAATGAGAACTGAAACGGGAAGTTTCGATTTCAAGTGTTGCCTACTGCAACACCTGTGGGGACATGGTGGTCGAGGTATATGTGGCAGACGCGTGTTTTGCGTCGCCGCCACGATGGCGACTCTTGCGTTTGCTCCTCTCTTCAGCCAGAGCTTCCACAACCGACTGCCGGGGACGCAACACCCGACAGCATGATGCATGCTACATGATTTGTTGCCTTCTCGGGACCGCTTTCAATGCGTGGAAAGTGTAGGACGATAAACACTCCGGTCGGAGACTCGTTCCAGCCTCGATGTTGCTGCTTCCGTTTGCGGTGCATTGTATTGAGGAGGACACTAAGATGTAGGAAGCTCCTGGAGGCGACATGATGCCACCAGAGGTGAAGCCAGAAGTGTGGAGGGACACGCCCCCAACGATGAACAAAAGCCCTGATGTTTCGGTCACCCGAGGGTGACCATATCGCCTCCAGGAGCTTCCTACCTTGATGGTGCAGGGCGTGGTAGCTCGTGCGGCGACGTCTTGCTGAACGAGTTTTGGGTTTCCCAGGTGGACGGTGCCTACGTCGCCGTGCGTTTTGGCCGAGAGAGCGGACCCGGGGAGGACCCACTCCAGGAGTGCCGTCTGCTGCGGAGGGACGAACTGCAACCCGTCAAGGGGTCGGCCACCCCGCGCCTGCCGGACTGCCTCCAGCGCTGCCCCAGGAGGGTCTGCCTGCCGGACAGCACGCACATCCTCGCCATGACTGTCGATTCGCAGGGTGCGCATCCTTCTCTTTTCTTCCTTGCCCTCTCTGTTGCCTGCCATTCTAGTGGGGAATACGTTGCAGTGCTGCGTAGGAAGGGACTGACGCAGAAAGTGACAGACACAAAACAGCGTTATGGAAGTGACCTCGTCAGTGCCACATTACCATCATCTACATACAAAATTCAAAACTTAGCGGTTTTTGTTCACTCGTTTTCTCTCAGAATTTCAATAGCCGTTGCACTAGTGTCGTCGCCGCGGCGAGGCTCTGTCGCAAGTACGGCCTTACCACTATTCACGGTGGAAGCGGATCCGCGTTCGCAAAGCGGTTGCGAACGCGACTGTATAAAGATCCAGTACAATTGCACGCACACTTGATTTCATAGAGTGTGCGTGCAATTGCACTGATCTTTATACAACCGCGTTCGCAACCGCCTTGCGAACACAGATCCACTTCCACTGTGAATGGGCGGTTACACCCATTGGCTGGCGTTCATGATCGTACAAACATGGCGACAACCTGTTGCATTCTCGTCAGAACTCGCGGTATCAGTCTTGGTACATGAACGATTGCACCGATATTTATCAATTCAAGACGCGCTTCCATCCAATGTATGACAATTTTGTCAGGTATGACCAAAGTAGTGTTTCGTTCCACTCAGAGGACCATCCTATTTCTCCTCCCTCTCTCAATGTTTTCTATTTTGGTCCAAAGAACTGACCTTTAGAGAATCGGAGGCCATCATCTGTACAAAACCATATTACCTCAAAGACGAGATTGTCACATGGGCGAGCTGCTTTGGGTCAGATACACAAACCGGAAACGACAAACAGAGAAAAAGATCAACATACAGTAAAACCTCGTTATAACAAAGTTGAAGGAGCGATCATAATTATTTCGCTATAACCATTAGTTTGTTATAGCCAATGTCCATTTCTTCCCTATTAGCAAGCAAGGGGAATTATGATTGCTTTGTTATATCCATTAATTTGTTATATCCCATTTTGTTATAACGAGGTTTTACTGTACAATCCGTTCGTGGCTGCTCTTGCGCGCAGGCATTCACGCGGTGGTTAAGAACGGCGCCCAGCTGACGTACACGGTGTACAACATCGTGACCGGCCGGGCGGAGCAGGACAGTCCTTTCCCGACCTGCCTGCAGTCCTTCCTGGGGCTCGACCAGCGACAGGTGACACTGGCCACGAGCGGAGAGGTAGGTCGCGTCTAAATGTCCAAAAGTGGAGTCCTCCGCCCGCTGGGATAAGCAAGCGCTCACTCGGCGGGTTCCCGTCGCAGAGCGAGACGGTGACGCTGCTGCGCGACGGCAACAGCGCCATCTACCCGCTGGCGAAGGACTGCATGGAGAGCATCAGGGACCCCCTGTGGCTGGACCTTCCACCGGTCCGGGCCCTGGGGCTCGGGGTGCATCCGCTCAGGGACGCCGCCGCCAACCAGAAGAACCAGGTTGGCATCGTGGTGCTGGCCCTCGAGGTGAGTGGGGAAGCCTCCCCCGTCCCGGGAGGATGTGGCATTCGAGCAATGCCACCTAGAAGACAAGGCCTGCGCATCGCGACGTCATCGTCGGCGCGTTTGCGACCCACTCCAAGAGTCACACGCGCCGAAACTCGATGACAATATGGTGCAATCCAGCAGACGCGCGTGTCTGGCGTTGTCAAGCTGGTGAGACGCTGCAAGATGCGCCGGCGATGACGCTGACACGAGCTATGAGGCGCTGCGTAGATCCATTATTAGTGACAACGTTTGTGGGAGGGGGGGGGGAGGAGAAAGTTGCAGGCGCTCTTTTCTGTCTTCTCTCTTCCTCATACGTGTGCGCTAATACCGTTCAAATGCAGTCCTTATCTTTTCAGTGGTATCGGTTCATGCACGCGTATTGTTCAGGCCCAATCTGGGCTGCAAGTTTTTGGGTACGGCTGGATCTCGTTGAATCGAAGCTCCCGAGTTTCCGGCCATAAAACGTTCGCCGAATGTTACGTGAGGGACGTGGGAAAAGATACGAGACTGCCGGTTTCTCCGTATACGATGTCTACTTTCTCTCGCTCAAACCTGGAACTTTTGTTTTTAAGGGCTGCGGATGTGGTCAGGTCAGGTTTGAGTACTACAGATTTGGTGACGGAGGTATTGAGGATCAACGTTTTTCCTTTTCAGGCACAGACCCTGATGCCTCTCATCTTGAAAGGGGAAGGCGAGACGGTGCGCCAGACGCTCTGCAGCTTGGAGAGCACTTGTGGTGAGGAACGGCTCTAGTGTTGTCCTTTTTTTATCGTGCATGCAAAAGGGCAGGAATCCGGCATTAAGTTTACTTGTGTGCATCTTGCAGAGACCGAAGCCGGCCGCATTGCCCTCAACAACATTCTCAACGAACGCTGCGACGGTAACCGCAACATTTTCCACGCTGCCGTGTCCACATGCTTTCCCACGTCCAACAAGGAGAACGAGTCGGGCGGTAAGTTTTTTCGACCGGTGTACTCGTGCCAAAGTTTTCTGAACGAATGCGTATCGTGCAAGAATTGCACCTTCAATACCCAGTCTAACATTCAGTTCAAGTATAGAGCAAAAAGTGGTTACAATCAGCAATGTAACTATTTACAGCTCCCGTTACATTTTTGGAAAAGTCGCAGTGATTGTTTCTACAACGTGTCCAAATAAGTGGCTTTTGAATCGAATACCGATAGAATAGCAAAAATGTTCCATTTTGATTATTAGAAACCTTGGAAATATCTGCACACGCCTGGTTGTGATTTATTTAGGTTCTTCTCTGGGTGACATTTTCTGGAAAGCATTGACTTTGGCAGGGAGAAGGTGTGTTCTCAGATGCTAGTTGGTTTTGATGTTGCGTTTCTCTTCCCGGTTGCCTGCAGAGAATTCGTCCGGAGGCATTGATTCTCTCGACCTGCTGTCCAGCTCTTCTTCTAGCATTGCCGTCCTCTCGGGTCGAAAGTAAGCTTCTTTCTGCCTGTTTATTGAAATGTTGATGTTAAGCTAGAGGTTTGGGCCGAACACCCTTTTCTTTATGAACATTGCCAAGAAACATTTCACGGCGAGGCTCCGTTTATCTTTCGACGTCATTCGCTTTATTCTGCTACGTTACACGGACATGGCACTCTAGTCACCGACATGGCGAGAACGGCAGGAAGAGATTCGGTTGTTCCGTCCCCCGACGCAATCTTTCTACCTTCAATGACGCTCTGGCGTCTCATGAGCCTCGAACATTGCCGGAGGCCGGGCATTTGAAAGAGGCAACTCGCCATTCTCTCCTCGTCGGTGGCTATGGTGGAACGAATGTGCCTTCCACAATGCTGTTTATAGATAAATTTTGACCCTCCATCAAACATTCAACATGGCAGAGAAAATTGTTCGACGCGCTCGCATTCTTTTTTGTCTCGCTGGCTCTCGTCGCAAACGGGCTCTGGAAGTGTCCGCCGCGGCCCTTGTTTTCAAGAGGCCCGAGAGACCAGGCAACGGCGGTGTGTTCTCCCCCCAGCAGCATGTCTCTGTGCGAGATGATGCGCCGGGCCACGTCGGCCGCCCTCAGCCTCTCGGGCCTGGAGCACCAGGAGGGAGAGAGGGACGCCGACTTCCACATCCCCACCCTGACCTGGCCACCGGAGCCGTCCGACTCTACGGCCTCCTCCTCCGCGCCTGGCAACTGCCGCAACACCAAGAACATTGGTGAGCGCGCCTGGCCGGGCCGTGTCGGCGACGCGACGCGAGTTCTTGCGCCTTGGGGTTATTGTTGGGAGAATATAGAGTGGGAGTATGGATAACGCTAGTGACGTGAGGGGGTGCAATTAGTGCGTCCTGCCCCTCGACCCGTGCGTGTGGAGATGTTGCAGTGCTTTTCCTCGGGAGTCCTCCCGTCCGATTGCGTGCGGTCAAAAGCCAGCTGACGTCTCCGAGACATTAGTCGGCAGAGATACCGTGTTGTGCGTGTGGGAGTGAATTGAGGAAAGCAAAAGCTCTGACGAGCGAGTGAGGTCTTTAACCCACGTCGAATGCGTGCAGGTTCCTTGCCCCAGGCCAGCAAAGGAGAGCACGAGACTCGCAACGTCTCCTTGACCATTCTGTTTTTCCTCTGCGACGCCGTGGCTCTGCGGCCTCATCTCAAGGAGCTGCTGACAGCCAGGTGAGAATAGTGACCACTGCCTTCTTTTTCTCAGTCAGTTGTCCCTGGTTTGGGTTATGCAAACACTTGATGTGGCCTAGGCTCGAGCTGCGTCTTGCGTATATCGAAGACCAATGTGTAATTTTTTTAATGGTGGTTTTGGTGTATGAAGTGTGGGAAGGGGAGTGGGGGGAGGGTAAGGAGCAACTGGGTTTAACATATAAATATTTGTGCATCTGAAGTTAAGAACCGGATAAGACCGAAAAAAAGAATGTATGATGCAGCTATTTGTGCGAGAAGTTGTGTAGTGGCTTGCCGCACTTCGTAACTTGCAAGCCTTTCACGAAATGCTCAGCTCGTAACGCCTCGTGACAGTGCCTGTACGTTTTCATATTGACGGGAGTGTCTGCCTTCAGGGATGCGCAGGGGTGCACGCCCTTCATGACTGCGGTGTGCGGCCGGGCGTACCACGCGGCGCTGCTGCTGTTGGATGCGGCGCAGCGGGTGGTGCAGGAAGGGGGCGCCACGGGAGAAGCAGCACGCAGGGCACTGCGCTGCATGCTGTACCCACCAGGTTCGGCCCCGGACGACTCCCCGCTGCACGTGCTCTGCTGCAACGACACGTGCAGCTTCACCTGGACTGGCGCTGAGCACATCAATCAGGTGAGTGGACGACTAGCTCGTTTCTTGCTCTGCCTCGAGAAATAAGCGACCTCTTCCTTCTTTACTCGATGTATAGATTGAGTAAATGCCAACTAACTTTTCTCAGGGTTATTTTAGGTCTAACTGCGCCATAGCTAGGCTGCTTTACCGAGTGAGTTAGTAGACGGGTCTTAAAGCTTTGAGCACGCCCTTTTTCATTACAAGAAAATACTTTCCCGCTCCTGCGGGAACCGCATTTGTTGCATTCTTTGTATTCGGAACTCATGTTTTCTCATAATATGAGCAACCTTTATAATGGAGGCACATAGTACCATCATTTATAGGTCAACTGTCAGTCTCTTGACAGAAAAGCAGAGACGTACGAGTATTATGGCTCTGTATTGGGTAGGGGTCCTAAGAACCACGCTCCGGTCGGAAGAAGTTCGACAAAGAAAAGTCGGTGTTTGCATGCACTGGCCACCCGGTGTCGAAGGTGCTCTTACAGGGCTGCGAACTGCGACCAGACCGATCCCTTGACCGAGCTTTATTGTCCCCCCCAGGACATCTTTGAGTGCCGCACATGCGGCCTGGTGGGCTCTCTGTGCTGCTGCACGGAGTGTGCCCGGGTGTGCCACAAGGGCCATGACTGCAAGCTGAAGCGCACCTCCCCGACGGCGTACTGCGACTGCTGGGAGAAGTGCAAGTGCCGGGCCCTGCTGGCGGGGCACCAGGCTGTGCGGGGCACCCTCCTCAATCGGCTGGTCACTGACACCGACCTGGTCACCCTGCCCAACAGCAGGTGAACGGAGCTTCTCCTTGCCCGTCTCTCCCGCCTCAGTCTTCCTCTGTATACAGTAAAACCTCGTTATAACAAAGTTGAAGGAGCGGTCGTAATTATTTCGTTATAACCATTAGTTTGTTATAGCCAATGTCCATTTCTTCCCCCTTTTAGCAAGCTAGGGGAATTATGATTGCTTTGTTATATCCATTAGTTTGTTATATCCCATTTTGTTATAACGAGGTTTTACTGTACATATCTAGTGCATTGCATTCAGCTAGACCAGGGTTGGCCAAGCTGCGGCTCGCGAGCCGCATGCGGCTCTTCGCGTGTTAAAGTGCGGCTCGCGGCTCCCTCCCCTACACCACCTTTCCCCCCAACTCCCCCGCCTCCCTCCCGGTCACACGACCACTTTCCCAAAAAAAGGAATGGAACGCGTTTTAAATTGAAAGACAGGCTGCGGTTTGGTAGCCTTGTGCTACTGCGAGCCTACGTATAGTTGGACATTTTTTTACTCGGATAGATTGAAAGTAGCACGAGATTCGTTTATTTCTCTGAACAAAAGTTGCCCCCCCCCCCCCCCCTTCCTGTAGCTTTTGAAAGTTTTGTGGTCTTAGGCCGGGTCAGCCTGGCCGCCCCTGAGCTAGACTCTCACTTCTGTCACTGGTGTGTATGGTGCTGGTGGATTAGTGCAGTTCACATTTACTTGTGCAGATGCCATTTGAGTTGGCTAGGGGTCACTATCCTAGAAGATATAATAATTTCTTCGGATATCGACATTTGCTAAACTCGTTTTGGCAATTTAGCGTTATATTGGCTCGCAGGGTGTCTAGCGACTGGGAAAACCGGGAATTGTCAGGGGAAAATCAGGGAATTGTTGAGGATATTGTCAAAAAAGCGAGCCTAGTCAGGGAAAATGAGCTGGAAACGCCATTGAGTGCCCTGAGCAAAGACTTGAGGACTTGCGGGCAGAAAAATGGGCAATAAATTCTGCTTGGAGCGGAGCACGGGCTCTGCTCTCCAAATGTAGACCGTGCTACCCGATGCGAAGAAAACAGCCGACAAATCCTGTCTAAGCATTGCATTGCATTGGATTGGATTGAAAGCACGACACTAGGCTAGGTCCAGTTAGAGCTACTAGATTTAGTAACAAATGGGAAAGCTGCAGACCCCAATCCAATCCAATCCAAGCCTTAAGCTAAAATTATCCGAAAGTGTGCATCAGGCGGCCATGTTGCCATTCGGTTATTGACATGTGTGGGGAGTGTCGTGTTTTCATCATGTTTCCGGAAATGGCCTCTTCAATGACGATGTCGGCGGCTAGAAAGTGCTTGTTTGATCCGAACTGGACGAACCCAAATATTTCGGAATGTGCAAGTTAGATTAATCCCGTGCAAAATGATCCTCACAGTGCTCAATGCTCAATGCCTTGTGTTGTAATGGTCTTATATATTTAACTGCCTCTACAGTGGTCAGGGAAATTCACTTGAGATTGTCAGGAAAAACCTGGAAAAGTCGGGGAATTTCAAAATAATAATTTGCTAGACACCCTGGGGTCGTTAAGCATTGTGTCACTTTTGTTTTTGCCGGAGCTTTTTTGTGTTTTAAACCTTGCATGTGTCGTTGCTGCGCTCATCTGCTCTCTGTAACGGGCTAAGAAATGTTCACGGGTTGGGTGTTTGTGATTAATTTCTGGGCTGTAAATTTAACCTGCATTCTGTATAAATTTGACACACTGTAAATGACTATTTTTGAGGGCTCAAATTTTCGCTAGTGGGTCCAAAGTTGAAAATTTGGAATTATTTACGGGCTCGAAGTTTCGCTAATCGGGGTTGTGTACGCTGTGTATTTTCTGCCATAGGGAAACATATTCACGGGACCTATTTTTCGCAAATCGTAGGCGATTTGCAAAATTTGCAAAATTTGGTTTTTGTGAAAGTAAAGGGGCACTGACACCCCACAGGTCGTATTTTTTTTTATTGTCTAAAACGATGCAAACTGCAGTCATACACACGCAAAAAAAATTTTTTGCGCGCGCGCGCGTCTTTTTATTTTTTACGTTTCATTTTCTCGCCTCTCGCCTCCTCGCTTCTTTTGATCGGTGACGTCAAAAATCAGGAAATTTAGAAGCTTTGTAGGCGACATCTCTATAACATTTAATAACGGCAATCCTAAAACATGTTTTTTAACGTAATTGCGAACGCACTACGGCCCTCCTTCTTGAAATACCGCAAATCGGGAGTTCGTTGTGATGCCGTCTCCTGGATTTGTATCCCCCCACGGAAAACAGGCGACACCGCTCAAAACCGGTCCGCCGCAACGCCGGCGCTCGCTGCTTTCCTCCTTGCTTTGGGTCGCCATGGCAACAGCAGGGAGTCATGAAAGAAAGTGGACTCTCAGGAGTCCGCAATATTTGACGTCAACGCACCGGCGCGGATCGCGCGGGAACTTCAAATTCGGCATTTGGAAATTGTTTTTTTTACTTCACAAATACTGAATTCCCAAATTTCAGATTTTGAGGGTAATGTCCCGGCATAGTTTTCAATCGTTTAGGACAATAAAAAAAAAAACGATTTTGATGTGTCAGTGCCCCTTTAAGTTGTGTACAGTTTTTAATAAAAAACACAAATTCCTAGGGAGCTAAATCATGTCTCTAAATGGTGCCCGTGCTCCTGTCGGTGTTTGGTGGTGCATGGAATCTGCTGATAGTTTTAACAGACTATTCTATTGTTGTGAGTTGTAAAAAAAAAAAAAAAAAGCTTTTTCTCTTGATTTGTCTTGTCTATCGTTGTGTTGACCTCTCTCTTATCATTTGTTGCTGCACGATTCACATTTTGAGTTACAGTGCTTCACCTTCGAAATGCACTGCCTCTTGCAGAGGGGAGAACATCCTCCTGTTTCTGGTGCAGACCGTGGGACGGCAAGTTGTGGAGCAGCGCCAGTACCGCCCGTCCAGGTCTCGCTCCAATGCTCCCAGGAAGATTTCCAACTCCGACCTTGGTGAGGGACAGGGATGTCAATCTCGAAGCTTGTTTCAGTTAAATCGACCTTGTTTCTACAAACGTCGACTGAAGGTCACGCCTTTGTCAGGGCCAACATCATTTGAACAAAGAAAACTGCGGAAACTGATGCAGCTTTTAACTCGGGTGCTCATTGTCATTATAAGGAAGAGTCAAATAAATAATGATTGTATGTATGTTTAGACAGTGAGAGGTTAGTGCGCCCCAATTGGTTTGTCTCTGCCGTAGATGAGAGCCAGTGCTCTACCACTGCTAGCATGGGGTCTTTGACATGCATCACACTGACATGATACACGACTTCACTGTGGTACGATGCTCATCGAGATTGAAATGGGCAGTGGTGGGGATCAAATTCCTGGGCTCTGCAGTACAAACTTTCGCTCCACTGTGGTGTGCCAATACGCTCGGCCACAGATTCCCCTTGGGAAGAGCCATTACGTAATAAATTCAGAAATAAGTCTCAGTGTGACGTGGTATATGGGCACACTTGGTTTGACTCGCAGTGGAAGAAGAGAGGGGTGAATGACTGGTGCTGCTTTGCCACAAAGCAAATGTGTCGACTGTTCGCTCCCATTTTTGGCAAGCGCTGTGTGATGGCGCAGGATGAGAGGAGCTTAAGGAACCGTCTTCATTCGCGCACGCGTTTTCAAGGCCGCGAGGCTCGCAACCATGCCATTGCGAAGGCCTCGCAGTGCACGACCGTGCCTGTGCGCGGAGTTCTGACCCAACCGAGCTTCTGCTGGAAGATGCAGGCGAAGCCAGAGCAGAATTTGGAACCACCTTTCTGGCCTTGTTCCGACACCTCTCTCTCCCACCGTGGTCTGACTGCGAAGGTCTTGCTCCGGGCCACAGGAACTCTCGCCCGGTTTCAACATGCAAAAGATTATTGAGCTTAAAACTAGACATTCGTATGTCTAGCAAAAGGCCGAACGAGGGACACACTAGACCCTGACGTCGTCGCCCTTGTTGCTTGCAGAGCCGGACATGCCCGACCACGACCTGGAGCCCCCCCGCTTCTCGAGACGCGCCCTGGAGCGCCTGCTGAACGACTGGAGCGCCATCAAGACGACCATGATGGCGGGCTACCGGGACGAGGAGGCCTCTTCCTCCTCCCGTCTGGGAGGGGCCGGAAGCTCCGTGCCCGAGGACCAGCAGCCCCACTTGGTGGCACAGAACGGCACCGCCCTGCTGGACAAGTTTGTCCACTGCCTGCTGGTCAAGTGCAGCATGGAGGTGGGTTCATTGGGGTTGTGCACATACTCTGTCGATGTCTCGACGCCCGAATTCTGGGTCTTGTGGGATTTCGCAGAACACGTTGGAAACTTTGCACTTGGCTCTTCTGGCTCTCTCCCGTTCTGCTGAAGCCTGACAGTTGCCTCGGCCTCTTATGTGTAATGGCAGGCTTTTTGGACAATTTGTATTTATTTGACATTTGGTGGGGTGGCAGGGACATAAGGTGAATAAAATGCCTTTATGGTGTTCTTATAGATTCACTTTGTGCTTGAAACGGTTGAAATGGGCATGTCTTTTTGGGCAGCAGAGTGGGAGCTATGAAGAGGCAGTCGACAGGTCGTGTAACGTTTCTTTTGTGGGAGGCGACTCTCAACCTTTATTTCGCTCTTAGCTGGCTTTTGAAGCTGGTTATGCAACCACAGTAGAGCCGTGTAGACATACCAAATGGCAAGTCAGCTTGTGGCATACGTGTGTTGACTTTCATGCTCTTTCAGGGCGCACATTTGGTAAGGCCAGTATGGAGGGAAACGGGGCTGTGTCATTGTTCGCAGATTGTGTTTTCTCTCGTGCGCCTTTGGCAAAAGGCCATCTTAGTTGTGGGTGTGCCGTGACTCGAGTGTCAGGCCCGTGGCCCATCCAGATGCTGGACACCCTGCTGACCACGCTGGTGCGGGAGATCCAGAACGAGAACTCCCCAAGCAGGGCGGCCGAGGCCCGCCAAGTGGCCCACCGCTTCGTGCGCAGCGTCACCCGCATCTTCGTCATCCTCGCCGTGGAGATGGCGCCCAACACCAGCCGCAAGAAGAGGTGGGCACCCATTTGCAATTATTACTCTCTGAACAACCGCTTTGTAGTGTTTTTCGGGCTCTGCAAGTTGCAGAGAAGCTAAGCGTGGGCCTCGTCGGTACCGTTTGCAGCTGCAGCGTCTGCCTTTGTTGCTTGGTCAATGTTGAATAGCTCGACATACCCAGTATTTTAGGTCGCCGTTCTAGGTTCTGACGCTAGTCTCGGATAGCATCGGAGGCGTTGATTACTCCACTTTTCTACTTTGTCTGTGCCAGATGCTCTGTGCAGTGATTACATACATTGATACCGTAACACTTTGTTTGCTGCTTAGGCATGTTCTTTGAGTTCGTTTCTGCAGCTAACATATAGAAGCAGGGCATACAAAGTTTCAGCCCTGTGAACCAGTCTTATGAGGTGCTATACCCGCAGAACGGAGGAAAGCATAGCTTTGCATGGAGTCTTCTCAGTGAATTTACCGTTCATAAATGGTGTTGATAACCACATATTTTTCTGGTGGAATGCATACTGGAATGCTTGTTGCAGGTTACTATGAAAAAATTGAAATATGCATTTTTCAGGTAAAAAGAATTTATAAAAAAGGAAAATTTTACATTTACCAAGTTTTGCAAATTACATTTTTTTCATAATAAAGGAATATGAAAATGCAAAATCTAAGTTCATAGTATTTCCATAATATTTCGGCATATAAGTCACAAATATTAAATCTTTTTATAGTTATATACTGAAATAGTTTTATTAAAGTAAAATTTATGCCAAAAGTAATTAAAAAAAAAACAATCTATGCAGTGTAAACACATAAAACTTTCTGGGAGTACTGTCTAGGTGTTGGTGGATGTAAATATGGCATTTTTCAAAACCAGCTTTTTTTGCAGAACTTTTTTTGGGGGGGGGGGGGGGGGGGGGGGGGGTAGTGTCTTTTTTTAAATCATCAATGAACAGATAGTCTTTGAATGTTGTTTAGCTTCCCTACTTTGCATGACAACAGCAGTGGTGTTCATGTCACGAGGTATGTCTTAATATCGTTGCTCTTTGCTGTTTTGTTTCTGGCCATTCAGCCTGACTGGGACGTCCCAGCCGCTGATGAAGTGCCGCCGGGTGTTCCAATCTCTGGTGACCTTGGCTGTAGAGGAACTTTGTGAGGCAGCGGACGCCCTGATCGCCCCCGTGCGTCTCGGAGTGGCCCGTCCAACGGCCTCCTTCAACCTGGTGTCGTCCTGCATCGATGCTATTCAGGTTAGTTCTGGGCGCTCTATAACGGCCCTGTTGGAACAACGTTTGAACTTTGGTCTCACCACCTTCCGTCGTGATGCAAAGTTGAATGCCTGCCGAAAGGGTTCTAACTATGGAGCAAGTGTTGCCAATATGCTGATAGTAATGGAACTTTTATTGTTTTGTTAGTTTGGGGGGTTGTGTTCTTTTTTAATGGCTCGGTGCTCCGTTGCTATTAGTATATTCACTTTGAACCTCCTGTAGGATCTTCAGAACAGTAAAACATTTTAAGCACTTGTATTTTTAGACTTATTAGTTTCATAACAAAAAGCAATAATTTTAAGCCTTTTTTTTTTTTTTTTTTTTTTTTATATATATAATACATTTTAGGCATTGGAAATTTTTGGCATGAATCCGACCTATCACTTCGCAGTTCTGAGCAGAAGATGCGATTGGGGACTGGTGACTTGGAAGATTGTGAGCTGGGATCGCACTGCGTGCCTTGCTGACTTCTCTTTCTCGTCCCAGCTCTTGAAGGACATTGGCTGAAAGGCCATGTGTCTCGAAGAGCATCGGCTCGAAGGGCGTTGACCCTCAAGTTGCGCACTCCTCTTCCTCGTGCCTACGGCTCGAAGGGCGTTGACCCTTAAGTTGCGCACTCTTCTTCATCGTGCCTACAGGGGAGTGAGGAGCTGTTTCTGGTGGAGCCCATGGTGCCCAGGGCCCAGCAGCCGGAGCTGGCCCCCCACGTGGCCCCCAGCGAGCCCCCCCTGGGACAGAGCCTGCTGGCAGCCAGGCAGCCCCTCAGGGGTGACCCCCTGGACGACGATGAGGCCAGCGTATGGCGCTCTCCCTTTCCCTTCCAGTTCTCTATGGGGAGTGTCCCAGAGGTGCTCCCTGTAAACTAAGAGCTTTGCCGATGCCTGCTACACTTCATTTAGTAGTTCAGTCTGCCCTTATACAGTATAGACCACTTACAACGTAACCGCTTATAGTGCAGGACCGGGTGTAACGCGGCTTTTTTAAACCACCGGTTCGCCTCCCATAGAACTCCATGTAATTACATACCGCTTAAAATGCAGGCGCGCGAAGGGAAATACCGGTTATAGTGCGGTTTCTGAAGCAGCGTGCCGACCGTGCCGGCAGACCCGCGCAGCGAGCACGCTTCCCTGTGCGACACTAAATAACGGCGCTAGCCGCAAGCGGCACTCGCGGGGGCAAGGATGGCAAGGAGGTTGCTCGAAGAAGCGGTGGAGGAGTGAAGAGAGAGGCTTCAGTTGCCATAGCGACAGAGGGACGCACGCACGTGTCGTTTACGGCGCGGGGCGTTGGAGCGAGCCCAACCAGCCGTTCGTGCGTGTTGCGTGCCGGTCGCGGGCCGGCTTCTTTTATCAGCAAACATGGCGTCGGTGGTAATCGTCGACGGCGTAGTGGAAGCTCATCGTTCCGCGTAAAAGTGCTATCCTTGACTGTGAATTTTCGTTGTGTGTCGCTATGATAACCCAGCACGTACTAGAAGGGAAGATCCACCTACTCGTGCGGCGATGTCGTGGCGGCACTCTCAAGACAGCAGAAACGCCCTTGTCGTCGTGTTGGTTTACTTCGACTACAGTGGTGCTTTCTAAGCATTTGTGTTTCCGAACATCGCCCGGATTTCTTATTTGGAGCATTTCATGTGCTCATCTCATGCCTTTTTTGGAACATTTCATGCACGTACCGTATAAAGGATGCGAATTTTCACGCGTTTTCATCACCGGAGAAAAGTGATTAGGGTTAGCAATCCTGAACGCTCGCAACGTCCGTCCGCAACCCGCGACGCCGTTAAAAGGCTGCGCCAGGCAAAAGTCACTTATTTCTTTCAAAATGTGTGACACACTTGAGAGAGAAGTGTATTAGTCTGGTGAAATAAAGACTTTCCTCAAAGTAAGCTTTATTTTTCATCTAATATAAAATAAATTGTTTTACAACGGTAAGTTGTCTCATGGCATGTATTTTGGCCTAAAAAATTTATGTTTTGGTTATAGCGCGGTACCGCTTATAGTGCGGATTTTCGTGACTCCCGCGACATACGTTATATGCGGTCTACACTGTAGTGCCTTCATGGGAATTTTCATAAGGGAGGAGACAAACGTCTACATGCATAAAAGTAACACTAGACAAATGGAGCGTAAACAAAGGTTAGGTTCTTAGTCTTTCCAGTTTAAATTAGGGCTTCAAAAAGGGGCTGCACTGCACTGGCGTGAACAGATAAGAGTGAGGGTGGAGGTAAACTGGCGTTGATTGAACGCAGGGTTTCTCAGGTTGGCTTTGATGGAATTGATAATGTCAAGGTTTTGAAATATCGGGCTCTTGTTTGCAGGGTTTTGGGGGGAGTTTAGCCACGTTTTAATGAGCAGTGCGTTAACGAAATGGCCACAATCCTAATTTGCTGTCGTGACCCGCGCCGTAGATCTGCGAGTATTATGCAAGCGTACAATGCACTCATTCACATTTTTGCCTCCTTCAATTGAACCTTGTTTGTGTGGAAGTTCCTTGAGACCAACATGTAATTATGAGTTGATGTAAGAAAGTTTTTGCCAGTCTTTATTAGCTTGTTCATACCTTTGTTATAATCTTGTCACGTATTGCATCCTTCCTTGGCATTTTAGGGCAATACAGTCTAAGCTCATTACAACAGGCCTGGTTACAACAGACATTTGGATATAACATACCGATTTGTGAAGTTTGGTTGGTTTTCCTCTACATACTATTGACTCAACTTCATATCTGCATACAACATTCTCCTTGGTCAAAATCAAGGTCTGCTATAACGAGCTTAGAATGTGCTGGAGTTGTGCATTTGCTTTATAGCACGGCAGCGTGCTTTGAGGCCGATGACGGAGGAGCTGGTTTGGTTTGTTTGACACCAGGTGGACGTGGTTGACGGTGCGGTGGGCGAAGACCCCGACCACGAGGAGAGTGAGCGCGACGAGCGTATGGAGGCCTCCGAACACGACGGCACGCCCGCCCACGAGCACAACGACGAAGGTTGGGGTGCTTCCTTCTCGATTTTTTCAGTCTCTTTTTGTTTCTTTCTCGACTGAAAACTTTCGTGTAATTTTTTCGGATAAAGTTGGGAAACAAAGTGTGCAGTTGAAGGGCTCGTATATTTCTCTACTTGTTCGTTATCGAATTACAATATTTAATTAGCAGGACGTAAGTCCGCTAAACTCAGCGGACAGAAAATTTTTTTTTCGTGGCACGCTCATAGTATTTTGTTTGCTTCACGGAAGTTAGCCCTGTAACACGCTTGCGTTATCAACAAAAGCTACTGATTGCTAGGATTTTTGCACCCTACTAGAAAACTACACTGAGCACTTTTGTAAAGATGCTAGGGTTTCGTTTTTAACGTTTTGTACTGTAACTGCAGTTCTTCCCCGTTGCGATGGACCTCCCTGTAGTTAATTCAGTTTCTCTGGAAAAATCTTCACTATATACTAGATCATCTCTATAGTATCTTAAAGTTTGATGCCAGATTACAGCATTAGAAGCACACTTTTAGTTTCATTTCACTTGAACCTCGTTGATACTGTCTCTCAATGTTTTAATAACTGGTACGTTCTTCTGTATTCCCTTATATTTACTAAAGCGGCCCTTATGGTCGGGGGGTTTTACCGCTAAATCTTTCGAGTGTCCTAAACCTTTTCAAAAGACCTTGTTGCAATAAATGATATAAAACTCGGCTTGTGACACAGTTTGTCTGGTTGCCTCAAGGGATCCGTTCCGACTTTACAGAGAGTGACAGTGACAGTGACCCGGACAGTGCGTCCTACCAGAGCAACCAGGACAACGCGAGTGCTCAGAGGAGTGCCACTACTGGCGCCACAGCAGGTTCAGACGCCGGTGAGATAGTCTTTCTTGTCTGGGTCTGTTGTGCCCGATGGGAAGCCTGCATTGCTTCACTCTATGCTTTGCTCATGCAGTTTCTAAGGCCCCTTTTTGTACAGAAAAGTTGTCCCTTACCTTCAACTGAATCGTGTTTATGTGGAAGGACCTGACATTTGCTGTTGCCACTTGCGAATGTCGATGGTCATTGAGCGTTTACTTTAGATTCGTTAAAACTGAGTGTTGTTTTAACTCAATATAGAAGCTCGTGTCGCAGAAAATCCGGCGTCGGCGGGACCAAAAAGTTCCATAATGCAGCGCGCGCAGCCACGCATGTCACACGTGACATCACGTGGCTGCGCGCATTGCATTTTGGGATTTACCCACTAAATTTGGTGGATACTGTGCTTGTGCGTGCTGTGCGTGTATTCTGTGCGCCGTGTTTGGTGACGTCTGGACAACCATGTGCGCTGCCGGAACCCCCGCCGTGCTCTACCCTGGACTCCACAAAGGCCTCAATTCATCGGTTCAGTCCACTCGCCTCTATTGTAGTAGGCTGGACCGCGGGTCGGGAGCCCTTCGGTGTCGCCACCGGTGGCCATTGCTTGACACCAGGCAATACACTCAAGTCGATGGGAGAAACACACAAAAGTAGAAATATTGAAGCATGTACGCTGGGCTCGGAGGCGAGTATTTTATGGTTCTGCAATCCTTCTGTCGGGTGCTTGGAGACGGAATCGGAATCTCTCAGCGCCGATTAAAAAAATCAAACGTGCCCAAGCACCTACGGCTGATCCGGCAGACTTGCTCTCGTAGTGAAGTAAACAAAGAAACTTGCCGACAATAATGCCTCGTTCACACTTGGGAACCAACGGCCGGATCCGCGAGAATTCTGACGCTTGGCGACAAAAGCAGGCAGAATTCTCGGCGGAGAGCAAGATCGCTCTGGGACCAATTTTGAACGCCGTAAAAAAGTTTTCTCTCGACGCAAGCCAATCAGAATGGACGGGAGAAGTGGCACTTGCTGACGTCAGATCCCCGCTGACGAGCTGACGACAATGGCAACGAGACGCGCGCGGGCGAGGAGGAGGTTTGGAAGCTCTCGTCAACTCCTTGTCTGTTCCGGAAACTGCGAGACGCTTGCGCCGCGCACTCCATAGACAGCAACAAATGTGAACGGCCCGATTTTTTTTCAACGAGCGAATCTAGTCGGTGGCGAGTGCGTATTTCGCAAGTGTAAACGAGCCATAAAACCGTCCTCGGGGAAGCCCAGAAGTTGATCAATGTCGAAAACGTTCCATGTCGACAGCGGCTTTCCGGTAGTGAGCGAATTCCGCGTAGCAAAGCCTTCGAGCTTGTCGTCTGCTAAACCAAACCCAACTCAACGAAACTGCCACCGACTCCGCGGTAACTCTAGGTAACTCTCGCCTCATTGACCTGCATTACATTTTTCGCCCAGCGGAGTCACTCTCGACCACAAAATATTTATTTATAAGAACTGCGAGGGCTGTCAGTTTTAATGTTTGTACGCAAGCTATTTGACGGGCTTATTGAAAAGCATCCAAAAAGTTTCAGTGCCGACAACAGGTTAGAAACGGGGAAACGGCACTTTTTCTTGTTTTTCCCATAGAGTCCTATGCATTTGGTGGTGGCAATCATTGGCCGCCAGTGCTGACACTCGGCCCCAGCTGCCGAGGCCGGGATCCAGCCTACTACAATAGAAATCAGTGGTTAAGCTGCTTTCCTTCAGCCGCGGTTTGTGGCTCCTTCCACCCCGCTGTGTCGGCTTCGGCGAAACACTACCCTCCTCCCTTTCACAATTTTGTCTTCTATCAGCTGTCATCCCTTACCCCTCTTCCCCCTATCTAACGATGACTGTTCGGCCCCTGGCTGTACCTTCCACATTAGTATTTCCTCTTTAGCAAGTCTCTCTCACCCTTCCTCCCTCCCTCCCTGCTTCCCTCTCCTCTCCTCTCTGGAAAATTGTCCCGCCAAATTTGGCAAAAACGTTTTCCGCCAAATCTAACGGAAAGTTTTCCCTCCAAATCTAGTGGCACATTTTCCTGCCAAATTTAGCGTAACATTTTCCCGCCAAATTTGAAGGGTTGCTAGGGTCACGACGTTACGGCCACGTGGGACGTCACGTGACACGTGACTCCACTGATTAGACGACGCACGCACGCTTGCACGGCTTGGCAACAAGAACGCATTTATATTAAAAGGCTTTGCGAATGGCACCCACATATGCTATATGCATATTCAAGGGTGGAATGCTATCACATTCCACCCTTGAAGGCAAAGATTAAGCGTCCCCCACGTTTTCATGCCATTTCTTGTATGAGAAATGCAAATTTGTGCAAGGAGGAGCCTAGCTGAACCTTTCTCTGAATCGCTTAAGGGGGGACACTACCCAAAAAAGTAAATTTTTGAACCACTTGTCTGATTTAAATTATATTTACAGGGCTTGTTTCTGTTGATGTCGATAACATTTCTGCCAATTTTTGTTAACCTGGGTGAAGTACAAAAAAATTGCAATCGTTCAAAGACGAAAGTGGGCGTGTCTGCTTAGGAAAACTATCGTTTTGAAATTACTTATAAATTTGTTGTTTTCATGTGTTACATTGCATTAGGACAGTTCAGAGCAGATAACTATGGAGCTATATTTCTATGTTATACCATCTTTCATGACAAAAAGCCACATAAACACAAATACAGTTTTTTAGATTTCCATCCTTTGTCCAAACTTTTAGTTCTTAAGCATGAAAAATGACAAAAATAAAAAATACAAGCTCATAGTTATCTTCCCCTTAAAATTTCACCCCAGAAACACTCACAAAAATGAATCCAAGTTGCGTAATAACAAAACGATAGTTTTCCTAAAGTGAAATTTATGCCGAAAAGTGGAATGGAGAAAAATGTGTTCAAAGTGCTCCAACCTTTTCTTTAGCATCAGTGGACCGAAAATAATTTATAAAAAATTAACTATGCGGTGTAAACTAATGAAACTTTCTGGCAATACTCTCTAGATGTTGGTGGATGTAAATATGACATTTTTCAAAATCAACTTTTTTTGCAGAAATTGTTTTTTCTGGGTAGTGTCCCCCCTTAAACTCCAGTTGAACCATTTCGCCTCATCCGCCAGGTCCGTTCGGATGAGGTTTCGTTGTCCACGGACAACGAAACCAACGGAAAGACTCAGATTTTCGCACCGAGACCCGGAGCGCTGCTCCAGCCCGCTCGTCGGAAGAGCGGATCGTTGCACCGTTCAACTGGGTCTCGCTTCCTTGCCCGCAGAGGACGAGTCTGCGGAGTCGTCCAACATGGAGGAAGAAGAGGAGAGCGAGGCGGGGGACACTGAGCCGGACACGGAGGAGCTGGCCCTGCTCGACGAGCAGCTGGAGAGGAGGGGAGGTGCCCCCGGTACGGGCGGGGGGTCCTCGGGGGGCCTGGGCGGTTCTCGCCCGGGGTCCCTGGCTCCGCAGCACCTACAGTGGGCTCTCCGGCAGAGGGACACGACGGGGAGGCCCCACACCTCGTCTGCCGGTGAGATCGCTGGTCTCCATCACCGCCGTGAGAGCATGTCTTCTCCTCCTCTGCTTTTTTACAGCCTCGCGGCGTTGTGTGACGAAAGAAGCTGTTGTTGTCGCGCAGTCGACCCTCGTTGGGTGGCCGAAAACTATGCGGACTTCGTCTGGGTAATGAGAAAGCAAAAGGGACGTGCAAATAGTGAATTTTCACTTCGAAGCGAATACGAAGCAAATCATTATTTTGAACAAATAGTTTAGAATCGAAGCGAATCATTTCGAAGCAAAGCAAATATTTTGCAATAATTAATGTAGGGGTGAGAAAATTGACAAAAACAGAATTTCAATAATTTGCACAGATATGGCTTGTCTTGACAAATTGTCTTCAACGTGTTTTCTAAGCTATTGGAAAGACAGTCAGCAACAAATACAAGAGAACAAACTTTCCCAAGTTTATTGAATCTGGCTGTATCAGCCTGTGCCTCATGTCATTAGCTTACTGAATGTTACTGTGGATGAAGACCAACTGCTCATTGTGGTCTGGGAGGAGGAGCTCCCTCCTGCTCATGAAGATGTTGCCCGACGTTGAAAACAGCTTTTCGCTTGAGACTTGCATGGCCGGAACCGAAAAGTAAAGCCGGGCAACCTTTGCCAGCAGGGGGTACTTGTCCTGCCCAAAGTTCCTCCACCAATGGTAGGGGTTCTCGAACGGGGCCTCACAGGGGAGTAAAGGTATTCCGCTACCTTTTCCGATGGTCGTCAGGAGCAAATGCTCGAGGTGCTAGTAGAAGCCAGAGTTCCAAAAACTTCCCACACATCACTGGTGACACTGGCAGGTGGTTCAGCTGTGCTTTGGGACTCTTCAGAATTCTCCTCCGGGAGGAAGCTGTTCTCTACGTCTTTGCAGAGTTGGTTCCTTGCCCACTGCTTCTCCGAATTCTCACTTGGAGTAGTGTAGCAGACCAGCTTGAACCGGGGGTTCAGTAAAGTGCTTAACGCATGGGCACTTTGTAACTTGATGTCCACAACTCGGGACTTGATGCTCCGAAGCAGGTTTCCCGCAAACACTGATTCCTCCCCATCACTCTGCCACTGCCAAGTCAGTCAGCAGGACCTGCATACAATGCACTGATGGCACCACTTGCGAGAGAGTGGGGTGCTTCTCAGGGCACGATTCCCATGTCGCCTCCTCAACGCATTTGAGGACCGATGTCACTGATGCCATAAGGCACCACTCGCTTGAGGTTAGGTTATCGTAAGCATCTCGTTCCGCAAGCCTGAGGAGGCTGGAAATCTTCTCATACTCGTTGTTCCACCATGTGGCAACATCCTGGATGACCTCAAGGGTTTCCAAGTCCATAGATATATGAACCTCTTTCAGGCGACTTCTTGCCAGAGAGCTTCACTTGCAGTGCCCTACAACTGCTCGGGCCTTGACATAGAGCTCATCATAGTCCCACATTTCTTTCTTGGCACTCTGTATAGACAACTGCAATGTGTGTGCAAAGCACTATGGACTCAGGGCGCCTAGCAACCAGGAAAACCGGGAATTGTCAGGGAAATTTTAATTACCGGGAAAAATCGGGGAATTGTCAAGAATATTGTCAAAAAGCGAGCCCAGTCAGGGAAAATGAGCTGGAGACGCCATCGAGCGTCTCCAGCTCACTGAGGACTTAGGGGCTCTGCTTAGAGCGGAAAGCGGGCTCTGCTCAGCCAATGTAGCGTATGCTACCCGATGCAAAGGGGACAGCCGACAAATCTAGTCCAAGCCTTGGATTGGATTGAGGCGCCACACTAGGCTAGATCCAGTTAGAGCTACTACATTTAGTAACAGATGGAAAAGCCGTAGACCCTAGTCTGGAATCCTACATCCAAGCCTTAAGCCAAAAGTATTCGAAGGTGTGCTTCTGGCGGCCATGCTGCCATTCGGTTATTGACGTGTGTGGCTGAGCGTCGTGTTTCTGGAAGTGGCCTCTTCACTGACGATGTCGGTGGCAAGGAAGTGCTCGTTTAATCCAGACTGGACGAACCCGAATATTTCGGAATATGCGAGTTGGATTAAGCCCTCTAGAAATGATCCTCACAGTGCTCAATGCCTTGTGTTGTAATGGTCTTATATATTTAACCGCCTCTACAGCGGTCAGGGAATTTCACCTGAAATTGTCTGGGAAAACCTGGAAAAGTCAGAGAATTTCAAAATGATAATTTGCTAGACACCCTGAGACTGAGCCATGTCGTTCGTAACACTGCACTCGGAAAGTTCCTTTCATTGTCAGTAACAATGAAGACCGGAATGCCCTGTGGAAGTCCTTATTCTGTGGCCAGATCAAGCAGGAAGCTCTTCAGGTTCTCAGCAGTGTGTCCTTTGGGCATATGCTGGCACGCCAGGTGGTAGTTACAAGGCTGGAAGTGTACATCGAGCAAGTGGCACGTCATCAAAATGTAAATGTCCCCCTTTCTCGACGTCCACCCACCTGTCGTTAGGGTGTAGCATGGGGTTTCGTTCTCGACGTGGCCGTGCAACCTGCCTTTAATACGCTCTTTTTTTTTTGGCGTAAAGCTCCGGCACCACACTCCAGGAAAACTTGGTCCTTGAAGGGACTTGGTATTCAGGCACAGCAACGTGCATTAACGCCAGAATCCCGGCTCCTCGACGATCGGATAAGAGTGTGGCCTGTGGCAGCGAACAGTTCCGTTTTTTTCGTCAGCGTTTTTCCTGCTGACCATCCTTCAACATTGGCTTAAAGGGTCTGGGAGTTGGGACCCTGCCATCAGGCTTCTTGGTTCCTGCTGTCTTCTTTGCGCTCTCAGCAGCACTCATCTTGTCAAATTCTTTCAACAGTCCGGGATAACGTTTCAGGTGATTGACGAGGCTGGTGGTCGTACCAGTCGGTGTTTTTAGACACATCTTGCACATGCGACATTTTGCGCTTTTGGGTCGTCACTCAAAGAACTACTATATTGCACTTCGACACATCGTCCATTGCGTTTGATCGTCCATAACTTGCCCGCGAACGCACGAGCTGCGTTCACAGTTCACTTGAAGCAAAACGGACAACAAAAGCAGCACAAAGCAAACCAAAAGTAGCGGGGGCAAGAACAGCATGAACCAGGCACGAACACAGTGAGATAATGATGTATGCGGGTAGACAATGGCCATTAAAGCCATAGTTGGAATCGGGGGCGGTAGCTCATGCCACCTAGAGGTGGGCACTGGCATGGTTGCCAGTTTTGAAATTTATAACTGTTTAGAGCACGGTGGTTTTGGAGCCGTCTTGATAGATAACACTTCATAACTGACTCACATTAAATTCTAGGAAAAAGTGTGCAATAGCTGAGTGATATTTTAACTTGGATATGTTTAAATTGGAGAAACCATCGGTTTAGCTATCATTGTTTTCCCCGTTGCGACGGTGACACGACATACACGCTAGACGTGCTGGATGTGGAGAATGAGCTTAGATAAAGTTTACTCAAAAGCAGAAAAAGAAAAAAAAACAACAGAAGTTTACACTGGCAACCATAGCATGTGGTTTATGATGTAAATTGTTGCGAATGTCATCTCTTTTTAGTTGTTTTTGTTTCTTTTTCTCGAATTAAGTAGTGATTTGCACCATCCTCACACTTCGAAATACTTCGAAACGTTTCCAAATAGTACTATTTGATTTGAAGTCCAAATCAAATATAGCATTATACTATTCAATATTCGAAGGTGTCAAATATTCGCACAACCCTAGAAAATAAGCATTGCGTTTGGATGTGTAATCAGGCTTCGAAAAGAAAAAAAAAACGTTGGTCGTAGTAATGATGTCAGTTTGAAACCGAGCAGATGATTTTAGTATGCACTAATGCGTTTCCCGGAGTTTTATTCAAAAAGCCAGTGTAATATATTACCGTAATTACCCGATTCTAACGCGCCCCCCGATTCTAACGCGCACCCCGTTTTCATACCCAAAAATGAGGATTCTAACGTGCCCACGATTCTAACGTGCACCCGGTTTTCATGCGCAAGAAAAATCGGTGCTTGTGCACAAAGAACAAGCAAAGTTTATTTACATGTAAGCATATCACTTGTCCTCGCTTTCGGACAGCTCTTTGTCGCTCTCCACGTGCAACAGCATGTCGTCCTCGGTGCCGTCCAGCGCGTTCGAAATTCCGCACTTCTTAAACAAGCACCTGTCCGTGGCCGCCCTGTCCGTGGCCCGTTGAATCCTTTCCGGGTCGACTTGCTTGCGAAGATCTTTTCTCTTTGCCTTCGCTAGTCACGAACACAAGTTTCGGGCACACCGAAAGTATGCGAAGCGGCTCTGTTGCCGTTCGTCTCGGCCTCGTACTGAAAACACCGCGCCTTAGCTGGTGCGGCGGTCATTTCAGCTCTGCAAACGCTGACAACTGACAACAAAGCAAATCGCTACAGCAGCTCTTCGGGTTGCGAAATAGACCCTTTCCGAAATTCAGTGCCATCTGCTGGTTCGTAAAGCAGTTTAGGTTCTGCCATATCAATGGCGGAAATGAACTTGTATCGGCACCGTCACTTTCGCAAGTCAACGGCACGCGAGGAATTGTTCAGTGTGAGTTCTTTCTTGATCCCTTTCAGTTCGATGGTGACCAAGAACCTGCATTCAGAACAAAGCTCCAACCCACTCAGATGCCTCGAGAAAATTCTACACACCAAAGTGCTTTAAAGCCAATTGTGTGCAGCCCACAGATTGACTGAATCTGAGTTATTAGAAATAAACGCTTACATAGCTCTTGTGTTCCATTTCTACGTCGCGTCGTACTGACCCCCCGAATGTACAGGCGTCGCAACATCCACTTAGGAGCATCTTCAACGTCTTCCTTTATCAGCCACTAGAAGGCCGCCATTGGTATGGCACAAATGCCTTTCCACAGATGATGATAGTGATCAAAGTGGCCAGACTGAATTTCGGAAAGGGTCTGTTCAAGACGAGATCGACAAGATTGCTACCACGAGACCACGTGTGTTGCGCTGTCACGCAGAGGCTACGCCGCCATCTTGTATTAGTGATAACAGTGAGACTGCCGGTAGCGTGATTTCGGTTTTAGAGCGCAGCTCTTAGGGGCCCGTTCCCGGCTTGAGCGGCGTCGCCGTCGGCGTCGGCGTAACCAAGGTCATGTGGCCCCCCAAGGTCACGTGGCCCCCCAAGGTCACGTGACCCCCAGAGGTCACGTGACCCCCAAAGGTCACGTGACACCCGAGGTCACATGATCCCCCCGAAATCACGTGACCCCCCCCCCCCCCCCCCCCCCCCCCCCCCCGAGGTCACGTGACCTCCCCGATGACGCCATCATCACTGATGACGTCACCAGCATCCGCATCGTCATCATCACTGATGACGTCATCAGTGACGTCACTGATGACCTCACCGGCATCTGCATCGTCATCGTCATCATCACTGATGATGTCATCAGTGACGTCACTGGTGACGTCACCGGCATCCGTATCGTCATCGTCATCATCACGGATGACGTCATCAGTGACGTCACTGATGACGTCACCGACATCCGCATCGTCATCGTCATCATCGCTGATGACGTCATCCGAGTCCGCATCGTCATCGTCACTGATGACATTATCGGCATCGTCATGTGACCCCCCCAGGTCACTTCACCCCCCCCCCCCCCCAGTACCCTTCCCTCCTCCTCCTCAAGGGCTGCGCTCTAATTCGGTGTTACAGGGAGTTGTAAACGGCTTTCATTTTTTTGTTTCGGTTTCGTATCCGATTGTAACGCACATGCCATTTCTAGCTGTATTTTTCTTGAAAAAATGTGCGCGTTAGAATCGGGTAATTACGGTATATGCATATTTTGATTGCTAATTGAAAACAAGAAGAAAGAGGTACAGCAGAACACGTTTTATAACTTTTCAAAAGGACTGCAATGAATAAGTGCATCAGTTGTTAGAACTGGTGCGCTTATCTGACTTTCGATAACACAACAAGCAACTCCCGCGCAATAATTTATTTTTTGTGGACGACTTTAACAGTTGTGAAAGTCATCCACGTGAAATGAATTATTGCCCAAAGGTTGCCTAACGAAAGAATATTTACCTGTGGAGAGAGCAAAATTTCCCAGCTAATGCAGGTGTTTTGCTGCGACGGCATGCCAATTGCTATGTCCAGTTTTCAGTTCCAAAGCTTATACGCAACTATGGGAAAGGCAAGTGCGAAGAAATGGGATATGAATATGCTTGTACCTTTGGGACTTCAACGCGACTGACGTTCACGAAATGTAGCGGCCAGGAGCAGGATTAACCCGGGATCGTATCAGTGAGGTTCTACTGCAATTAAAGCTCATTATGTGCTGCACACTGCTTTTTCTAACATGCAATGTTTCATGTCCCATTGTGATGCGGGCTGTTACTGTTTCTATTGGTGGCGACGGGCACCCAGGGGAACAGTACATCTATGTGCAGAATTTGTTTTGTTTATATATTTTCTTGCTGCAAAGAAGTTAAATAAATATTATGTGTTAAAAAAAATTTTTTTTTTTGTTCTTTTCTTTTAAGGAACATGAGTGTCATAATTATTTTACTCTTGAAATGTACAGATTAGCTACCAGTGAGTGTGTAAAAAAAATAAGGTGATTGACTTGTTAAGTAGGAAAACAAGGACAGCATTATAATTGGAACAACCAGAAAGGGTGTTGTTGCAATTGGCTTTCCTGGCTGTACTAACAGTAAGTGTGGGGAGGCAATTGCAGCCCAGCTCTACTTTGTCTCATTTGGCAAAGGGAGAAGGATGCACAACTTCCGTCGTTTGTACTTTATTGAGATGGTCGACAGACAATGAAACGTAAGGTGGCTCTTTAATAACAAATGCCGACGCATTATTGAGTTATGATGTTAGATCTCGGGAAAGTGAGCACAGGTGGGACACAGCCACCATTTTAGATTAGTAAAGTCATCATTGTTCCCCGGTTAACTGTTTTCTTGCTTTCTAAGAGGTATGTCACGTCGAGTTCTTTCTCTTCAAATGCTGCTAGTGGGGTGTCGTATTGTCGATAGACGCGCAAGACGAAAAGAAAAGCGTAGCCGCGACCCGACTGAAGGCCGCTTCTGTCCGTGGACAGGGTCCGTCTCCCTGGCGGGGTCCGGCGGCCTGGTGTACATCGACCCGAGCTCCCTGCGCCGTTCTGCGGCCGCGGCTGCGGCTGCGGCAGGCAGCTCAGGCGGCGGTTCGGGCTCATCGGTGGCCGCCGCATTGGCCCCGGAGTGGAGCCCCGCCACGACGGCGGTGGGGCTGGCCAGGGCCTTTGGGGCGGTGCTGAGGCAGACGGCGGACCTGCTGGCCACCCTGCAGGACTACAACCAGGCCTCCCCCGGGCTCAGCCTGCCCAAGATGCTCGAGGTGTCCTACCAGGAGTCTCTCAACATGCAGGTGAGCGCCCTCCACGGCCTAGGCATGTGGAGTAGTCCCGGAGTGACCACTGAATATGTCACCGGAGCCGCGAATCTTGATGTTGATTGTCGCGATCGTTGCAGTTGGTTGTAAAGGTGCCGACGAAAAAGGTGAACGGGAGCTAGCATCGCCATTGTCATGGCATCTCGTCCCGTGTCTCGTGCCTGCTGGAGTTTCTATAGATTTTAAGAGCTGGATATGGCAGAAAAGACATCTGCCATCTTCACCTCCTCCGCTGTGCCGCCGCCAGGACCGCGGCCAGCTACAGTATTGCACGGTTAGAATGTTGTGATGCAGAGATTGAGGGACCGTAAACAGTGTTAGTTAAACGCACCAGTCGGAGATGCATTCCAAGCACTGGCTTATGGGTAATAGTTTAAAGGCCTCCACTTTCCTCAAATCTTGCAGGCTTACCTGGACTACCACTTGAAACCAACGTGGGACTGGCTGGTGTCCGTGATGGACTCGACAGAGGCTCAGCTCCGCTTTGGCTGTGCCCTCACAAACCACTCGGACCCCAGCGGGGGTCCCCCTCCGGGACCCAAGCCCCGCCGGGGGTTCTTTGAGGACCGGCTGTCCGCCCCAGGGAGCCTGGACAGCCGCCGTAGGAACCGCCTCACCACCTATGGTGCGTTCCTGGACACTTGGACCAAATACCGTGAGCAGGGCAACAACCCACCAAAACTCGCAACTGCATGGCGCGGCAAGCGGGGGGGCGCTGGGACGCTCTCCAAGGCACTCTGGCTCGGGTTCTTCGAGTGCCGTATTTACCCAGTTCTAACGCGCGAGTGTTCTTTGGAAAAGATTTCTTCTGGAAGGTTTTTGCGTGCATTACCCCCAGCAGCAAACTTATATCCAGCAAACTTTCATTGCATCTGTTCTCTTTTTATTTTTTTTTAGTGCACAATGTAAACGGTATGATCAGACAGTGATAACAACCACCTGCGTACAAGCATTAGGAAAATATAATATGTGGATGGTAAGATTGGGGACGGGGGAGTGGAAGCTGCAAGTGTGCCGCATTAAGAGGTTCAAATATTAGGGATCCAAATTACCTTATTTTCCGGACTGTAAGTGACACTTCCGTACATTGAGTCGTTTTTACAGAAAAGTTGGTATACAAGTCGCACCTCTATGTACGGTTCACGCAATGAATTTTTTTTATTTTATGCGCATCGGTAAGGTTTGCACAACCGGTAGCTAGTTCACACGGACCGTTCGACACACAACAACTTTGACATTTCGACTTGCATGAAATGCCCAAAGCACGGCACTTTCTGGCGGGGCAATTGAACGTTTCGCAGCTAAGGGACGTAAAACGTCCAAAATGAGAAGGTAGTCAGTCGGCTTTATTCGAATGTACACACGCCGAGCGAACGAAAGTTTAACAGGCTGGACGCTCGTGAACCAAGCTTTGGACCACTAGGGCTAGTCTCGGCCAAGTGCCGGGGACGATGCGAGCATCGATGCACAGGCAGATCGATAAATCTTCACACACTTTTTTCGGTGCCACCAAAAGATCAGCTAACCACATTTTTCCTTTTACATGTAACAACACGGTTGGAGCATGGCAGATAAAAACTGCTCATCAAAAAAAAAAAAGTAAGAAAGATACGCGAAAATTTTCTGCAATGCGTGTATACCAGTCCACTTACGTTTCAGTGTTACTGGACTGAAACAAACGAATATGGAACCATGGTTGAATTAGGCAACGTTGATCACATGCTGTAAAAGCTTTATTCTCACTTCTTTCTTATCCAGATTAAACTTCTTCTAGGACACTGTAAAATTTCTCTCTTGCTGACTCAGTTATGAAGAGTGTAGAAGAGTGTGGCAACATGCAGTGCCTACTGGAAGGGGCAACACCACCTATGGCTACATAGTTACGGTGTTCTACGAAAGATGGCACGCGGCGCATAAAAGAATGGCGTCACATTGCGAATATAAAAAAGACAACGCACATAAGTCGCGCTGTTGTATAAAATGCACCAACAAAACTGGTTGAAAAAAAAAATGGCTTATAAACCGGAAAATGTGGTAAAAACACCATAGGCCTTCACGTTTTGTCTGAAGTTTGCTGTATTTTTCTGGAATGGCATGCGCTTTGGAATCGTGTAAATATGTTACAAGTGCTTATCCCTTTCCGTTAGCTTCCCGAACTACAGGGGCACGGGGTGTTCTCTGCATGACTGGGCAAATGGGATCCTCGTTTTTAACCCAGTGGAAAATTAACATTGTATGTTTGTTCTTTTCTCCTTTCACTTCCAAATCTTGCCTAGTGGAGTGGGAGGACTAATGTGTATTGTGGTAAGGTAGAGTCTGAAAGCCTGCAAGCTTTGCTTTGTGTCGTTTCGCATTTTAGCGCAAGTAAGCCATCGGCATGCTCTATAGTTTCGAAGCTCATGCAAGTGACAAGTTTAAATCCAGTTCCACACCAAATATTGCTCAGTTCAATTGGGAGTTGAGAACAATAGAGACAGCACACCCTTTGACAGGATGCTTGATGTTTTCTCAACAAGGGGTGCAAGCCAGAAAGTATAAAAGTGTGTAAATAATTCTAGAACTTTCGCTGGCTCAACCAGGATTTAATAACAAAATAAGCAGTTTAATAAATTGCTATAGCAACTTGTGAAAAAACTTAATAAATAATACAGTCGCTGACCGATTATTCGGACTTCGCTGGGACCGAAAAAACGTCCGAATAATAGAGCAGTCCTAAAAATCAGCAGATTGAAAAACTTGCCTTTATTACTTCCAAGTGGGCTTAAAAAAAGCCGTAAATAGTGCCTTGGTTCAGGTTACGCCTGCGTGCCTTGTTTTAGGTTACGCCTCCGTTTCCGTTCGACAGCTTTCTCTTAGCTTGAGAATCGCTGCCTTCTTTTCTAGCGTTATGGTCGAGTAGCAGAAGAACAAATGGGGCCATGACGTCCAAGCCAGCGTTGTCCGAACGAGATCAGAGGCGCAAATCCACGAGCGCAAAACGGCGACTGGCGACGCGAAGGAACGAGAAACAAAGCAAAATGATAATAATGATAATGATGATGACGTGCAGCTAAATGGGAAAAAAAGGGCTAGCATAGCGTCACCTAGCGGTAGGACTCGGGAGTGCTCAAGTAGCGCTACCAAACCAGGCCAATCCATTGGCAGCCAACATAGAATTCAAAATGGCCGCTTCTCGATGATCACTCGCGACAATTTCGTCCGAATAATCAAACTTTCGGACTTCAAGCTATCCGAAACATTAGTCATGAATATACCGGTACACTATTTTATGGGGTAAGTCACGGTTCCGCCTGTAGGTCCGAAATATAGAACAAGTCCGAAATATCGGAGTCCGAAAAAACGGTTGGCGACTGTATACAGTGCATGTAGTATGAACATTATGAGTAGTAGGTACATTCAGTGCTAACAAGCTCTTTACTTTTTCCTACTAAACCTAAAGTGCATTGAGGGTTTGCATGAGTGAAAGATGGAAGGATTCGGTGGGAAGAGTTTGAACGGGGGACCCTTTCAGCAGACGGTAATGACACGTGCAGGGTCGGAAGGCGTCTCCGCAAGGAGGGACTTCCTGTCGTACGCCCTCTCCCTGATGCGAGCCCACAACAACGAACACTTTGATTCGCTGCCGGTGATGGACGTGGCGTCTCTGAAGCACGTGGCCTACGTCTTTGACGCGCTCATCTACTTCATGCGCTCGGGAGCAGATGACTCCGAGACTCTGCGTGACGGTTTCCTGCTCCTGGACCCGTGGTACGCTGAGGTGAGTGCCTGCTTTTTTTCAGCAGAGCTGTTAAGGGCTGCTTTCCCCAAGATCGTGTCCCCCGCAAACAAAATGTCGACACAAAACTCTGGACAGCTACCGCCATCTGTGAGCAACGGCAGCAACCAGATAATCGGCTTGCCGGCCTTGCTCATAGATGACGACAACCTTTCCAGCCTTTCCACTCTGGATCTCACCAGAGTGGAAAGGCTGAATCTCTCTAGGCGTCGTCCTAGAGGTCGTCCTTGAAGTTGTCCTTAAGGTCGTCCTAAACGTCGTCCCGGAAGTCGTCCTTGAGGTCGTCCTAGACGTTCTCTTCGAAATCGTCCTAGAAGTTGTCCTTGAGGTCGTCCCTGAGGTCGTCCTGTGGGCGTTGTCCTCGAGGTCGTCTTAGAAGTTGTCCTTGAGGTCGTCCTAGACGTCGTCCTTAGGCGTCGTCCTTGAGGTCGTCCAAGAAGTCGTCCTTGAGGTCGTCTGACCATAGTACGGCTCCGCTGGTCTTCCTTCTTCACCAGATTGGAAAAGCTGACAGTTTTTTTTCTTTCTCATCCTTAAGGGGAAACAACTATTTGCATGATTGGAATCAAATTTGCAGAGCACATTTAGTATCATATATAAAGGCACCATGCAAAATCTTAAAGGGGCACTCAGGTGGTTTTTCAGTTCGTGTTTTGATGATGACAGCTGAATTTAGACGCCCCAAGTATCCCTAAAAACCAAAAAGTATACCGTATTTGCACGAATATAACGCGAGTTTTTTTCAGAAATTACGTGCTCCAAAACGCATCTCGCGTTATATTCGGAATCGAGTTCAGCCACGAGGCGCGCGAGTCTGGAGAAAGCCAGAGGAGAAAGCCATTCCTTCAGCTCAATGCAAAATATTTGGTGGGAAAAGAAGTGGGAGTGTGGAAGGGAATTTATTAGCTATTGGGAGACGTGAAGGGACGAATAGAAAACATAAAAAAAACATTTTTATCATTTTTGTGTTTGTACAATGCGCGCACGCCGCAGAACAACGCACGCACGCCGCAGAACTTGTTTATGCAGAGGGACCAGAACAAGAAGTATGATCGTGTATCGGATTCAGCAGTCTTTTTTTTCTGCTGCGCATTGTTTAGTTTCTGATCCAGAGTGATCCGGTGTTTGTGTGTTGGTGCTTCTGCTTCCTGCCTTGTTTGGATTGTGGGCTGCCGAGGAGCTCGCACATAAGAAAAAGGAACTACCAGACAAGCAGGTGCCGTGCTGCTGCTTATCTGCGTAGTCGCCAAGTGGACTGTAAACGGAAGGACCTGAGCTGTGAGGATGAGTGCAGTCACAACATAAACTGATATTTCTTTTATTTCCATTGACTTTTCACATCTGCTATGCCCCTGAGTGCGAGAAATTGACGCGGCCTCGGTTCGCGTTATAATAGTAATAATATTTTTTTTTCTTTTTGAGGGCATCAAAACCTGCCCTCGCGTTATATTCGTGGTCGCGTTATATTCGTGCAAATACGGTAGTCATATGGTGATTATTTCTTTAATAAAAATGTAATTGAAGGCCGCCAAACCTCGGATCCATCTGAAAACGAAACCACTCTCATTGGTCCCCGCACTCTTATCAAAAGGATCTCGGGCCAATGGCGTTGGACGACGTTCCGTCGCGCAGTGATCCCGAGGTAGCCGCATCGGCCAAACCTCTATGTCATTCGAGCTTCGATCATGGCGGATTTCTCTACGCTTGAGGACCTGACTCTGTTAGAGGTTAAAATTCTTTGGCGGACAGCCGACCTGGGGATGATTTCCTATGACGCCACTCCGACGTGCGATGTGCACGATAGCAGCGCTTCGGAGACATGTCCGAGTTGCGAGGACGACGAAACGCAGACCTTTTCGGGCGTTCTTCGATTTGCGGTTGGGGCAAGTCGTAACCAAACCAACGTTTGACATCGCAGCGTTACCTCTGGTACATGATGTCAAACGATGTCGCCACATTGACTTTCGCCTCGGGAGGACGGGGGGAAGGCTGGTTCAGACATATGCAACGAGCGCATACCTACGACTGCGTCCGTTTCATCCGGAGCGACCGGAACGACCGCTCTGCGCTGCACGTACACACACCTGCAACCACTACAACAAGCGCAGGGGGTCGTCAGCACGTCGACCGCTTCTATACGCCGCAGTCAGCTGTTTCAGCAGCCAATCTAAAAAGGGGACGCACTGCTACTCAATGCCGTAACAGTATATAAGCAGACAGTTTTCTATAGCCTAAAGATTTATTATTTTTTCTTGATAGGCTGCAGGGTACAGTGGATGAAAAAAAAGAAAATAAAAATATGCAGTCCACCATCTTGGACGATCACGACTCTAATACACGACTTTGCAATAGTACAAATCTCGCCACACGCCTTTTCTACGATTATAAAAGACAATGTGATCTTAGCAGCGATATAGCAACGTAGAAATATGATTTTGTGATCAGATAGACGTTGGAGCGTTCAGGATTGCTAACACTAATCACTTTTCTCCGGTGATGAAAACGCGTGAAAATTCGCATCCTTTATATGGTACGCGCCAGTAATAGCTTGAACTTGAGCACCCGCATGAAATGCGCCAAATAAGAAATCCGGGCGATGTTCGAGGACACAAATGCTTAGAAAGCACCACAGTAGTCGAAGTAAACGAACACGACGGCGCGGGCGTTTCTGCTGTCTTGAGAGTGCCGCCACGTCGTCGCCGCACGCGTAGGTGGATCTTCTCTTCTAGTACGTGCTGGGTTATCATAGCGACACACGACGAAAATTCACAGTCAAGGATATCGCTTTTACGCGGAACGATGAGCCTTGACCACGCCGACGATCACCACCGACGCCATGTTTGCGGATAGAAAGAGCCGACCGGCCTGCAACGCCCGGAGATAAGTGCGCTTCCGCGCATCCCTGGGGAACGGGAAATTCACCCCCGCGGAGGAAGGCAAGGAGGAAACGTAGTCCCTTGTTTGTTAAACGATAATTGCAGTATCGCGTATTCCAAACTAGAAATATTTTTTGTCTTGTGAAATTATCATGCACAACATATTTAAATGAACTGAAAATTGTTTCTTTAGCGAAACTTTACAACGACCGCCAAAATTTTCAAACATACGATAATTTCATTGGTCCTCGCAAGGGCAGAAAAGAGTCCGCACATATTTTATTCCTGCGTGATTAATAGGCGGTTCTGCCTTCTAAAACTGAAGATACTCATTCACTGACACTTCCTTAACGCCATCGCACCAAAAAGTAGCTTCTCCAAAAACCGCTTCAGTGCCCCTTTAAAGGGACAATGAAGGCAATTTTGGAGATCTTTTTGGCGATTGAACTGGGTTCCAGGCACGTCCCAGGCCACGTTTCCCAAATTTCAGCCGAAACCGGCGCTTGTGTGCCGCGCAAATCAATGAAACAGTCGCGGTAATAATCATACCGGGATCGACTGGGGCGACGCCCCGAGAGTTGCGGGACAAGCCAGGAGAAGCGGAGCTCACGTGACTGATGCGGGGCCAAGAAGCGCGACGTCACAAGAGACGCGTCAGCGATTGGTCGAAACGAGAGACGCGCCCTCGGTCACGTTTTGGTTCGCGATTTTTAGAAATACTGTTCTAATTTGCGCTTGAATAACCATCAAAAGTATAAATCGGACCGGAAATAATTACTAAACCGTAAATAAAGCAGCATCATTGTTTTTTTCTTTGCTACGCTGGACGCGAAACCGGCAGCGAGCAACTATGGGCAAACAAAATAAAATTAAAAAAAGAACACGGTACTCGAAAGATTTTGCAGAATGGTAGCGTGGTAGCTGTGGATGGCTGTTCTAACGGTTGACCGAAGACCAGTATTCGTAAAAACTAGCGTCGACGCTAGTTTTTAAGGGTGGGTTTCTGTTCGTGTTCTTTGACTACAAAAAGAGAACGTCTGCGGAGGAACCGGATCCCGGAACGGCGGGATCGCTGCCACTTTCCTCTCGGCATCTCCCCCGCGTCCGTCCTTCGGCATGCGGGCCGCTCGTTGCCGGCTGGGCGGTCTCCGTCGGGTGATGGCAGAGGCCGCCACACACGTACTCCCGTTCCCTTTGTGTTCGGTCACTCAACGGAAGCTCGAACTCACTCGCGAGAGCGGCATTGCCGTCCATGTTGACAGATTCGGCGAAACGACCGCGCCACCGCGCTGCTATAACCCACCGCTGTAACCAGAGTCTCGATCTCCTAAATACTACCGATACTGACTATTCACACTTGACGTCACTCCTACGTCACCTCCGTTTTCGGAGGCCCAGAAACGAGAATGGAGATTGTTCAGTTTCGGTTTCTTTACTGCTTTCGTAGGCACATAAATACTCGTCACAATTGTCTACAAAAAATTGGGCTGCATGCTATGTTCCCAAGAAGCATTAAAACACCATTTAAAAAAATTAAATAAAATTGTCTTCATTGTCCCTTTAACTCTCTAGGATAAATTTGTCAAATGTTGCACATTTCTGAATGAAGGAGTGGTGTTCTTTGTCAAGGAATCTATCATATACAAATAATGCCATAAAAGCAACTATTTTATTTCTTGGATGTGAAGTAGGGGGTGTATATCTTCAGGCTATCTAGTTTCTACTACTCCGGTGTAAATATTTCCGAAGGAAATATTACCTCGAAATATGAGATGCCTTTTTTTTTCAATTGATCTGTCAAAATGTTAGGGGTTTTCAATGTTCCCTCTAAATTAAAAGGAAACAAAATAGATAGCCCAATCCCTCAGTAAATTTCAGTTGAGAAATATCTTGAATAAGGCATCAAAACGCTTTTACTAGCGAACAAAAGATTTCTTTATATAAGGTTTTCAGAAAAAAAAGTTAAATCGAGAAAACAGCATTTAAACATCCAGCTTTTCTTCTTCTTTTTTTTTTTTTTAATTATTGTTTTGCTATCTGCACTTACTAAAAAGGCCCAGCAGCTTAGGTTGGTCCTTCGACGGCCTGGTCCTTCTGTTGCTTGGCGATGGCCTGGAGCCTTCTTTTCTTCTGGGCCACCTTGGAAGACCGGAGTGCTTTTTGTTTGGCCTTTGAGATTTTGGCTTGCACGGCTTTGCTGGAGTCCTGCACCCGGTGACGTCCAGGCTCTATGCTCATCTCAAGGAGGGCACTCTCAAAGCCTGTAGGGCCCAGGTTAAATTCCAACACTGCTGGGGTGGCAGCTGTTTCCAGCGTTCTCCGGGACGCAAAGTGTCTTTGGGCATCGCCTCCACGCCAGAGCGTTGTATGACTCGTTCCCATTGTGTGTCTTCATTCTGGCGCATCACTCGAGCAGCTTATTCCTGGACAGCCGATTGTACAAAGGCACCAACTCCTTTGCAGTCTCTCTGGAGAAGGCAGGGTGGTGGGGTTGTGGCTTTGACGGCTTTCCTGCTGCCTCCAACACTGCGTGACGGTTGAAATGGCACCATGAACACTTTCCCTGAGGGCAGGCTTGATGATGGGGCCCTTCATCAGTAGAATACGAGTGCAGCAGGCTACTGCACACTGCTTTCTGCATTGCCGGACCATTCGGTGCATTCTCCTTTAGCGCAGAAGTGTAGTAATTTGTTACCCTCTTCATAACAACATTGGTATGTTTGCCTTTTCCACCAAGTCCTTTTTTCGTTTTCTTGAGCGTCTCCATCCCCGCATACATCCTTCTGGTGACATGGTTGACACAGTCCTCTTTTCGCAGTTCTTTATCATAAAAATGAAGTTCAGCGACATGGTTAAAAACTTTAAGGTCCCTGTCAGATAGAACTGTCAGATAGAACTGTCACATGCTGCAGGCCATGGAGCTAAATGGATCGGCGGAAGATCTCCACTTGATTTCTCCACGGGTCCGAGACTGCAGCCATAACAATAATTGCTTTGGGCAGAGAGGTCCAAAACTGAGCCTGTCTCTAACTCAATTACCACACTAACACTGAAGTGTGAAGTATGGCCGTGCTTATGCCAAGTGCCATCATAAGTTACACAATTATCCAACAGACCATTGTCATCTGATCCGCGGGCTTGGCGCGACATGTACACTTGCGTGTACATGTCGCGCACCACAAGTGCAGAGGCGAGTAAGCGTTGATGCCAGCAAACAAGTTCGTTAGCTTCATGTAGCCGATGCCGCCTTCACGGGATGCAAGACAAATATGTGCTTCCAGTTCACTTCGACGCGAGTGGTTAACGGTCGATGAGTAAAGCGCCTGAGCGATGTCCCCACACTCTGGGATTGACAACAAACTCCGCCTGAGCTCCTTTGTCGCTCTCGTTTGGTTGGAGGTCTGATCCATTACACACTGGGCACTGGAGACCGTTGATCAAATACTCTATGGCAGACACACCAACGAGGCGATAACTGTCAAGTGGAGTGCCAGAAGCAATGGTAACGTCTGCTGGATTTTCGGCGGCGTCACCGTCTTGTAGGAGCGATATCTTGCGCTCTATCGGAGTTAGCTCTTCGAACTCTCCGAGGTTGTCGGGAAGAGGCGAAGGAACTTCGGCCAATTACTCAAAAGTCACGTCCAAGAGCAACGAAATGGGGAGGCGGCGATGTAATCGGCTGAATCGGGAGTGGAGACAGTAAAGAGGCTGACTTCGTCACATTAGGCCTAGGACACTGCTGCCATCCTCCCGATTTTCCTCTCGTTTTCATCGATCGGCGGCAAGCTCTGAAGGCTTGACGAGCGTGCCGTTTAACCGCCGGCATTGAGTAAAAAGAGCAAGCGATAGTTCAACCGAAGCACGAAGCGAAAAAGCAAACACGAAAGTGTCGGCACACTCGGATCAAGTGACGTGTTGCCAGCCAATAGAGGTCCCGGTTTCGTTTTCAAGTCGATTGTGACCAACACCTAGGGAGGCTTTTTCTCTGCCCCTGTGTACTCTCAAACGAAAATTATTATTGTTAATAAAATCTCGAAAGATACCACGTTTTCAGCAAGGTTATGGACATCACCATAGTGCCAACGAGCGCGAAGTGATCGGCATTTGAAACCGGTAAACATTGCAGACTTGGTGCTCTCCGGATCGACTCGGGAATGCAATGTGCATCGCGACCCCTCCAAAAATATTTTGTATAGACGTAAATGTCCGCAGTACGCATATAAATTCTTCAGGAAGGGTGCACTATTAGTTTCTGAAACTGATAACATCAAAATTTGAAAAATTCGATATTTAAAAAGAAATTAGAAATTTGAGTATTTGTATTTCCCCTCTTAAAGGACACATGCAAAGGAAAAAAACATTTTTTTTAGACAGCTTAGATGGAAAAAGGATGTCATAAAACGATTTTACAACGAAGAAACAAAATTTTTAGAGCTATATTTACGGCGCTATACGAATTTGTAGTTGGCGCTCGCGGGAGCCGCTGCTGGTCACGTGGTAGGCCGCGCTGCGTCGCCGCCGCACGCTGAGCGTTGTGCAAACGCCGCTTCAACGCATTTCTCCAAGCCGCCGTCGCCGCCGCCGCACAAGTTTGTCTGCTTCGGGGCGCCGCCGCCGTCGTCTGACCGGCGCACAGGTCTATCACGTCTGCTTGCGCTTTTTCAGGAGTTTCCTTTGGGCTCTAAAAGTTACTTATTCGTCTTGGTTTTTTGTTATACTTCAAACAAAGATGAATAAGTTACTTTTAGAGGCCATAGGAAGCTTCCGAAAGAGTGCAAGCACCACGTGATAAATAAAGACCAGTCACGTTATAAATACAGACCACTTTTCCGCGGTGCCCGCGGGCGCCAACTACAAATCCGTTTTGCGCCGTAAATATAGCTCTAAAAATTTTTTTTCTTCGTTGTAAAATCGTTTTATGGCGTCCTTTTTTCATCTAAGCCGTTTTAAAAAAATGTTTTTTTCCTTTGCATGTGTCCTTTAGCATCTTGGGGGAAGGAGTAACGTTAGAAGACACGGGATCTAGGGGACAGAGACTTTCCTTTCAAACTCATTACTTGGCTTCCGTTACGTTTGAAGCTTGTAACAACGACTCCTTTTGTTTTCAATTGGGGTGATCTAGCTTGTCCCTGAAGTCGTCCACATAGAGCAACAATGAAATATTGAACGTGCTTCGAAGAAGGCTCATGGCTGTGTCATAGGCGCTCAAATAACCGACGCACGAATGTTATGCCACACCCTCACTTTTATCGGTGTCTCGTAGCAGTTTCCGTCATCTTCCTCGGTATCGAGTTACTGACCTGCCAGAGCTCGCGCCTTGTTTGTTTCATCCCGCCCCAGGACTACAACGAGAACGAAGACCAAGAAGAAGAGGCGGGGCCCGTGTCGAACATGCAAGTCGACATGGAGAGCTGCTGTGACGAAGACCAGCCGGCCCCGCTCTCGGGGGCGGGCGGGTCGGCCTCGGAGGGCCCCTCGGGGGCCAGGGGCCGTCGGCACCCCTTCTTCCAGCGCTCGGACTCCACCCTGTGCCTGGGCTGCCAGGCCCCCGACCCATTCGCGACCCCTCTGGCAGAGGCCCTGCCCCTGGCAGATCGGCCTCAGCTGCTGACCCCCACCGCGACGCGGCAGGAGCTGTTTGGAGCCCCCCGCGCGCCCCAGCCGTCTGGGGAAGGGGCCCCCCCACTGCCCCCACGCCTGGGACTGTCGAGGGGTGGCACGGGCATGCCCACCTCCGCCCAACGAGCCGCCGAGGTGCCCAGGGCACCCATCATAGTGGCGGCACCTTCCTCGGGGCGCCGGCCACCGCCCCCCGCAGCCGCCCAGGAGGGAAGCGCCGGGCAGGGAAAGTCCAGCGTCATTGTCCTGGCGGGCTCTCACCGGACGCAGGCCCAGCCGGTGAGTTTCGTGTTGAGGCTCATTCATATTGAGCATTTGAGTATATTTTGATAGCTTTTGTCAAGCTGTGGCCAAGAGTCACCGAGACACCCCTGCTTTGCACTAAGCACGACAACCGATTCAGGGGGTGGCTTTGCACGGGGCACAGAAGGCACGGATCTGATGGTGACTCATGTTCATGTCACAGTAGGACGTTACGAAACACAGCTGTGAATGTCCTTTCACTGTTTCCCACAGAACTTTTTGCCTCCCAAGGAGGGCCGTGTGTCTCGTAAAAGAAACGCAGCAATAACTCTTTCGGCACTGAATGTTAGGATAACTTTGTGGCCAAAGATTCATCTACCATATTTTCCGGTGTGTAAGTCGCGTTTATTTTTTAAAGCATTTTTTGGTGTGTTTTATACAACTATGCAAGTTATATGCATTTTCTTTTTTTTTTAATTCACGCTGCGACTCCACTTTTTTACACATTGCGCGCCATCTTTCATAGCGCACCGTAACTATATAGCCATAGGCGGTGTTGCGTTTTCAAGGAGGCACTGCTGTTGCCGCAGTCTTCTAATCTTTTCATAACTAAAAGCGAGGAATTTTAAAATTTCCCCGAAGCGGCTCAATGTGGATGTGCGAGACAGTGAGAATAGAGCTTTTACCGCATGTGATTGACGCTGCCTAAAGGGGTGTCCAAACAGGACACGACAAAACCCACGACTCCGGCAAATCGTGCCGCGCTCTGCCGCGATCCGCTTCCGGCCGTCGGAGGGAAATTTCCCTCCGTCAATTCTTCCCGGGGGGAAACTTCCCTCCGTCAAATCTCCCCCTCGCTTCCTCCACGGCGGCCTTGCTCTGCTCATCACGTGGGTCCGGAGAGCCACTCACACGCTCTGTTGGCTGTCGGTCAATTGCTCAAGGCCTCCGCTCACAATACGGAACCGCATCGGACGCCATCACGACGAAAGTGAATCTCGACAAAGAAAGCAGATCCGAGGCGGGCGAAACGCACCCTTCGACGCAGGAATGTCCCAAATCCACCCAAAGCCGGACCTCCTTGGCCTTCGAGCCGAGGTGACGGCGGTACGCGAGGGTGTTGGCGAAGTGAGACAGACGCAGGTGGCGTGTGACGTCAATCTGAAGAGGAGAGCAGTCGTGATCGTAAAAATTTTCACGACTCCTGCAGACATTTTCACGACTCCGACAGACCGTAAAAATAGAAGCGTCCGCTTCGATTTTCACGATTTGTCGGAGTCGCGGGTTTTGTAGTGTCCTGTTTGGACACCCCTTAATTCAGCCATAATTTCATATTTTTTTTGCTTCAGTCCAGTAAGACTGGTATACACACATTGCAGTATATTTTCTCGCGTCTTAGTTTCTGTTTGATGAGCAGTTTTTCTGTCATGCTCCAGCCCTGTTGCTACATGTAAATGGAAAGATTGTGGCTAGCCGATCTTTTAGAGGTACCGAAATAACTATGTCAAGATTTATCTATCAGCCTGTGCATCGATGCTTGCGTTATCTCCGGCACGTGGCCTAGGCTAGGCCTAGTGGGACAAAGGTTGGTTCATGAGTGTCTGGCACATTAAACTTTTGTCGGCATGTGTTCGCTCGAATACACCGGACTACCTTCTCATTTTTTGTGTTTTACGTCCTTTTGCTGTGAAACACTTGATTGCCCCTGGCAGACAGTGCCGTGCTATGAGCATTTCTCGCGAGTCGAAATGTCAAAGTTGTTTGTCCAATGGTGTGTGCGATCTAGCCGATTGTGCGAAACTCAGATTTTGCAATACCGCTTGAACCAAGCAGAAAGGTGTGACTTGTAGAAAGGTGCGACTTGCAACTTTTCCACGAAAACGGCTCAATATACGGGTGTTCAACTTACACAAGGGTGTGACTTATAGTCCAGAAAATATGGTAACTGGAGTTTGACCTTGGTTGGGATAACAGAATTGAGTTCTGATTGATGCACTTGTCATTGCATTCGACCAGGAGGATGCCTTCAAATTGTGATTTTTGCTTCTTTTGGTGTGCAGCTTTTTTGGATGTAGCAAGTTTTTAAAAAGAGATGTTCGACGGTGTCTTTCTTTTTCCAACAGTCTAGCGAGGCTCCACCGCCATACTCTGGAGCCCCCAGCCCAGCCGCCGAGGTTACCGTCACCTCCAGCAATGCTCTGCAGCCTTCGGCAAGAACAGAAGCCCCTGCACCAACCTCCACACTTCCCGGAGCTCCGCAGTCAAACCCCGAGACCGGCACGAGCACAGCAGCCTCCACTTCAAGGTGCCTGCCTCAGTCACATCGGGAAATGAAAACAGGGTCTTCATTTCCCAGCTCTCTCCACATTACTACAGGGTTGACCTGCCATGCACTATTCTGTTGCTCAAAGAAAAAAGGACAGCAATTCTTTGTTTTTGTTTATACTTTTATAGTGTGCATTTTCAAAGGTCTTATTTCTAGAAGGGTTTTTGAAGGTTGGCTTTCTCTGGCAGTGCTGCAAGGGGGGAGGAGAGGCTTATGTAACTTGCTTTTTCTCCAGCTTTCCTCACTTGCTCGCTCCTCACCGTGAGACGACACCCGGGCATGAGGCAAACAGTACTCTCGGGGAGTCGGGTTTGTGCAGCGAGTGCTTGAGCAGTTATCCACGTCTGTGAGAGGGGGATGGATACATTCTATTTTAACATGACCTTCCGGCGTTAGAGGCTGATGTACCAGCCTTGGTTTTCTGCAGGAAAGATAATCCTCTTAGCACTTCCCTCTCCTAAGGTGCGAGGGGTGCCAAGTTGGGGCGAGGTAAAAAGTGGAGAGGATATAGGAAGGAAAGGGGCAGGCAAAAGTGGAAAGCATGAAGTGTATGTCAACCTTTAAGTAGCATCGCATTACTGCGTGCCTGTAATAGTCACTCACAAGGTGAGATCGGCAGGGCCTCTTTTTCGTAGGCCTCCAGCACGTTTTCGTTGCCCTTTGCTTTGCTGGAGGCGAGACTACCCAAACTCCTCCCTGCTGTTCTCACTCTGTCGGCAACTATAGTACCATCAGAAAGGCAGCAGTTTATTTGCCATAGCTATGAGAAAGTGATGATGCTTGCACTGTTCGCGCGACTTGACGATCTAGGCACCCGAAGTACGTCCAGTACCATGTTTCTTTCAGTACACTTTAGGAAAGCTTAGCCTTCGGAGTGGTGACGACCCTTCGTCTGGGTCTGCAGCGGTGCCACTGGCGTCGGACCCAACAGTCGCCCCGTGTGCCAGAGCAGCGCCCTGGGGCAGTTGGTTCCCCACGACGTGCTGCTCAGCCGCTGGCAGCTGACCCTGGAGTTATTTGGGCGCGTGTTCGTGGACGACGTGGGCGCTGAACCGGGCTCGGTCATCAGCGAGCTGGGCGGGTTCCCGGTCAAGGAGGTGCGCTTCCGCAGGGACATGGAGAAGCTGCGCAACTCACAGCAGAGGGACCTCACCCTACCCAAGGTGAGCCTCTTTCCTTGCAGCCGCTCTGTAAAGTGTTCTGTTCGGAATGGGTGAAAGGCTCCGACTAGATACGAATGGGTTTTGGTCCTGGTCCTCCTTACCATAAGGCATGGGACTGTGATGCGACGTCGCACACAACACCGGCCTGCGTAGCGTTGTTGCCGAGCCACACCTTAGTTGCATGTTGCGCGCCTTTGTTGCTTATGTATAGGCACTATCCTAGGGTTGATCTTTTTGCACTACACATATTCTCCTACTTTTGCCGCAGCTGTACACTTTCCTGTTTCTTTTGCTGCAAGGTTATGCACTAAGAACTGTCAGCGGCGATACACTGGAAGATTCGCATGGTGACTCTGAGTGCTGAAAAAAGAATTTTCACTCTTGGTTTATCCTATGCAATCTGAAGATAGTGAGGTCCCAGTAAACACGCGTTTGGAGAGCATCGCACCACCAGTCGGTCCTCGCAATTGCGTAACAAAGGAGCCGGAGCTTGCAAACTTGCCAGGTGCCTCGAGGCCTGCTCAAAGTCGTTCCGTTGCGGACTCTGCTCCTCTGCGACGCCCCCTCCTCTGGTTGCAGATGGAGCGTGAGCGTAACAGCCTGCTGCAGCAGACATTCAAGGAGCTGAACACGCAGTACAGCAGCTACAGCCGGCGCAGCATGGGGGGCACCCCACCGCTGGCCATCAACCGAGTCAAGGTCACCTTCAAGGACGAGCCCGGCGAGGGGTCCGGCGTGGCGCGCTCGTTCTACGCGGCCATTGCCGAGGCCGTCCTCTCCCTCGAGAAGCTGCCCAGCCTGGACGGCTGCCAGGGAAATCGCTCCCTCCAGTACAGTGAGTGCTTCTCTTCTCTGTACTCCTCCCCCTCCTCTTATACATGGTAATTTTGGTCTTATTACAAGTATTGGGCAAGTTTTTAACACAAAATCTGGTTTATGAGTCACTTTATATGAAAAAATTGTCTCATGAGTGCACGACATGCTGGGAGTGTTGTGCAACGTTAATGGCTTACAAAGGCTTCTGTAAAATCAATGCAAGAAACGCACCCCAGTGAGGCTCGAACCTGGGACAGTGCAGTGGCAGTTGGATACTATGGCCACTGAGCTGCGTAGCACAGCTGCTCTGGAAGAGTAGGAGGGCTTTATTTGCGTGAAAAATGTGCTGGTGAGAGCTGCATGTTTTTAATTAAAACATAATTTAAAAAGAAAATAAAAATAATGAAAAATCTAGAGAAATAACGCTCCATGTGTGTGATTTGTGCTGGATTTTTCGTTAGTCTTTTTGTGCTCCCTGGTTTTTGTCAGCATTGTCAAGCTTGTATACCATAAAATCCTGAGAGATGCCAAACTTCTGAAAGATAACCCACCCCTATTTTTGGCACGATTTGCTATTTCTTTAAAAACACCAAAAGATAGCCCACCTATAGTAATTGCAGGGCCCTGTCCTCAATGGTGACCTCGGCAGAAATGGTGTTGCTTAGCCATGACGGGAGATGAGCGAACACTGCTGATGGGAAAGGACAGTTGTCTTGAGTTCATCACCCCTCACTGCGATCACAAGTTTCGCAGGTGACAGAATCTAAAACTAACATTCTTTCAACTTTTTTTTTATTGCACACCGAAAGTTAGCCCACTCCTTGTTTTCACCAGATTTTCTTTCGGTTTTAGGTGGGCCATCCCTCAGGATATTACTGTAGATTTTGCTATATAGGCCGTTGATATGGGATGGATATAAATATGAAGCTTTAAAACAGAGCTGTATCCTTTTATTAGAATGTCTAATGCAGTGGTGGTCTGGTCTCACTGTCCGCGTCAGTTTTGTTAAGGGGGGACACGGGCTCCAATTCCCAATTTTTTTTTAAAAAGTGCATTTTTCAAATTTGTTATATCTGATTTCAGAAACTAATAATGCACCCTTCCATAAAATTTCATGCCCGTACGTCGAGTATTTAAGCAGATATAAAAGATTTTCGACAGGTCGGCGACGCGCCTCCTATCCCCGAGTCGTTCCGTCGCGCGATCGGTTGACCATTTTCAAATGCCGACCGCTCCGCGCCCAGTTGGCCTACCGCGATGTTGATACCCTCGTTGGAAGCGTCGTTTCTTCGGGCTTTTATGACGATAGTAAACTTCGTTCGAGAGTAAGCATGAACAAAGCCAGAGCCCTCTAGTTGTCGGCTATAATTGGCTTAAAAACGAAACTCAAGCCTGGATTGGTCCGTGACACCCCACGTGATCCGCTCGTCTCGTTGTCGTTGCTTCGGCCGAACGTTCGCTTCTTTTGCTTGCTCGTTATATATTTCTCACAGTTTTATCGTTTTATCTACGGTCTCGTCGCCGCGATGCCGGCCGTTAAACGGCATTCCCTCCAAGCCTTTGGAGCTCGCCGCCATTCTGTGAAACCAAGAGGCTCGTCAGGTGGACGCGTACGATGCGCTAACCCTAACGGAACCACGTCGGACGCGTCAGCTGCTTCGCTCCCGAGCGCGTCACCATCTCCCAGTTCGTCGCTTCAGGACCTGCCCCCTGAACAACCAGCCGACGTTTCTTCGTCTCTTCCTGAAGATTATGAGGTTGTGGAGGAGCTCACGGCGATAGAGCGCAAGATCTCGCTACTGCAAGAGAGCGATCCCGCTGCGGATCCCACGGACGCTCCCGCTGCTCCCGACGGTGCCCCAACCGAAGGTTATCGTCTGGTTGCTTTATCTGCCATCGAGACACTGGTGTCCGCTCTTCTGTGCCCAGTGTGCCGTGGATCAGACCTTCAGCTAAGCGAGAGTGGCAAGGGAGTTCAGGCGCAATTCGTCGTCGTCTGCCCAGACTGCGGGGACGTTGCTCGGACGCCGCACTCGTCGACCATCGGACACTCGCGGCAGAATGAATTGGCAGCACGGATTTCTCTTGCGTCTCGTGAATGTGGAATCGGATACACGAAGCTTACGAACTTTTTTGCCGGTATCAATGCTCCTTCGCCCATGCATCTCCGATCTTATCAAGATCTGGGAGAAAAGGTCCACGACGCCTCAGTGAGAGCAGCCAGCAACGTAATGAGCAAGGCAGCAGAAGCTGTACGAGAAACACGCGAGTCAGATAGCGGCGATTTGATGGACGTTTGTGTGACATACGATGGCACTTGGCATAAGCGTGGGCACACTTCACACTTTGGTGTTGGAGTTGCCATCGAGCTTGAGACTGGACTAGTTTTGGACTATTCTGTCCAGAGCAATTATTGCCATGGATGTAGCCTTGGACCTGCGCAGGGATCTGACAGCCATGAAGACTGGGCCGAAAATCACAGGGCAGTATGCCAGAAGAATTTTGCTGGGTCTGCAAATGCGATGGAGCTGCAAGCAGCAGACGAGATCTTCCGTCGGTCCGTCCAACTCCACAACCTGCAGTATGTGACAGTGCTGTGCGACGGGGACAGTAAAGCCTTCAACCATGTTGCGGGACTTGATCTTTACGACAAGGGCATGAGGAAAGAAGACTGTGTGAACCACGTCGCCAAAAGAATGTATGCTGGCATGGAGGCCCTAAAGAAAACAAAAAAAGGTCTCGGTGGAAGGGGCAAACTAACGAACCTTGTCATGAAGAAATTGACCAGCTACTATGCATCTGCACTGAAGACCAGTGCCCCAGACGTTCCAGCCATGCAGAAGGCAGTGTTTGCCAGCCTCCTCCACAGCTACTCCACCGATGAAGAGCCCCGGCATCAGGCCTGCCCTCATGGAGAACATTCCTGGTGTCACTTCAATCGCCAGAAAGCGCTGGAGGCAGCAGGAGAGCCGACGAAGCCACAGCCACACCGCCCTGCCTTCTCCAGAGACATCGCAAAGGAGTTGGTGCCCCTCTACAATAGACTCTCAAGGCGGGACCTACTCGAGAGGTGTGCTAGGATGGGAACGCAGAACAACAACGAGTCGTTCAATGCTCTGGTGTGGAGGCGGTGTCCCAAGACGGATTTCGCCTCTCGAAGAACTGTGGAAACTGCCGTGGCTCTTGCCGTCCTGGAATTCAACCTGGGCCCCAAGGGCTTTGAGAGGGCCCTTCATGAAATGGGAATCGAACCCGGAAGCCACCAGGTTCAGCACGCTGACAAGGCCCTCCAAGCCAAGGTCTCCAAGGCGAAGCAGAAGGCCCTCAACTCTTTGAAAGTGGCCCATAAGCAAAGGAAGCTGGCAGCAATCGCCAAGGCACAGAGGGACCAGGCAGCCGAAGGGGAGACCTACTCTGCCGGCGCCTTTTAGTGGACACAGACTGGGCCAAACTAATAAAGTAAAGGTGCTCAATGTTTGAATGCGTTTTTCTCAGTTTCACTTTTTTGCTGCAAACTTTGTAGCAAGGAATCTATCGTTTGATGGTAAACATATCCAGGTGCCTCGTTCAAAGTGTTTCTGAACTGAAATTTACTGGGGAATTGGGCTATCTACTTCATTTTGTTTTAAGTTGAAGTCATCACTGAGAAAAAGTGACATTTTGGCAAAATGGCATTCAAAGAAAGTGCATATCATTTTTGGAGACAGAATTTCTCTCCGAAATATTTACATTTTAATCATACAAATTAGATAGCCCAAAGCCACATACCCTCTACTTCATATCCAAGCAATAAAAACAGTGGTTTAACATTTCATTTTCATACGATAGATTTCCTAAGGAAAGGTGCCACAGCCTCATACACAAATATGTAACTTTTTACATAATTCTCCTATAGAAGTCAAAGTTTGCACAGTGTCCCTGCATCTGCTCATAAATGCACTCTCCAAATTTCGTTAAAATCGGACGAGGAGTTCAAAAGTTAATAATTACGCCAGTGTCTCCCCTTAAGTTTTGCACTTGCCTGCACCTTGCTGTGCCCAAAGGGAAAAATTGCGCCAAACTGCGCCAAAGCGAACAGATCTGCAAATTAATTGGTTTCTGGAAGAGTTCTCTATTTTAATTTGTGTTGCCATCACAAACCAATTCAGGTATTTAGCTCAGTCGCATTGTTCCCCACCACTTTTTCCAACATTCCCAACGTGGCGCAGTTTCAAGAGTTTTAGTTGCATTTTGAAGTGCACTACTGAAGACTAACAAGCGCAAGTAATTATTTTTTTCTGCGTGCCCATGTTCAGAAGCGTGACATTGTTTTATAAAAATGTGCTCGTTACACATATGTGCTCGCTCGGTCGGGACTGCTTTTTAAGACGATTGATGTGAATTCTTGATTATACTACTGTAGATTAGTGAACCCATAATATTTTTATTGATTACGCTTTTGCCTACTAACTCAAATTTTTGGGAAACTAGATTGCTATCACGACAGAGGGAAAGCGAAGCAAATCAGTCATTGGATGTTTCCACAGTGAGAGGTCACCAGGAAGTATCATTGTAGATAAAATGTTTGTGACGAAGCATGTTTTCTTTATAATTTATGATGTCCAGACAAAGCTGATTTTTGTGATACGTGAGAATACTTTGTATAGTGCCTATTTACTTCTCTTTATTATCTAAGGGTTAATATTGGTACTCTACATCGACTTCTTAATGGTGATAGCACGCTTACATCAATCCTGCTAACTTTTGTCTACTAGCACTTATTTAAACAAAACATGAATTTGACTAAGTTGTGTGGCACAGCTTCGTAGCACTCGAAGGGAAATTTGGCTAGTACAGTATAACTGCTAACTTTGGGTTTCTAATGGGCATCAAGGAACTGATTACATGAATGCATGCTGGCATTACTAAGAGGGAACTGAAGCAAATTGCTTCAAACTCACATACGTGCTGCTGCAAAGCTGCTCCAAAAATTGCTGCAAGCTCAAAACAGGATAGACCACCCCTGCTAATGGCTTGGTGTGTGAGACATGCTGTTGTCATAACTGTGGCCCTTTTTTGGGCTTCGGTGTTTTTGTTCATCCCTTCGTGCTCGTCATAGTTTCAGCAATCGGTTGCAGTGTCGGCAATCATTTTGAGAGCTGGCGCCGTAACTCGAGAGAAGCAGGGGTGAACTGGGAGGGTTCGCCGTCGCTCGCACTTGCGAACGAGCAGCCCTCCCTGCCGTGTGGCTGCGTGGGCATATAGCATTGCCCACTGGCATTCCAGACCTGATCCAGCGGCTGCGGTCGAGGGAGCGGGACAAGGAGCGGCGCAGCGGGGGCGCCAGCCAGGCCCCTAAGTCCGGGGGCGGCCTGCGCTACGACGCGCCCCCCTTCGTGATGCCCGGGGAGGCCGGGGGCAGCGGACAGGCCTCCAACGACCACCTGAGCCCACACCGGCAGCAGCTGGGACAGCGGCTTTACCCGCGCGTCCACGCCCTGCGCCCAGTAAGTCACGGAGCTCCTACGACAGATCTGATGAGTCCACCGTCCTTCCGTGCCGGGGGGGGGGGGGGGGGGGGAGGGAGGGGGGAGGGGAGGGGAGGGGAGGGGAGGGGAGGGGAGGGGGAGGGGAGGGGAGGGAAAGGGGAAGGAAGGAAGGGGGAAGGGGAAGAGGAGGGAGGGAGGGAGGGAGGGAGGGAGGGAGGGAGGGGAGGGGAAGGGAAGGGAAGGGAAGGGGGTTTGTCGGCAGGCTGTTGGCGACATTTTAATATGCGCAGAGAAGCAGCAAGGTATCACTTGCGAGGATGGTGCTGAGTGTCTTCTTGCTTTATTTTGTGAGAGAACTCTCCAGTCCTGTATTGCACTTCGACGCTTACGTTTCTGCCGCACTCTACTTTCATCTGGACCCCTCACAATAGGCGTAAAGTCTCGTTTATTTTGTTGTTTGGCTACATGTGTCGGGAAGGCACTATTGGTGTGCGGTGTATATGGAACTTACGCCGGTCCCTAATTTTAATTGTCGTGCTTATCACACACTTACCGTAATATCCCGAGTCATCGCCCACCCCCCAACCGCCTGAAATTCGTTAAAAAAGTGGGGTGGGCCATGTCTCGGTGGGTGAGCACAAACACTTGAGAAAAAGCGGAAAAAACCGCCTATTTTTCTCTGCGTATCTAGCGCTGATGCACAAGAGATACATCAAACTCAAAACTCGATTTAGTTTCATTGTTTTATAGAAAAAAATGCTCACGAAAGAATATTTTACTATAGCGAAGTCCGTTGCTTGCATACGCGCTAGAAACACCGCCGATCTGCATATAGCACGAACGTTTGTTCCGTGAAAGAATGTCACCATTATGTTCTCCTAGTTAGTAAAAAAAAAAAAAAAAAAAAGAAAGAAAAGTTTGCAAGAAAATAGAAAAACCGACCAGGCGCAACGAGCGAGCGAGCGGACCAAAGAACCAAGAGCAATGCTGGGAAAGCGGGAAAGCCGGCGGTCGCGTTCGCAAATACTTTGGCGTGGGGCCAAGTCGGGCGCCTTGTCAATTGCAAGCTCTTGCGCAACTTCCTTGTTTGGTGCATACGTGCGTCCGTGCACGGCGGGCTATCAACGCACGGTTGGGACGCTCTGCAAACGTCTGTGTAGGACGTTCCAGCAAAGCTTTATTTACGCTTTGGCTTTGCCTAAAATATTGCACAACAGCGGTGGCGACGGGCGGGAAGAAGGAGCGGGTTCGCGGTGACTTTACTTCGGCGGAGACAAACTTTGACCTAACACTCCGCGGTTACGTTAACAAAGTCTTATTTTGTTATCTCCATCGTTTTCTTTTCGCAGGGATACACGACCACTTTGGGGTCGCTCACAATTGTGTAAACAAAAAGAAGTGTCTTTCCCTTCTTCGGTTTACTTTGTCACGGACGTCCTCCAACTGTAGGGTCCGCGGCCGCGTCATTCGGGTAGGATGAGTGTTCGCGGATCGCAGAGTCCGCGCTGAGGTATTTGAAGGGGTGGGCGATGACTCGTTGTTTTTTCGGAAATCGATATTGGCCCAAAAATTGGGGTGGGCGATGGCTCGGGGATGGGCGATGACTCGGGATATTACGGTAGTATTTTTTGTCTAGACCCGAGTGGCTGAAGATAGCCTTCAGAATAGGGCACGTTTTACCGTCTTGTGTGGAAGCATTAAATAGCGTCATTGCCACTTAAGCAGACTGTTTCGTAGGTTCGCTAAAGTGGTTCTTCGCTTCAGTGTATGTCTCGAATGTTGGATGCACATGGAAAAACAAATTTTTGTCATGCGCATCCAGCTTCTATATAAAATGCTTGATCAAAGTCTCAATTCCCTTTCTCTTCCCAGTGAATGGGTTCTTTGACTTCACATTAGAGCCATAAAAAGACGGGGTCAAAAGCTGCTTTAGTGTACCTGTAAGTCCAGCTTTTGCGAGTGCAACCTGTTGCCACTTTGGAAGATGGATGACCAAGCACGTGAAAAGCTTTATTTTCCCAGTTGTACTTGCTAGCACATAAACTTGCCAACCGATTTTTCAGACTTTGCAGGGACCGAAAAAACGTCCGAATAATAGAGCAATTTGAAAAATTAGCAGATTAAAAAAATCTTGCCTTTATTACGTCTAAGCGGGCTTAAAAAAAGCTGTCAATATTACCTTTTCAATAACGAAAGAGGGACATGGAAGACAGACAACATGCTCGACCATCTACTTAGCGCCTTGCTTCAGGCTACGCCTCCGCTTGCGTTCGGTCCCTTTCTATTAGGTTGAGAATCGCTGCCTTCTTTTCTAGCGTTATGGTCAAGTACTTTCTGCACTTCTTAGCAACCTTTCGCGGCGGCAGAAGAGCAGATGGGGCCACAACGTCCAAGCCAGCGTGGTACGAAAACACGATTCACCGAGACGAGATGAGAGACGCACTACGGAATTGTGAAGGAACAATGCAAAATGGCAACAGTGATGTTGATAATGACGTGCAGGTAGAGAAATGAAAAGCCGTAGCATAGCGTCACCTAGCGGTAGGACTTAGTAGTGCTCAAGTAGCGCTTTCGAAACCGAGCCAATCCATGTGCAGCCAACATAGCATCTGAAATGGCGGCTTTTCAGTGGTGTTTCCCACCGATTCCTCGCGACGATTTTGTCCAAAAAATTGAACTTTCGGACTTGCATCTGTTTGGAACATCGGTCGTGAATACACACTATTTCTATCGGGTGGGTCACAGTTCCTTCTTTAGGTCCAAAATATAGAAGTCCGAACTTCCGAAAAATCGGTCGGAAACTGTAGTATGTATGGGGAAATAAGGATGAATTTCCTTTCGCAATTTCACGACCGCTGCGGAACGTTCTCAGGGCCGTGGTCGTTTTGCAGTGCAGGCTGTTTAAATTTGCGGATGAAGAAGAGCCAGCTCCTTCCTTGAAGGCGAGCAGAAACGGGTTTGAATTGATTGCGCGCCATTGTTTCTCCCCGAACAGTCGCTGGCGAGCAAGATCACGGGCATGCTGCTGGAGCAGTCTGCCGCCCAGCTGCTGCTGCTGCTGGCTTCGGAGGACGCGCTCAGGCAGAAGGTCGATGAGGCCGTCGAGATCATTGTCTCGCACGGAAGGTCGGTGCTTCTCTTGATCCACACGGGAAAGCCTCGAAAAATACTTCTCGCAAATCGTGTCGACCTATTGTAGAAGTTAACTCCGTCTTGCGTCGTAAGTTGTGACTTTGGTCGAGGGCTAGTTGTAATTTTGCTTTGGGAATTCCTCATTTGTGGCAATGGCGATCTTGGTGATTTCCAGTTCTGCCATGTCCAGTAGAAAACCTTGTGTTACGCTGGGCATTCGGGTAGAACACCCCGATTTCGGGAGGTTTCCCCCTCTGCCATTGGCTTATCTTTATTTAGTGCATATAGAAAGGGCCCCAAAGTCTGGGTGTTGTCAAAGATTTAGGCTACCGTGTTTGGGAGGGAATTTTGAGCTGCGACGCAATCATGAAGTGCTACTACCGGTTAATATGTTTGAGCGTCATTCTTTGCGATAACTGCCATGGATGGATTTGCGGTATTATTTTTCTTATAACGAAGTTGCCATCCAGTTGGTGAAGGTTAGTGATGATAGTAATGATAAATGTCTTATTATAAACATTTACACCATAATTCAGGCTTGCAAAAGTAAGCAAGTGCTTGTATGCAGGATCCGGCATCCAACAGGCTGCATTTACAGTTAAACCTGGATATAACGAAATTGATAAAAGTTTGCAATAATTCGTTATATGGAGGATTTCGTTACATGCAGTTTTTGCGGAAAAACTCGTGAAGGACACGTGGAAAGAAAGCGAAAATTAAAAATCCACGTGGGCAAACTCACCACGTCATTTATTTAGTGGAAAAGAAGTCTGTAAGCTTGCGTTGTGCTTTTCGCGCGAGCGAAGGCAGCACGCTGCGCTCAAAGGACACCAAAGCATTTAGAGCACTGTCGTCCTGGGAAGCCGGACATACATCGATGGCATCCAAGACCTCCCTCGCGGTAGACACCAAAGGCTGCTCGCCTTTGGTGGCAATTGGACAAGAATATATCTGCATTTTAGGTACAGTCACCGACCGATTATTTGGACTTCGCAGGGACCGAAAAAAACATCCGAAAAATAGAGCAGTCCGAAAAATGAGCAGATTAAAAAACTTGCCTTTATTACTTCCAAGCGGGCTCAAAAAAAGCTGTAAATAGCGCCTTGTTCAGGTTACGCCTCCATTTCCGTTCGGCAACTTTCTGTTAGCTTGAGAATCGCTGCCTTCTTTTCTAGCGTTATGGTCGAGTACTTTCTGCGCTTCTTAATGACACATCGCGGCGGCAGAAGAACAGATAGGGCCACGACGTCCAAGACAGCGTTGTGCGAATGAGGTAAAAGGCGCAAAAACCACGAGCGCAAAATGGCGACTGGCGATGCAAAGGAACGAAAAATAAAGCAAAATGATAATAATAATGATGATGATGACGTGCAGCTAAATGGGGGAAAAAAAAAGGGCTAGCATAGTCACCTAGGCCGTGTTCTAAAATTTACTCAATCATACTACAGGGTAAGGGTTTTGTACCCTTGGCGTTCTGAAACCTACCCGCGTCCAGCGTTTTTCGATCTGTGCTGTCATGTGACACGACCCGCCGGAGTAACTCGGATCCATTAGGGTAAGATTTGGAACACAGCCCTAGTGGTAGAACTCAGGAAAGTCCAAGTAGCGCTGCCAAATCAAGCCAATCCATTGGCAGCCTGCATAGAATTCAAAATGGCCGCTTCTCGATGGTGTTTTCAGCTGATCGCTCGCGACGATTTTGTCCGAATAATCAAACTTTCGGACTTCAAGCTGTCCGAAACATTGGTCGTGAATATACACTATTTCAATGGGGTAAGTCACGGTTTCGCCTTTATGTCCGAAATATCAAACAAATTTAAATTATCGAAATCCAAAAAAAAAAAAAATGGAGATTGCGGCGGGGCGAGTTTGTTAAATCAAGGTTATCCAGTGCGAGCGCTTCGTTACATGGAGTTCACAAATACAAGTGCTTCTATGAGGATCGCATCGGGGAATTGAAAAAGTTCGTCAAAATAGAGGATTTCATTGTATACAGGTTCGTTACATCCAGGTTTAACTGTACATCATTTGCAAAGCATGCATCGCGAGCGTGTAACTAATAGAACGTAAACTTTCCCTTTGTTGTGACCCGCGCGTTTCTTTGGCAGGGAGGCGGAGACGCTGCTGGACCTAGACGTGTTCAGCCTCGGGGAGCGTGCCCGACGGAGCAGCAACTCCTCGGGGGCTGCCCGGAGGAGCGACGCGGAGGAGGAGGAGGAGGACGGGGAGGACAACAGCCCCCTAGTGTACCAGCCGGGCAAGCGGGGCTTCTATGCCCCCCGCCAGGGCAAGTGCACCCCGGACAGGCTCAACGCCTTCCGCAACGTCGGCAGGTGGGTCCCCCCTGGCGCCCCCAGATCAGAGCCGTATATAGAGAGAGTTTGGCCATTCATTGGGAAGTATAGGAGGCAAATGAGGAGGCACCATTGGCCGAAAGCGGGCTGGGCGTGTTCCGGGCGTCTTCTCAAATTCGAATGTGGCCAACCAGAAGCCGGAGATAATACCCTGGCAGTGGTCGCATGAAACGAGATTAGTAAGTGCGTCGGAGTAACTCCCGGTGACTGAAAATATGGTGCACGCGATGTTCAAATCATGGACATCCAAAATCATGGTGGAAGAGTGCGACTAGTGGAACGATCGACATAATCTGTATGGCAGGCGGCGAGGGCCGGGAATCTGTCATCTAAGCCAGGGGTCTCCAAACTTTTTGGCCAAGGGGCTGGATTGGGGACCTGTCCAGTCTCGAGGGCCGCAAAACAAATACATATTATAAATGAGTAAAAACTATATTAATAAGCCCAGATGACCATTTAAATAGAGGAGCTCAAGTTAGAGTAAAAACGATAAGTAATCAAAGGTGGATTAATACATATACTTTATTTCGAAATTCAGCATTTAGGTAATTGTGACATACGATAAGTGTGACCCGGAAAACTAGCCAGGCATAAATCAAAGCGCATAGGAACTTTAAAATATTCGCACAGAAAAAAAAACAAAAAAACTTATGAGAACGGTAGAACTGTTATGACGATATGCAATAGTTATCACACATGACTCGTATCACAATATACAGGAGAACGCAAAGAAATTTTAATGTAGTTACAGATATGAAGCAGAAGACTAAGCACGGTGAACCTGATGGTGCCAAAATATGACTGTATGCCACAAAACACTAATCAGTATTTGAGCCGGAATGCATCAGAGTTTTGACACATTTACCCAGACATGAAGTGCAGGACTAATGTTAGCGGTGTAGCTGATTCTTCGAGTTTATTATTTCGCTGATCTGCGGCTGCAAGCTTGATGAGCCAATAATTAAAAGGCACTTCAAGTGTTCATCAGACAAGTTAGCTCTGTATTCGGATTTTACGTATTTCACCCTTGAAAACCTCTGCTCACAAAGGTATGTAGTGCAAAAGACCGATACATACCCGCGAGCAAATTGTTTTAGGGTTGGAAATTGCTCAGAGCCCAAGGATTTGTAGAACTGTATCAAATTTCCTTCCTTGTAGTTTTCCTTCAGAATGTCGTTTGACTGTAAGTCAATGACTTCTAATTGAAACTGACTCGGGAGCGCATCCACATCGCAGTTAAATGGATTCTTGAACATCTGTATCGCCTCAACTCTCCCATCGAGGTCAGAAAACCGTTCGAAAAATTGCTTCTAAAGGTTAGAGATTCTTCTATACTCAGCCCACCCCTAAGCTAGCAGTGCACTGAAAGCTGCATGCCCGCTGAGCCAGTCAACTCGCTGTCTTTTACTGGGCCGGACCATATTATAAGCACCATGGCCAGCCGCGGGCCGGATCTGCGGGCCGGGGTTCGGAGACCCTTGGTCTAAGCGGTTGCACTCTGTCCAAGCAAAACGGAGTTCCAGTGGCACGTTCGTTTCTTACATCTTTTTGCATAATCATAATTGACAAATCAAGTGCACCACATTTTCAAGCATGAAGTGTTGCTACATTTAAACCTTACGCTCCTATTAAAACAGTTTCTCGCTACCACCGCTTGGCTATATTTTCGGCTTCTGGTTAGCCAAGAGAGCATGCCAAGCCCTCTATCTGCGTCTGGTGCATGCCCTGGCTCTGCCCGCCCCTCCCATTGACTGAACTCTCTCTATACACAGCTCTGCCCCAGATGCCTGGGTTGTGAGGCAGAACGGGCAGACTGAGAACTTGTTATACCTTGTTCAGCCGTAAGCCGACAAAACGATCGGAGCTACGTGCTCACCGGACCGATCAATTGCTCGCCTTTCGTCGCCTGCTACCTTTCTTTGCACGTGGGTACGGGTGGGAGCACGATTGAGCGGCGAAAGATTGGCATTTGACTGGCACATCTTGCTCGTAGTCTCCACCACCCTGTCAGCTTAGCAGTATACAGCAAACCTTTATGCCCACATAATAATACTTCTTTTAAACAGAGTTCTTTTCGGTGTTTGTTCCAAACATGTGGGCCTCATTTATGGTTGCTGCATTAATTGCAGTGGGCGCTACTTTTTCGGATGGCTGCCGCGTCGATGAATGTCTGTCTTTTTCGCTCGTGCATTTCTGGTGGAGAACGGTGCTGACGCCTGTGCCCTGACCCATGTGCAGGATTGTGGGGCTCTGCCTGCTACAGAACGAGCTGTGCCCCATCTCGTTCAGCCGTCATGTGATCAAGTACATCCTGAACAAGCGCATCGGCTGGCATGACCTGGCCTTCTTCGACCCCCTGCTTTACGAGTCGCTGCGGCAGCTCGTCCTGGAGGCCGAGTCCCGGGACTCGAGCACGGTGTTCTCCGCGCTAGACCTCACCTTCTGCATCGACCTCTGCCCCGAAGAGGTGGGCACTCATTACGGCCAAACTAGTCGTAGCATTGGCGGCATCGATTCAGTGCGCGGCAAGAGCTGAGAAAGCTCCGTTTAACACCATGACACCGTGGAAGATTTGGGTACTGACTTGTGGGTTTTTTAGCGAGTTCTTACTTGGGAATTTTTTGCTTTTTGCTTTCTGCAATTTAGCTTTAAAACTTTTTGCTTTCTGCGATTTAGCTTTAGAATCAACAGAAGGGTCTAATTGTGTCCTTGTTCCTGGCAGGGAGGAGGGACCGTGGAGCTGATTCCAGGCGGCAGGGAGCAGGAAGTGACGTCGTCCAATGTCTACCTCTACGTTCGGCGTTACGCCGAGTACAGAATGGTCAAGTCCCAAGAACGAGCGCTTGGGGTACGTTATCTCCTCCCCGAGCCTCGCCCCTCCTTGGAAGTTGATGCTCGTTTGATGAACCAAGCTCGATAGGCTTTAAACGAAATGCTGACGTTATCATCCTGCCTGTGACTGTATCAGTGCTTGGTATTGAGTGCCCGTTTCATTCAGTATAGATCTATGCTCGACAACTGAGGCATCCTTTGTTGCCCACCAGGCGATTCGCATGGGGGTGTACGACGTACTCCCCAACAACACCCTGGAGGGCCTAACGGCCGAAGACTTCCGGCTCCTGCTCAACGGGGTGGGTGAAGTGAATGTACAGGCCCTCATCAGCTACACGTCCTTCAACGACGAAAGCAGTGAGTCCCGGGCCCGTTCGCTTGTCATGTTGGGTGCTTGCTGTTTGCTCACGGGTGTTTTCGTTCTCTTACAATTGCAGAGGAGAGCAGCGACAAAATTTTTAGGTTCAAACGTTGGTTCTGGTCTATGATGGAGAAGATGCCGAACCAAGAGAAGCAAGATCTGGTAGGTCGACTTCCCGCTCTCTCACTCTCGTCCGCAACTAAGTTTTAGATGAATGTAGGAATAATATAAAGTGAAAACTTTTTTTTTTATTGCAAAATATTTATTTATGTTCTTAGATTTGGGATGTATTGTTGCATAATTTGGTATTGGTGGGCAGTTTAATAGGTATATCTTTTGAATGCGAAAGCATTAACTGTCTCATGGAATGAGCCGACGTCATCAGCTTTGAAGCCGCGCCAAACGGCACCTTAACTCCTTTCTCCAAGTGAAGCTAGCTCCCAGGTTTGAAGCCACGCGGAAAGCCTAGCCAAACAGCACCTGGTTTCCCCGATTTCAAAGGAGCGGAGTGAAGCTGATGGATTTCGTCTTGGTCCCATTGGCTGGCGCACGTCATAGTTTCAAGGAACGAGGCTCCCATTGGCCGCTGCGCATCAGTTTAAACGACCGCCACCCTGTGTCACTGCGTGTCCGCGCTGTCAGCGCGCCGGTAACACGAAGCATCCAAGGTCAGAGCGGCAGAGAGCGAGCGATCTGCCGTCGACGCAAATACGCCGCAGATGAAATAAGGGAGTGGAAGAAAGACATGCGTGCTTTTGGATTCACAATTCATAAGAACTTAAGAAATGCTTAGGTGTACCTCGAACCTTTTTTTTTTTTTTTACATTTCCTTTTACTAGTTGAGATGCCAGTTATCAATCATGAGTCCAAAAATTAACTTGAGAAATAAAACAAAAAAAAAAAGACTTTTTGTTGAAAGGAATAGGATAACCGTCTGTGGCTAAATACTCAAGTGTCTTCGCCATTATGCAGATGGCTGTCTCCTTCAGAGTGGTCACTGCTAATTAGTAGGTACATATTTGCTTTTTTTTTTTTTTTTTTTTCATTTGCCAGTTTATTTTTTAGCACCGCCAATGAGGAAAAGCACCCTTTAGTGGCACCCGCAGAGCAAATTGGAGCATGGCAGCTGTGGAAAATGTTTTTTCTCGTTGCCCGACGGTCCTTCATTCTGTAGATGCGACAGAGGGGAAGGGGCTGACGGTGACCGCCCTTGCACGCAGGTGTACTTCTGGACAGGCAGCCCAGCGCTGCCGGCCAGCGAGGAGGGCTTCCAGCCCATGCCCAGCATCACCATCCGGCCGCCGGACGACCACCACCTGCCCACGGCCAACACCTGCATATCCCGGCTCTACCTACCCCTCTACTCGTCCAAGGCAGTGCTCAGGGCCAAGATCCAGATGGCCATCCGCACCAAGAACTTCGGATTTGTCTGAGCATGGCGCTTTGCACTGTCCCCCCACCCACCAGCAACATAACCCATATTTATAGTGCCACCAGACCCAGAAATAAAAACTAATTGAGGGCTCCTCATCAATTCCACGCTCAATTTCTTATTTTGGCCGCACCGCGGTCTGAGTACTTACTTGCAAGTTCTATACTCTGTTTCACAATCACTTGCCGAACTGTAGAGGCTACATGATTCCACGTCACAGGAGCATGTGTGTCACCACACCAAATGTGAATCCCGGATCCTGCTATTGTCTGCTGGCCAAGAGTGGTCAGCTGCAAAACCAGCAGACTTCGAATGAACGTCCACCGCCGCAACATTGCTGTTGCTAGAGTAGCGAGCTCTTAGGAAACAGTATACGCTCAATTTAACCGTGGATCTGTGGCAGGTATTAATGCCAGTGCGATATTTTGAGTGGAAGCATACGATTGCACAGCTGCGATTGCCAACTGCCACGGCGCTACAAGAAAAAAAAATCTGCAGTGAATCACAGTGTGGAGTCACTTTTTTGGTTTAAATATTATTGAAACTAATACTACATTTGACATTTGTGAATATGTATTGTTTATATGTTCTCGATTGAGATGAAATCGCACGAGTTCAGTTACCGTTAAAAAGAAAAAAGCCTAGAACTACTTGTCACAGACGGCGCTGTTGCTGTGGCGGTAACAAAGCCCGAGTGGGCTCGACCATGGTCAGTTGTCACGTGCCTTGCTCCGACGCTCTTATTGGGTCAAGGGGGCTGTGGCCTCCACAGTTCGCCAAGTTATCGTGAAATGGAGTACATAACGGCGTATGCAAAGAAATGGCGTAGTCTCGATAGGCTGTTCCAAAACGAGGTTTTGGGCTCTGTGCAGTGTAGTGGCTACGACGCTATTTTTTCGCATGTGCAAAACTTTTGCATTTGCTGTTTTAAAACTCACTATTGTTATAACATGGCTACTTGGGCAGGTTGGTTTGTAGTTCTTATTTGAAAAGTATGAGAACAGAGAAGCTACACAGCATAGGGCACTATTGTATGACCTCGGTGGACTTGCAGACCCAGACAAGAATCCTTGAATGCCTAGTTAAAGCAAATTGTTTACTGCTAAAAGGATAATTAGCTAAACGAATGTGCCTTATTTAAGAACTGGATTTGCATTATGTGCAACCAGATACCTTTTCCAGCATAGCTTTTCTGGCCTCCCAATAGCTGCAAGCAACCAGCGAGTTCCATTTTAGTCCCCAGCAAACTTCCTGGGATACATTTAATCATTCATTGCATCTAGTTACCGGTATATTTTCATTAAATAAACACATTTTGCAGCAAGTACAAGGTTTGTAATGGTTTACATTTCACTGAAGTGCTACCTCTCGGATGATTCCAGATTATTTTTGGATCACTGAATGCACTGGTCTACAGTCGGCGACAGGTCAAGGACGATGTGGAAGATCCTTCCACCCCTTTCCATCTCGGCAGAGAAAACAGTGGAGAGGAGGTCGTATCTTCATCCTTCGCTCTACTAAAGTGGAAAGAGGTGGGAGGAGCTTCCACTTCGTTCTTGACCACTCGCCGACTATAGAATGTTTATGAAGCACAGGATTCTACACCCGTTTTCACCTCAAGAAAATGGCAAGTTTTGCTCATTGTTCAAACGCGGCACGAAGTAGTTCTTACGAGTTTTGGTTGTCGGAGGAAAAGGCAATCCTTTTGGCTTTTGGAACCATGTATGTCTTAATAAGATAACATATATCTAATCTCAAATTCACCTACATATATCTTAACTATCAACATAAAGGGGGAAATTTGTAAAGCTCCGCGAGGAGCCAGACCTTTTTTACTACGGTTCTTAAGGTTAAAACGGGTATATTTGGTAAATATTCTGTATATATAGCCCAACATCTGAAAGAAAAATCACTCTTTAGATGTGTTTTGAGCAAATAGATAAATGCTGTATTTTGACTTGACAAAATTTCACATCAAATTGGGCTCGTTTTCAGCCTTTTGGCACAAAAGTTCTATATAAAGATGGTACAGGAACCTTATTTGGCCCAAAATGTTGCAAGAGCAGAAGCTGGGCTCAATAGAATATGATTTCAGTAAACAGCTTGCTAAAGAAAATCTTCTGCAACTTTACAGCATTTAAAATTCATCATCCTAGAAGATCGCTGCCACCCACTTCACACCACAAGGCAAGAGCAAGTGAAGGAACCAGCGTATCAGAGTGCCATCATTCATGCATGCAGGCACCCTAAAGAAATCAAACCATTGATGCTCAACACTTTTATTGAAGCCCTTAGTTCTTTTTCTTGGACACACCAACAGTCCTTCCCCTCCTGCCAGTGGTCTTGGTGTGCTGTCCCCTCACACGCAGGCTGCAGGAAGACACAGATTTCATTAATTTCAGAAAGGCCCTCTCGATATGCTTGGCACATTTAGACGACGAGCCAACAAGGCCTAACAGCCCTAGTGCTAACATTTAAAAAATTATAGTCTGAGCACATCACATCCAGGCAAGTTTACATTCATACTGTGCACGAGTTCTATGGCGTTCTCAAGTGCTGTGTCCTTTCATGATCCACTAACTGTGGTATACAATTTTCAAAACAAAGATACAACAAAACAGGCATAGCTATCTATAGAGAGCATGTCAAACTAAAAGGACAACCTCACTGAAGATTTCGACCATTTTGCAATACTGTCCCCACGGAAGTCTATTCCACTTTGAATGGACTTCCAGTCAGGTATGTGAAGCTTACAAAAAACTTGGCATTACATCTACAAAATGCGAGGGCGCAAGTGAGCTGGTGTAAGCTCATAAATGTATAATTACCCGAGACTGCAGTGACAACAGAAAAACTACCTCCTATTATATTTTTGTGCCAAGATACCAGGTTCACAGAAACAATGAAACTACACACAAGCAAGTGCTTTTATCCTTAAAATTGAATGACTTGTTAAAATACTAGTGTGGGAAAGGTCACTAATTCAAGGCACTAACTTTCTGTAAAACTTTGTTTGTGTAAAATGTGAAAAAAGAAAACATCCTGGTAATTGTGTGCACATAGAGAAAACATCAGCTGCTGTTCAAGGCATTCCAAGGAGCTGCTCCTCGAATAACTTTACATTGCAATTACACTGTGCTAACTTCTGCCAGCCATCAATCTTCAACACAGGTAACCTCCACAAATTAACAGCATGGTCAGCTTGCAAATGACGCCGGCTATACGCACCCCCAGAAGTGTCTGAGACCCCGGTGGGCACGGATCTTCTTCAGCCGCTCAAGGTCCTCACGCAGCTTGTTCTCCAAGGCGTTCGACGTCACCTGGCTGAACTTGCCGTCCTTGATGTCCTTCTGCCTGTTCAGGAACCAGTCTGGGATCTTGTACTGGCGGGGATTCGACATGATCGTGATCAGCTTCTCCACCTGCCAGAGAGAACAGAGGTCAGTGGGTAAGCACAATTTCATTGCAGAACCAGCAGACTAATACCCTAGTTACACGGGAGCTTTGAACTGTTATTGAGTTCAATCACAGTTATCGGCGCCAACTGTGATTGAACTAAACTGAACTGAGATGGTGCTACACGGCTCTCTAGAACCCAGTCGAAGCTAAAACGAAACTAGTTCTTGTGCCACGTGATCAGTCTCATTGTTTAAGTATTTTACTCGGAGACACACCTTTTATTTATTATAAGAATATCATACAATATGTTCAATACCTTGTTGGTTTTAGCGGCGTTTGCACGACTACCAAAGCAGATTCAGGGTTAGGTTGCACATATTTTAAGATAGGTGGCGGAAACTACCGCCCGCTACGATGGGTGCACCCATTACTATTTGTCCATTTATACAGCCGGTCCCAACGCCATCTTCGCTCGTTTTGTGGCTCGCCGGGATCGTTTTAGCGGCAGCTGGGGCACCTAAACCTATTCCTTCCCGGATATTTTGCTGCTACGATTCTTTCTAGACACCTCCCCCTGCATTCCGAAACAGTAAGTGCCTCGCAAACGATGGTCGGCGGTAGCGGTCCCGCGGACAGGCGCCATTTTACCTCCGTTGAGGACGTGGTTGGGGAAGTCCGTTCAGTTGAACTGAGGTAAGGGAGCTCAGTTGAACTCAACTGTCATTAGCGGCTCAATGAGAGTTGAGGCCGCCGTGTAACTCCGGCTGATCGCGATTGAGCCAACTGTCGTTAACTCAATGGCAGTTGAGAGCGCCCGTGCAACTAGGGTATAAGAGCATGGCACCACTGCTAGTAGGTAGCTAGTTGAGAAAAACAAAATCATGATGACTGTCCAGTTCTTGTATGTGGCAACATTGATTTGAGTTTACACTGCTTGCTCATTAGGACTGCATGAGACGGGGCAATTTTCCAAGCAATTTCAGGGATGCTGGAAAGTTCTCTACGATTCCCTAGATTTTCGCACTAACACACAATTGCTCGCATCGACTCCGAAACTCTTGGAGCGGAAGCAAAAGAACTTTGGACACTTTAGCGAAAAGTTTGCGGTGTTTACAGGTGGACCAAGTTGGTAAACATTTTTGCAATGACCGCCGCACACAGTGCGGAGGGGTGGCTAAAAGGGCAACTCTACCTCATTTTTGATATTTAGAAAACTATGTAGCCCTCTTCAGTATCATATAGGAAGACCCCATGTCAAATATTACGATCTAATTCCGTTTATATATTTAATAAACTGGCCAGCAAACCTTCAAGCGAGCCAAGTCGCCGAGATCTGCCAACTCTAGCGTACGGCGCGAGGCGCAATCATCAGCGCAGTCAATGCCACGGAGTTGGAGCAGCAGACACTGAGCCACTACGTCAGAGGCGTGACTACGTCATTCTCACGTTTTGCTTGTTTTTACTTCTCAGAGCGAAATTGAATGATGACGTCATTAGTTTCTCCTCCCGGTGTTGGCTGACGGGGCGTTCACGACATCACCGTAACACGGACGCGCTAGTTTGCGCTGCCCCGCGCGCTTATCGGTCTGTTTCTCCACTCCCCTTCTCTTTCGTCTTCTCCCCTTCCCCCTCTCCCTCGGGCCATCACCGTCCACGCCATGCGAAGCGACCTGCCCGCGTCCATTAAAAAAGAAAAAAAGAAAAAAGACCTGCCCGCGTCGCGTGTCCTGTTTCTCGCTTCCTGCCGAACGTCACAAGACCACGTGGTTCGACGTGACGTGGCCATGACTCTGACGACCCGAGACCAATGTTGCCTGACGCAACCGAAGTTTCGGTATCAGCTGATGTTCAAATTAAGATTACACAAATAATATTCCACATTTCGCGAATCCGAAGACGTAGAGTTGTTTAGTAGTGCTTTGTGAATTTGAATCACAAGTCAGCCTAAATTTTTCGGAACTGCCCTTTAAAGGGATACTACAACGAAATTTCGGCGCTCATTTTTTTGGTCTGTGTTCAAAAGAGCAGTATCACATGAAACATACCAATTCTTGTTAAAAAAGTCTCGAAAAGGAATTTTAAAACGAATTAAACTATTAGCCAAGAGCACCTGGTGGATGTCGCTAACGCCTCGTTTGTTATGCTCGTCTAGGAACCTAGACAGCTAGTGACGGAGGTTGTCTCGTCTTCGGCCACGACGAGAGAAGGGGGGAAGGAGGAACTCCCCTCTTCCCGAGAATCCCTTTTGTGTGTCGCAGAAGTCGCTATTGTCCCCCTAGAAGATTATAGAAGATTAACCCGTCACTCAAAATTCGTACAAAAGCAGCCGCTTCGGCGGCTGGAACGACTAGGCCATCCTCTTACGTCACGATTGCGTTGGATGTCACGTGCTCTAAGCTGGGCCTTCTCCGAGCGCTTGCCAGGGTGGGCCGTTTATAACGAAAAATACAGCCACCAGGGTCAAAATACAAACGTGCGATTGTCATTTACGGATATTGTGGATCATATTCAACCTATTTTGAACACGACGGGAATATTTCAAATTTCGTCGATTCGCTCAAATGTCGCTGTTCGCTAAAACATTATTTGCTCATGTGATATGGACCCCCTGTGGTGGTGAGGATCATAACTAGACAGGTTTACTTAGTTAAGGTTTAAAATATGATTGTTTTCATGACAAAATTGTCTCATGGAGACTAAATAATGCAGTTAAAAGATATAGAAACACGTTATTAACGTGAAACTTTGCGTCTAAATAGCGCAATACATACAAGATTTTAATGATAACAAAACATGAAGTCGAGCTTTAGGAGTTGCTGCGTGTGAATGCGGGAGGCCCGTGTTGCTGGCGTTGTAAAGTCAAGACGCTGGGAAAAAATTGCCCCGTCTGAAGCAGGCCTTAGGTAGTGTTCCACGAGTTCCAACAGACACCGCAGCAATTTCAAAAACTACCAAGACCTATGAAGACCGCGTTAGACTAGATACCAACCGATTCGTGCTGCTGTCAGACCACTACACGTTTTTGCAGCGAAATGAAAGCTTCAAATCATTTGTGCTGTCAGAAGGCGCCGATGCTGAACTAGACACTTGCCTCTTCCTCAGTCAGCTCTCCGGCGCGCTTGTTCAGGTCGACATCGGCCTTCTTGCACACCATGTTTGAGAAGCGGCGCCCTACGCCCTGCAACAAAACAGCCGCACGTTTCAATGAAAGCCGTTGCGTAGCTCTTGTCGCAGCAAAAACGCTGGAGGGATGCCGAATTTTACCTTAATGGCTGTCAGGGCGAACATCACCTTGCGCCGTCCATCGATGTTCGTGTTGAGAACACGAAGAATGTGCTGAAATTTGTCTGGGATCACCAGCGACTGCAAGCCGACAAGGAGGGCATTTTAGAATACTCCCGCGCGCTCAACTAAAAAGGCGTGACGCAAAACTGATGTACGAATATTATGAACCATTCATATTACTACTATATTTCTCCATCGCAAAGTTACATTTTCCGAATTTATCGACGATTAACATTGATGGAATTATAAGCACGAAAAGGCACCTACCATCTTGCTCCTGTGAATGTCGGAAAGGAAGTTGTTTTCGTGCTATTGTTTCTGTTTCCGGCATTCTACGTCACTTCCAGCCAATATGGCTAAAATTAGTGAGAACATGCATTTAATTATACCGGTCACAAAATAAATACTGTGGATCTTTTTAAACAATTCTACTGTTTTTATTCCCAAAATAATTATTAAAAATACTGTTTTACGATTTTATTTTTAAACGTTTTAGTAGAAAAGGCCAAAAGCCAAACAGCTTTGTCGCGTATCAAGCTGCTAAGCCAACGAAATCCCATTGCCGCGTTCGCTAGCTTCGTTATGGTGGGCGGTCGCTGTTCGATTTGCTACATTTCTCAGTTGATTGTCGCTGGGAGGGCAAGGATCCTTTTCTAGAGCGCAGATGACATCACGATGGAATTTGTGAAACAGCCTCTTGAGGTAGGGGATTTATTTTACCTTGCGAAGCATTCCCTATCCTGATACTCACCAAGCTGTTTTTCTTCATGCCGCAAACGATTCTACCGAACCAAAATAGTGTCACTGACTTTATAAATCAGGTTCGGTGGAGTACCTCAGGACAGTAATTAAAATATTACCCTGTCTTGATGTATCGATTTCAGGAGGGCAATGGAGATGCCAGGAATATCTATGAGGTTCCGTTTGATCTGGATGATCCAACGTTCGATGAAGTCGATGGTATCTTTTTCTGTTGTCTGTCATTTCACAAATACTCGCATAATTTCATCTAGGCGCATATTTATGTGTGGCATCTATGACAAGCGTGATAATAAAAATAATGTAAATTTCTTGTTTTTTTTTTTGTTTTTTTTTTCTGTTTTTCACTCTTGCATTGCGTTTATCCCTAAACAGTGCACATCCAAGAGAACCTCGAAGATGAATTTATCAAAGAAGCCTTACAATCGGTATGAAGTTTTCTACATTTGCAAGCATGAGTTATTATATCTTTTCTAACTCGTTGCAATAACTAACATCGGCAATTTTCAGGGAATGGACTTGCGACAGTACTCGTTGCAAGTGGAAAAGGATCTGAAGGAAGTTGAAAACGCTTCGATTCAAGATTGTATCCTTCAAACATTCCGCAACTTCGCGCCGCTGACAAAAATATTTGTCTTTGTCAGCGTGATGTTTTCAGATGACGTCGCTCAGCTATACTTTTGCTGTATGTTGTGGAGAATCTTTTCAACAACATTAAAGGGCAACTCCGCTTCATTTTTGTTTTTGATAAAACAATGCAGTCCACTTCAGTATTACCTAGGAAGACCACACGTCAAATATTATGACCTAGTTCTGTCTAAATGTGTCTCAAACGGTCCGGCAAACTTTGCAACTCGTCAAGTTGCCGAAATCAGCTGACTTGAGCGGGCGAATTAAGGCGCAACCAACGGCGCAGTCAAGGCTATGGTGTGGGCGCAGCCAACATTGATCTAAACGTCATTATCATTGCCCCTTTTTGCTTGCTTTTACTTCTCCGGGCAAGCGTAATGGGCGACGTCGGAAACTTTTCCTCTCAGCGCTCAGCTGTGTCCACTGGATTGATGTAATGTGCCTGCGCAGCACGCTTCTTGAAGCCGTCTTGCCGTGGTCCCGCCATTACCACCGTCCCCCGCGTCACAACCACCGTCGTCGTCTCACCGTTTGTGATTATTGTCACTCTGGGTTTTGTTCACACTATGGACACTAGGTGTGCAGACTTATGCTGCACTTGTGCAGACGTCGTCGAATGTCGTAGGCAACAAAAGGTGGTAAAGAGTGCGGTGCAGACGACACTCGTGCCTGGCACGCCCGCCCTAATCCCGCCTGTCGTTGCGTAGAAGATCACGTGACTTCTCATACCACGTGATAGCCATGTTCTTGGCGGTCTGAGGTCAATGTTGCTGGACAGAGTCAAAGTTTCGGTTTTGATTTCTGCTTGTGTTTAAAATTAGGTATAACAATATAAATCCCATTTTTCTTGAAGCAAATGACGTAGAGTCTTTTCTTAAAGCTTTTTAATGCAAGATCACTCATTATTCCAAAATCTTTGGAATTAAGCGGAGTTGCCCTTTAAACATTGAGCACCTTGAAGGGATGTTAAATCTCCGTTAGTTGCAAATATGCTCATTGATGCGATGTGCATTCTTTGATTATGTTTAGGGTTTGGATTTTTCGGTTTCTATTTTTTCAAAATTCGGCATACTTTTTTCGGTGTTTATTTTAAAATTCAATTTTTGGTTTTTATCGGTGTATATTTATGCCCACAAAAGTTTATCGGCTTTTTTCGGCCAATATAAAATAAACACCAATGGACACTGGATCAGATTATCCTTGTAGCTCTGATATTTGTGATTACTCAAAGAATAACGGCACAGATACACTGAAGTACAAACAAGTCAGATATGAAGCCTATATGCCCAAAATCATGGAACTTCACCTTCTGTATATCAGGATTACGTGATCTTATTATAGTACACACACACATGTACTTTCCCAGGTTCTCCTCGTTGATCCACACTTTTTCTTTCCTGTTAATATGACACTGAGCTTCGAGAATGTCCTCTCAATGCTAACACTGGACACCGGCAGGCTGAGGAAGTGAAGCGCTGCTTGAGCCAAAATCGGCCGATCAACCAATTGTGACCGCCAGAAGAGACACGATGCAACATTTTGAAGCACAACACGACATGCAGAACTTGCATCAAGTCAGTCTTCCAAGTTTGAAAACACGCTCGTACATGGTAAAGTCATGGGGCGTTTCGGACTTCACGTATCCCATGTATCCCATACATTTGGACACGTTTCGATAGGCACTGTCGTTCCACTTTTTTGTCACAGCTCTGCGGTATGACTGGAAGGTCAAAGTGACCTTTTCGGGTTAAGACTGAGTTTTATCAAATGGATTTGACATACTTTTACCTGTTTTTATCGGTTTTAATCGAAAATGCTGAATGTAAAGACTGACCTTTTTCGGTTAAAACCAAATTTCGGAAAATGGATTCAGCATACTTTTATTGTTTTTTATCGGTTTAAACCGAAAAATCCGAACCCTAGTTATGTTTCATCACAATAATACACAAATATAGCACATTTTACCTTAAAGAAGGCATAAAATGTATTGAAATTTGAGTTTTGCAAACTATTTATCATGCAGTGTTACACATGCACACTGCAAAACATAACAGTGACAGAAATAAAAAATAAAAAAAAGATTTATTTAAAGTTATTTCTGATTTTATTGTGATCAGTATGCATACCCAAATAATGATGCTAGATCGGTCTCAAAAAATGACAGTTTAATGCAGCGCTTGGATTGGACATGAGCACCATATGGTAGCTTGCCTTGCACTTGAGTACACTCGGTGCATCAGCAGATATTCCGATTCTTGTTCATGACTAATATTTGCAACGAGAGAAATCGCCAAGCTTTTAACATTGGCCAGAACACCGTCTGCTCTGAGGATTGCCAACCTATGCATGTTGGCTACGATGAACGTTTGTGGCACAAAGCAGAGACAGAGCAGGCGACTACTTGTTCTGGGCACGAGCGGAGGAGTGACTTTTATACTGCTTTCTTTTCTTTGAAGTGTGATTAAATATTAAGTTTATAATGATCACCAGGCATAAGTCTAAACAGTGTTCAGCCAAAGTGAAAGTATCATTTTATCTTCCTTTAAAGGTGTACGGAAACAAAAATTGAAATATTCAAATTTCGTTCGGAAATGTGTCAAGCACGATGGATAAGAACTGTAAATGATAATCGCCCGTTTGTATTTTGAACGATTGGCTATATTTTTCGTTCCAAACAATGCACTCAAGCAAGCGCTCGAAGAGAAGCGAATGGAGAGCGCGATGCGTCATGGGATATCCGGCGCAAACAAAAACAGAAAAAAATGATTCCCCGCGTTCGTGGAGTAGCAAGGCAGGCGTGGTGAGCTTTGCCGTTGGTGGCGTTGTAAGCGTTGTGGTGGTGTCAATAGCGTCAACGCGTTACAACCGAGCTGTTCGAAGTACCCGTGGGGTTACGAGCATGTGGCTGGCCCAAGGAGCATGTAGCTTCCACCGCCCTGTCAGCTTGGGGTGAACAGGGTGGGAAAAGCAACTTTTGTCAAAATTTTGAGCGACGCGCTAATCTGCTAGGGGGAGAATGGCTGTGTCCGGGTGCACGAACGAGGGTTTGGTACAATGCACTATTTGTGAGTTGAGAAAAGCTATGAAGGAGAATGTTGAATTCCAAAGAGAGGCACTGCTCTGATGGAACTTGCTATGTCATGACTATGTAGCAAGTTCCCCAACGTTGCTAGATTACATTCCAAACAGGCTCCACATGCATTCACCAGGTGCACATTGAAAGATTGTTTAACTTAGCTTTAAAATTAGTGTTTTTGTGCCTTTCGACGAAAGACTGGTATCTTTGAGGTTATGTTGCAACATGCAACACATTAAAGCTGAAAAGTGAGTGCTGGATTTTCGTTTCCGTACCCCTTTAAGGAGAGAAGCCAACGCTACAAGCATGAGTGCTTTTGCGCTGTTTGAATGCATGTCGATGGGCCAGCACGTTCAAACCGTGAGGCTCGCTCTTCTAGCTTTATGCTTTCCGGTTTTCCCATTGTTTTCTCCCTGTAGGGAAAGCGTATACTCCCTTGGGGGAGTAAGTACTCACCATTCTTAGCTTTTAGCATTGCAAGGGTTTGGTTTCTTCTGCACCGTGTGGAGTGCCTGCCCATTCTTTTTGTGCTGTATTACCCTGGCAGTCTGAAAAAAAAAAAAAAAAGAAAAAAAAGTTGGAAAAATTTTTTTTTATTTTTAAGGCTTTGTTTGTGAATTTAAAGTGAAGCAGACTATTTAGTTTCTGTTCTGCCAGTCCTTGCTTTCCTCAGCGCGGACAGACATAGAAGAAAGCGTCAACATTGCGAGCCTGCACAACCAGATTGCCGCATGTGACGAAATTCTCGAGGTAATTGCCTGTGTTTTAGAGATACCAGCTTAGCCTGTTACTACTGATGTTAATCCTTTGCATGCAGCGCATGGAGAACATGCTGAAGACATTCCAAGAAGATCTGGGAAGCATTAGCCATGAAATCCTGACTCTGCAGCAGCAGTCCGTGTCCATGAATGTGCGACTGAAGAATCGGCAGGTGAATCTTCTTCAAATGCTGCGTAAATCATGCTGCGGAGATTGAAGTGTGCAATAATCCATCAATACTTTTCACAGGCTGTGCGAGGAGAGCTTAGCCAGTTTGTAGATGACATCATTGTTCCTGAGGCTATGATTAAGTGAGTAATTTCATTTTTATTTTTTATATTATTTATTACCATTTTATTGTTACAACTTGTAAAGAGGTATTTATTCTTGCTTATAGTAGTGTTCCTAATTTCACTGATGTACCAGTGCTGGACACTGGTGCCAAAACCAGAGCAACGTTAAGGGAACTGGAAACCCAGAATTGAAAAGAGCCCCTGAACAACTTTTGTTCATTTGAAGGGGAGTGAACTGAAACATTGCAACTAATAAATTACTTTTCTTTCCTGATCCTCATTTATCTAATCTCGCTGTTAATTTTGGAAGTATTGTCGATTTGCTGGATTTCCTACTTTTGCTTATCACATGAGCAACACCTCATCCAGTACTTGTGAAATGTACTGACATCATACTTGTCATCTTGTCAGATTTGTAAAAAATACTGGCATGTGCCAAGCTGTTGCCCTGTACAATTGATGTCTCTTTCTGGCAGCAACATTTTGGAGATGCCAGTGACGGAAAAGGAGTTTCTGGAGCAACTTTATGTCTTGGACCACAAGATTTCATTCGTGAAAGAGCAGTCCTTCAAAGACTCAAGGTCGTGCCAGGATGTCAGAGACATACTGGAGAAGCTCAAGTTCAAAGTAAGCAAAAACTGAATTCATTTTAAATGGTGAGCAACAGGCACATAATAGAAATAGAGAATGGGGTCTTACAGTTTTCTGGTTGAAAAGGATGCCTTGCTGTGTCTAGTTTGCTCGGCGACCCGGTAATTGACGAAAGCTCTGCGCCTTTGCAGAAGTTAAAATGTCATTCATGCCTATCTCTCATTACTTTTGTCACTGACATAAGCATTTCGAAAAATATTTTGAAAAAATATTCTTTAGCCAGGTTCGTTTCTCGAACTCTTCATGACTTTCATGATTCGGCAATTTGAAGACGCACCTTGTGGATGTAGATGTCTCCATCTTAAAAACAGGATAATTTTTGTTTTTCATTTGGCAATGCATTACACTCACAGTGACACTCAAAAAGAGATGACGGTATCAAGATAAGGACACGCACCTTTATTTATCTTCCGACAGTCTTCGTGGCAGTCTCACCGCCACATGTAACTTTCTATCTTTGCTTCAAATTAACTTTATTAATGGTGCTTTACCTAAAATAAAGCAGCTTTATAGAGCAACTACAGTCGAAACTAAAAATCTAACTATATTTATGTATTTAGTGAGCTTCCAAATTTTACTAAGGAAAAACACAACAAAAAATTCACTACGGTAGAAGGAGTAGACAAAACACGCACAGTTTTTGCTTATCCAAATTTTCGCACTGTTTTTTCTTAGTAATGCATTACCGACTCACCCAGGTTACCACTCTTATACTAATATTTTCAAATTTGATTCTCGGTCGGACAAAATTCGAAAAGAAGCTTAGTGACCATTTAAGCGTTGCATGCCTCCAAATCGTCCCATCTCAGCTTTCTGTGCGAACTGCATTCTGTCTGGTCCTTCCGCTGTTCTTCAGGCGATTGCCAAGATCCGGGAGTACCTGCTGCAGAAGGTGTACTCATTCCGCAAGCCCACCACCAACTACCAGGTGCCCCAGAATGCCATGCTCAAGCACAAGTTCTGCTACCAGTTCCTCATGACGCACGAGCGGGAGATTGCACGGGAGATTCGGGACGAATATGTGGACACCATGGGCAAGATCCTCTTCTCCTACTTCAAGAGTTACACCAACCGGCTCATGAAGCTGCAGGTCGGACGAGTGCTCGGGCTTGGCCACGTGTCTCTCGTGACACTCTTTCTTATCTTTGCTTTTCCTTCCAGTTCGAAGAAGTGGCCGAGAAAGACGACCTGATGGGCGTCGAGGACACCACCAAGAGAAATATCCTTTGCTGTTCAAAAGTTAAATTGTTCCCCAGTTTCTTGTGTACTCTTGCATTGCAAAGGAGCTGTCAAACATATACTGTAAACAACCTGATTATCACGAGAACCTAATTTTTGCAAATTGTGTAACTCGAAAAATAATGCAGAAAATTTATAACGCTAATATGTCACCCCGTGGTAACAAGTACATAGTATATCTCTCCAAATTGTGAAATTTAGTGTCCTTAAAATATTCCTGGAACCTACATTCCACAATGTTTGTAAAATATTGAGCCCACGAAAATAGTCTCTTACAGTATACTGCACAACTGTAGCTGGGACCATGGTGTGGCAGGTAATTCCAGTAAGTAAAACTATAGTACAGTGGTTCTCAACCACCGATGGTTGAGACTTCAGTGACCTCTAAAACTCCAGTGACCCCAAAACCCTTCAGGGACCCCGAAGTGTCCGTGGACCTCCCTTTGAGAACCACTGCTCCAAGAAATACATTTGCTTGCAGATCTATAAATAATATTCACGTGGGGTGTGTGCACCCTATTTATGTTGTAGGAGCTGAACAACAGCCAACGTAACTCTTCACTTTTTGTCGCAAGGTGGTAGGAAGAGCTTGAAAGGGTGTCTTGGAAGCTTCAAACTGCTTCCCATACTTTGTGGTAAGAGCTGTTGCCTATGGCCCGTTCTTACCTGCAGCATTGTGCTGTCGGGAATATTGATAAAAAGAGCCACTACAACCTCAAGTAAGGAACTGTGTGAATAATTTGTTTCCAGTTCTTATCCATTGCTCCGCATACGCCATTTCTGGCATAGTGTAGATGAAAACGGAAAGGTGGGTACGAAATGAGGCATCGATGGCAAGAGGCTCGAGAAAATAGACTACCGTATTTTCCTGTCTGTAAGTCCAACCATTCATAAGTCACAGCTCCCTATAAACAAACTTTTTCACCAAAAATTTTGTATATAAGTGGCACTTATACATTTGTATGACAGGCATGACAAAACTGCATTGATAAGCCTGCAAATGTGTTGCAAAGCTGCTGGGTACTAAACTTAATTATTTTTTGTGATGTTGGAATGAGAGCTTGCTTTTTTTTCCTTAATGCATCCTTAAGTCTCTTCAGTTCAAAGCCGTCCCTGAAGAACCGGTCGACAGTTTTCACCGTGGGGACCAGAAACAACATTCTGACCACAGAACTGGAGAGTCCCATCATCGTGCCGCACGCTGCTCAGAAGAATGATGCAAGGGTGAGCTCAGACACGTACACGTTACCCAAAAAAAGTAACTAAATACCGTTACTCGTTACCGATTCTTAAAATGATTGCGTTTCTTTTACCTCATATGTTATGGGTTACCTTTCTCGTTACTTTGACGACCAAATACACTACTGTTTTGCTTTGTGGTTTATTTTCTTTTCACTAGTCATTGCACCTAAGCAGTAGCTGCCTCTCGAAGTTTTCATCGGTTATGCATCCCCACTTCCTTGAGAATACACCTCCGGCTACGCTGGAGAGTTGTTCTACTGACGCGCTCGAGGGAACGGCAGTGTTGTGCTTCAGGAAGAGGTGTTGAATCTGGGATTCCCCTTGCTCTTTTGTTTTCTCTGCTTCTAAAGTTTGAAGTTGATGATGGGTTCTGTGCCTTCCTGCGTTGGCAACCTCCGGGTTTACATTCAGTCTGTACACGATTCTAGAAGGTTCAACCAACATGCCTTATTGTGTTCCCTAGGTGAAGGACATTCCCAGCTGTAGAGTTCACCTGACGTGTTCAGCGATAAATATGGCTAACTGTTTTTTTGGTTACCCATCTGGCTTTATCGCAATAGATGCATACCCAGGTTGGGATTAAAACGAGGCTGTTTAAATGTTGTTCTACACGTTACTCCTCAAAGGTAACGAAATATCATTACTCGTTACTTGGCCTTAAAAGTAGCTAAGTATGTTGCTCATTATTTTTCTAAAAAAGTATCTAAATATGTTACTCATTACCAAAAAAAGTAACAAGGTAGAAGTAATGCGTTGCATACATGTCCGGGTGAACTTGACAACACCATTCTGCCTCGACCAGTTTCTCGCTAAGGGTGCACCTTGCTTTGCAGTACCCCTTTGAGAGCCTGTTCAGGAGTCAGCAGTATGCCCTGCTTGACAATGCCTGCAGGGAGTACCTCTTTGTCACCGAGTTCTTCATGTGTTCTGGCAGCGCTGCTCAAGACTTGTTCAACTTGATCATGAGCAAAACCTTGACCATGTTTCTGGTACGCCTGGTTTGTTCTGACACCTTTTATTTCCTTTTTTTATTGCTAGTGTGCAGCTATATGCACAGGTGCACACACATATTAAGTCCCTGATACTTCAAGTTTGTTTTTATTCATCGAGACCTTGCAGTTTGCAGGATGTTATAACAGCCTTAACCTTTTCGTATACATTGCAATCCAGTTATAATGATAGTGAAAAACCCCGAAAATGCCATCGTTTTAACCAACGCAACCAACGCAAGAACGCACGGACCTCTAGGAACTGATCGTGATAAGCGGTACATCGTTATATGTGGTATCGTTATAAGTGGATTGCACTGTATAGGCATAAACCTTGATGGATAGATATTACTGCATCATGTTTTTGTGTAGCCGTATGATGTCTAGTATTTATACATACTACCGACCGCTAAGGGCAGCCAAGGTAGGAAAAACAATTGAAAAATCTCAACAACAACAAAAAAATACAAGGGTGTGGTACCACTGTACCCATAATTGGTGCACAACATGACACTTTCTTAAAATAAGCAAAACTCTGCACAAATAGTGAGAAAAATGTGGCATTATCATTTTTGATACAAACAATAAAAGTGTCACATTATAGAAGCGGGGAAAAAAAAAGTACATCAGGAATTCATTAAACCTGAATTATCAAAATTCTGGCAACTCATTCATTAGGTATAAAAACGAAGGACCTGCATTTTCCTGGGAGTGAGTTCTGTTTGTGATCAGAACGTGGAAAAAAGTAGTATTCATAACAATCTGTTCTGCACATTGCTTCATTGAGTGTTTTGGGATGTTTGTTTCTCGTTGCTCTTTGTGCGGAGAATGTCCAAGTTGGTACATTTGCCGAAATTCTGATGGTGTAGTCTAATTATTCAGAAAAGTAATAGGCTGCCATGCTATGAAAACAAACCAGTGAAGCAAGCCTGTTGCTTGTGCAAGCGAAGGAAGCACATGCCAGTTGCGTTAAGGCGCTTAAAACATTTATTACGAAAAACATTAAAAAAAAATTTTTTTTTTTGGCACTGGTTTTGGTTTTGTTTTACATTTGTTTAATCTTGGCTTTCTGTTTGTAACTTCCAGAAACATGTGGAGCTGTACGTTCAAGACTGCTACGATTCCATTGCTCTCTTTCTGTGCATCCACATTATTCACCGATTTCAGTTGCTGATGCACGAGAGGTCGGTGCCAGCCCTTGACAGGCAAGTCTCCAGCTACTCAGTCAGCTTTAACTTTGTAGGAAGTTCAGCACTAGAGATATGTTAAAATTGAATTGCTTCCTACAGGTATTGGGAATCTCTGCTGCAGTTTTTATACCCGAGGTTTGAGTACATCCTGAGGCTGAACATTCAGAGCATCAGGGACTGTGACCCGCAGAAACTGGGAAGCATTGACATGCGTCCCCATTATGTAAGTTGGATGAACCAAAAAGGGTGGTGCTGTTTATAGTGCCATGTTGGCTCGAATAAGTTGAACACCACTTATGAGCCACATCCACGAATCGACGTCCCAGCACAATATGAGTAGGCCACGAAAATGTTTGCTTCCATTATTTGGAGCTTTTAAAGCTTCGTGCTAAGTGCTCAGGCACAGGTAGCATTTTGAATTAAAAAAGTTGCTTCATTATCATTTGCTAGGCTCCTTACCGGTAGATTTCCGATAATTGGATTCCAGCTTGCTTTTCAAAGGAGTCTGTGCACAAACCTCAAATCTGAATTATTAATTATATTCATGTAACATCGCTGGAACAATAGTGTGTCTTAATGTTCTGTCATTTAAATTTTTTTTATAGAAATGAAGCTGATTTCCTTTGATTTTGCTCGTTTGATTTTGCTCAATCCAGATTACAAGGCGGTACGCGGAGTTCTCTGCGGCTGTTGTGAGCATCAACGAGAATTTCCCGAGCGAACGCGTGGCCTCCCTGCTCGCCGCTTTACAAGGAGAAGTAGAGAACTTCATTCTCAAAATGGCGGCTGAATTCCAAGGGAGGAAAGAGCAGCTCATCTTTCTGATCAACAACTACGACATGATGTTGAGCGTCCTACTGGTGAGAATGCGGTTTTACGTGGAATCGCAATGAATAGTTGTTGCTGAGTGTCGTTGTTTTCTAGGAGAGAACCAAGGAGGACTCGAAGGAAACGGAGAGCTTCAAGGAGCTGCTCAACGCTCGCACTCAGGAATACGTCGAAGAGATTTTAGCTCCGCACTTTGGAGGCATGATCAGCTTTGTTAAGGAGTGCGAGCTTCTTCAAGAAAGAGGCCAAGCTGATGTGATGCAAAGGGAAGAGAGTAAGCGCAAAAAAGTCCTCGTCACATTGGGTAGCCACGCTGAGTTACCCTTTTTGGGCGACATAGGGAAAAGCAATTGTGGCTCTAGGGAAAGAGTGGGAAGGGTACAAGGGCTTCAAGACAAGTGTAGTAGGATCCTTTTTTTTTAACGCAAAATATGTTATGGGCCTGGGATCGTGTGAAAAGCAACACGCTTGACCTACACGCAGATCACATGACCTCGTGACGTCATGCGACGTCAATACATATTTGATGTCGTGCGAGATCACATTCCCAGCTCGTTCGCAACAAATTATCTGTGTCTCCGAGTTAATCAGATATAATTGAGATATGCTTAATTATTATCTTTTTTTTATATATCTTTGAAGTAGGAATGTGCGAGCAGGAATTTTCCAGTTCAAAGCGAAAAGTTTGTTTGCAAGAATAAATTCGAAGCTAAGCAAATAGTTTGCTGCCGTAAATACAGTCATGGTAGAGAACCCTTGAGACTAGGAAACAACAATAACTTTCAGCCTTTCCACTCTGGTGAAGAAGGAAGAGTAGCGGAGCTGTAGCTTCTGTTCTCGGCGTTGGCTTTCCAGGCGAGCGATCTGCTCTTCTTTCGCAAGGGAGTCTAAAGCGCTTGACGCAGTCGAACTTTAGGCGATGGGAGCCTTGCGGCGGTTACGAAACCATTTGCGCTGCTGCGCACATCGCCGCTTGTTCCGTTCCCGCTCTTCTTCCTCCTAAGAAATGTGGCCGCCATCTATGAGCGACGGCAGCAACCAGTTGTCTGGTTGCCAAGGCTGGAAAGGTTGCCGCGATCTATGAGCGACGGTGGCAAGCAGACAACCGGCAAACACAACACTCCGGACAGCTAGCGCCATCTATGAGCGACGGCGGCAACTAGAGTGTTGTGTCGACATTTGTTTGGTACCGGACATGATCCTGGAAAAACTAACCCTTAACAGCTCCGCTGTAAAAAAGGACAAACACGACAAGGTCAGAAGGGTTCGCTACCATGATCGTTCACCAGGTCGCCTGAAAAATTACTTTAATTTTAATACGGTCATGCCTAATTAATATGGACACTTCAGTTGCCCAGAAAAATCATCTATAATGTAAATCTTCCATAATAGTGAATCAAGGTCAAGATCACAAATACCGAACAATGCCACAAGATGGTTTATTTAGGGAAAAAATGTTGAGAATTGTGTTAGAAACACAATCCACAATAGATTCAAGAGGGTAGCTTCGTTGCTCCTTATTTTTATTGCTACTTGTGTTCCAATCTTGGTTAATGAAGTGATTTCAAGTAATACTGCATACAATTTTCACTCTTTTTTTTTTCTCCTGATTTATGGCATGTTTTGCAGCATTTCATACTTCAAAATACTTTGAAAATATGCTAAGTTGCCGAATAGTCCCATTTGATTCAAACTTCAGATCAAATATGGCATTATTCGCTTCAATATTCGAATGTTCGCATAATCCTACTTCGAAGCTGGGATGAATTTCGCCTGGTTCTTTGGATTTGCAGATCTTGAGTTATAGTTTGAAGACCGGAAGGCCAGCATAGGCAGAAATAGCTCCCCCTTGTTGGAGCTTCAGTGCCTCAGAAGCTGGGCTGGCATTGCACAAAAAGATTAATGCAAAGTACTCTAGGAAATAAATTTTGAAGGATGGTCGTTTTGCCTGGATACAGCTCTGCGGGAGAATATTGGTTCAAGGGGGTGTCTGATTGGCAATGTTAGCTTAAGACTGTACATAGCCTTCACTAGTCCGGCGGCGACATGCGTGATGTTTTATTATGTTTCAGAAAAGGTCACCATGCTCGTGAGGTCCTTCAATACGGGCTGGAAAAAGGCAATAGACGACATCAACCATGATATCATGCAGACATTTACAAATTTCAAGAATGGAACCAACATCTTGCAGGTTCGTGCTATATCCCATCTTTCTCTAGCATTTTAGATTTCTCATTAGTCTTGTGGACAGCCGTCAAGCTTTTGGTTCAGCTGTTGCTCAAATGTGTGGCATTTCTTTGAGAAATATTTAATGTTATAAGCAGGATTTGGCTCAATCAAAAACAATCCTTCTTGAGGTTAGCGAGTAGAAGTACAAATAATCAGAAATAATTGAGCAGAAATATTTGTTAGTAGACATCATTTTTACAAAAATAGAGTTGCCCATCTGACATTTTTGCCGTAATTATCGTCGCGAAATTCGCCAACAAAAAAGTGATTGCTTTGATAGCAGATTGGGATTGTGTGCACCAAAGGCACTAAACTTGGGACAAGGTTGTTTTATAATCATGTGTCACGAATGCTCATTGTTTGAGAAGGGAGTGTTTTACACCAATCAAACCGTAGGAACATAGATGTAATGGAAATACTTATTACATGAATTCCTACCTATTTAGATTGAATTAATGGCCAAAAGCAAAAAAATGGTGTTTCTTTTTTTGTGTAAAATACAGAGCATCCACCCATTTCCTGATACATGCCCACCCCTTAATTTTGTAACATTCGGAAAATACACGAAGGACGCGTCTTTACATAGCGTTGACCTAGGAAGTAAAAGTAATGTAAAATCCCCCCGTTTTACATGATTATCTTCAAATTCTGAGTGGGCGCTTGCTTGGGATTTTATGGTAATTTAATTTTGCGGTCTCTAAGGTGGCACATTGCTGCTTTTTTTCAAAACTATTTCAGCTAACCAACAATTTGGACATATTTTCCGACATTCCGTTACAGGCAGCCTTGATGCAGCTGATCCAGTACTACCACCGTTTCCAGAAGGTACTCAGCCAGGCGCCCTTCAAGCAGCTCACCGTTCGTACCGAGCTCCTCAACATCCACCACCTCATGGTGGAGGTGAAGAAGTACAAGCCAAACTTCTGAATTGGCTCGAGCCGCGAGCCAGCAACTTATCCGGTGCCGCAGCAGCGAGAGCTGCAAAATTCACCGCATCATAAACGAGCAGTCTTATCAGTGTGGAGAACCGAATCGCTGAACAATGCAGGGACGTTCAAGCACGACAAGCATGGCCATTCCAAGCTTCACTGTCACCTGGCGATACAATTAGTACCGTAGTAAAAGCAGGTTTTTTGTCTTTACACGTCCTTGTAACATGGCGTCACAATCTGGTTTTCATCATGAATGTTGGAAGGGCCTATGCGAATTAGTACCTCTTTCTTGCAATTGTGAAGTGACCTGCTGTGTGGTCAGCGGAATACAGTATGCAATGTGCAACTGCCTACTGCTCCAAGTGACCAGTAAGCAGAGCTGTTTGTGCCAATAGATCTTTTGCAAAAATCCCCAAAAGTTGCATGTGAAGCGTGCAAGAAATAATGTGAGCATCCTGTACATCCCTGCCCTCCCCCCTTTGTAGTATCTACCACACAACACTAGAGAGAAAGGGGGTAGTGCAGTTGCTCACCTGCACATCCTTTGTCGTCTGCTACATCCAGTTCTGCATAGGCCCTTCCCAGCATTCTTTTCAGCACCAAAGATGGCACTGCATTCTTTGCATACGGTCTATTTGCTGCTGAAGTAAAACATTGCTTGCATGATGTCTAAGTGACAGTGGTAGGACGGGTTGTGGAATGACTGGATGAAGAACAACAAATGTATGTTTATGCTTTTATTAAGACAACAGCAACAAAAGTAGTTGGGTCGAGGTATCTTACAAAGTAATCCAACACCTTGAGCCAGAAACCAGGGACCTTCATGTTCTCTCTATTATTTTTACTGAATCTTGCAGTGCAAAAAGAATGCCAGTGCTAGCTATGGGTGCATAGTCTCCACGGGACGTTGAACATGATTTTGTTCCGCTCGTTTTTCTATGCGCAAGAGAAAACTAAGAACACAGAAATGCGGGAAGACTCGCTCAATTGCGCTACTGGTATGCCACAAACGCCTCAACAAAAGAAAAAAGACGAGAAGATTTTTGAGACGTTAGTTCTACGTCTTCCACTCACAATTCATGCAATGTTAAAAGTTCTGTCTTAGGAAATTCATAAAATAATACTTCGGCTGTATGTACAGTGCTTAGCAACCTCCGATTTTCGACAACCTTGGAGTCGGCTTTGGGGAGGGACGAGGCTAGAGCTACAAAGGAAATTGGGAGCCATCAGAATGCATGCAATTGCTTCCACTTCGTAACACACTAATAGATTATCCATCTAAAGCTCACTTTATGCATTCCAAAAAGAAAACATGCATTCTGTTGGCTCTGGTGCCCAGTTTCAGTGTCAGCAAAAGCCGTGGCCTGCCCACGTCATGCCCTAGCAAACAACCGTCGACTTTGTCGCGTGTTAAATTAAAAATGCATGGTCCTACATCTTGTGGCAAATTGTTTAGGCAAACAAAACAAAAAATCCAGATGTCTTGCGACATACAAACTTGGCGCACCAACGCATGTTGCTGCTCGTTAGTACACATACCACTTCGCCGTGGATAGTGCACACCAAAAAGTACTTTGCCATGGTGGCACATCTTTTGCCAAGCAAGCAAGCAGTTAACAGTTTTTAAAACCGAATACCACAAAGAGGAGGGCATGACAGAAGCGGCTTATAGCACTCTTCCGTACTCGTCCGTAAGCACCGTACAATTTATTTCAATTTCGCACCTCGAGACGGCGGCAGCCCCCAAAGTAATGACCGAGGTGCTTTTTCTTTTTTTTTTTTTTTGTCGTGCACAGAGAAACGAGGCAACGGGCGTGCGCTTCAAAGTGCTGGCTTGGCAATGAATCTGGGCACAGCTTGTGGTGGCAGGGAAATGTCGACCGGGTCCTAGCTGGGCCTGCAGGAGACTATGTTGGCTTCGGCGCCGCGTCCGTCGACCTCCGCCTCGTCCGACTCGAGAAGTCCCGGAACGCGGTAACCCATGTTCATGAGCATCACCTCCAAGGGGTCGGCATTCATGCGACGCTGGTTGGCGACCGCTGCGTCTTCCGAGTCCACCACCTCGCGGTCTTCCTTGCTGCCGTCCTGTTGAGGATACAGACGTGGCACGCTTGGTAAGGGGGGGCATGTGGGAGGACGAACTGCATGCCACGGGAAAGACGACCATGTGCAAGTAACAGCTACCGGTGGAAGGGATGGGCTACAAGAAATGCTGACCACATCTACTATTTAACTGCATGGCATGCACGGAACAAGTCCACTTGCACTGGAGACCAGAGTAGTATTTCACAAAACCGAAATTCCAGGCAAGATTTAATTTTTCGTCCAAACACCAAACGTCTTCCGGGCTTTGTTCTTCTATGTTATATATGTCTGAACAGTTTTGGCTATTCACAAATGCTAAGAATAGTTGTGTTCTATCTATCCTTCCTTAGTCATTGTCGTCTTTCATTCCCACTGTATTCCGATTCTTTTGACCACTAGCTACCACCTTGTCTTCCTCTTTCTCGGGCTTTTCTCAAGGTGGGACCTTGCACCAGCTCAACGAAAATCATTTGCCCGATTCACGTCTCAGTGATGTCGTCCCCGCCGTCATCCTACGTCGGCCACTATGGTAGTGTTATCAAATTTGCACACCATCGCAAGCAGGCACGCTCACCTCTGGCTTGGGGCTCCATAGCCTCACCACGGGGTCGATGCCACTGGTCGCCAGCAAGCAGGTGCTGGGGTGGGGCTGCAGGCAGTTGACGATCGAGTCATCCCCACGCATTACCCGCACCAGGTTGGTGCTCTGCTTGTCCCAAACAAAGAAGGAGCCGTCGTCCGAGCCCGCCACCACGTACTGGCCCGCACTGAAGAGAGAAGCAAGATCCTTTCATACCTCGTGCTCAACCAGCCATTTTACGCGAAGGAACCATGCAATGTTCTCAACAGACATCATTAACCGGGATATAAAGCGGCAGGTTATAGTACCATCTCCGCAGCACTCGCGTGCCAAGACATTAAGTATTTATGAACTTGAGATGCACAAGAAAAGAATCGGACATTCACGGAGACTCAATTGGATGCAGTAAGTACTAGCAGCAGTGGAAGCCGATTTGAGTTTGGCTCAGGTTCTCTGGTTGCCCACGCCAATTGGCACAAATGCAAGAGGGAAATGATGACATCACAATACTCGGGATTTAAGTATGTCTCGATCATATCTTGATACACTTTGAGGCACACACAATGTGTTACAAATGAGCTGCTCCGTGCGACATAATGAGGTTACATGACTTTATGATGTTGCGCGATATTGTGACGTTGCACAACACCCAAACTTGACATCACGATGTCACGTGATGTCACATTGTCACTTGATATCGTAATATAACGTGACGCCCAAACTTGATGTCATATTGCGGCGTCTTGGGACACCTCGACATCGAGGTCGTATAAGTCGAGTGCAACGGTCGAGTGTAATGTGTCACTTTTCTCGTGAAACCAAGCCTTATAACACATTTGGCATTCAAACGACGTTTAAAAAGTTTCCCGTGCAAACACGGCAGTTGTGGCGCATTACAAGCCATCGCAGAGGTCTTTGGACGAAAGCGTAGGAGTTGCAGTTTATTGGCAGCACAGACCTTCCGAAGAAGTTTGCTTCCTTGATGTCCGTGGTGGTGTTGCAGTGGCCACAGTACCGCAGCTCGTAATCGTAGGCCAGGGACCGCCAGGTCTTTTCCTGCTCCGATATCTGAGGCTGCCGCTTGTGCTTGGGGCTCGAGTTGGCGCTGCCATTGGAGCTCTGAGATTCTGACCGGCTACCCTCTTCAAAGTCTGCAAAGGCTAACGTGAAAACGGAAGGTTTCAGACCCGTGTCTCGTGTAAACGCAAAAAATTAGAGAGAAAAGAAAAAAAAGCTGATGTTGTACTTTAGGAAGGTTGCATCAGCAGGCCTCAAAATTAGTAGCCAAGATGAGTATAAAAATGCAAACTTTCAGGAGCTGTGCGAGCAATAAGGCGGGTATAAATAGCTTCGAGTCATTTGACCAACACGACTCGGACGATGGCTTTGTTCCAGCTGCCTTATAGAAATTCATACGGGGAGTCCCCCCCCCCCCAAAAGGATTTAAGTTCTTACAGCGGAGCTGTTAAGGGCTAGGTTCCCCAGGACCGTGTCCGTGTATGTCGACACAAACCTACCTGGACAGCTAACGTCATCTATAAGCGACGGCGGCAAGCACACAACCAGTATGGTTTCCGCCGTCGCTCGTAGATGGCGGCAAGCTTTCCAGCTATAATAGAAGAATGGATAGTTGGGCGCGGTGGTGGGAATTCATCGTAGGAAACAGCGCGAAAAACAGATGACGATGAAGAAGAAGAAGCACACACTGTATCGAGTATAGCTCCGCTGGTCTTTCTTCCTTCACGAGAGTGGAAAGGCTGAATGTTTTTTCTTCAGCAAAAATGAACTACACATTGCCGAACGCTCATTCTCCACCCGAATGTAGCACTAGCGGTCCAAACCAGAGATGCCAAAGTTTTAGAAGTAGACATATTATTCAAAAGTTAGAAGCGATTTTCTGAAATTTTCAATGGGAAAATGGCAGCCAATGGAGCTCAGAAAGGGAGCTGAATGGCATCAATTGCTAAACACTGGCCCCACCATCCCATTGAAATTTTCAGATAATTTTTGAACGAGATAATGGTTAATTTTAAAATTTTGAGAGCTACATTGGGGCAGAGAAGGAGCATTCGGAGACTGTATAGTTTATTTTTGCAATGAAAAAAACCCTGCAAATTTATTTTTTTTGGAAGGGGGGGAGCACCCTGTACTCTATGTATGTAAAGCGATTCTGTTCACAATGAATACCGTATTTTCCGGTGTATAAGGGTACTTTTTTTCCAAACTTTGTGGCGGTGTGTCTTGTATACTAATTTTTACTTAGAAACTTGCATCAAGTGGGGGGTGCGTCTTATACAACCATGTGCCTCATACCTAAGACACTTTTTTTTCACAATTTTTCGGCGGTGCGTCTTATATACTAATATTTACCTAGAAACTTGCAAAAAGTGAGGGGTGCATCTTATACACAGGTGCCTCTTATACACCGGAAACTACGGTAACTTATTGTTTGGTGGGAACAGCGCAATCCAACAGTATGTACCACCAACTAGCCCAACTACACAACCTATTGATCAGATCGCACAATTGTACATACACGCCTAAAAAGATCCCATGGTTCGGTGAACTTAATAGACAAAGTTACAAATTTGACAGAGGTGCACCACGTATCAAAATAGCCTCTTAAAATTAAGGGTGGAACTCGATTCTGTTTAGGACGAAACGTTTGGGGACGTCTAAGTCCGAGTTTTGGAGAAGTTTCAACTTAGTTACACTCGGAGCCACTAAATGAGCTACGCTAAGAGCATCAGCGCTCCATTCCCCAACCGTCTTGCGGGCGCCGCCATTTTGCTGCTTAGCGCAAAGCGAAGAACTGGCGATTATTACTACTCAAAAATGCGACTTCTCCTGGTCTTCAGACGCAGTGTCGGGAATCTCGGGCGACGTCGTTTTGCTCCGTCGCGAAACGTTTGAACATTTCCGCAAGACTGAAAGTTGTTGCCCGCAATTTCAGAAGCAGCTTCCGATGACTGGCAATAATGATTTTAAGCACAGAGATAGCCAAAGCGTCGTCACTCTAAAGCGTAGCTCGTTCAGCGGCCCCATTCACGCCTAGGAAGCGTTTCCGGAGGCCTCGACGACGTTCCACGACCCCGAAAAGTGTCCTTGTTGGCGGGAGCAAGGGGGCGCCCACCTATTTCGCTCCTGGAAAAGATGGCCCTCTTGATGTCCCTCTCGAGCGCCTGGCAAGCCTGGCCCGTGGCATAGTCTGGGAAGCGCAGCTTGAAGGCCTGCAAGCAGTCGATGGCCTCATTGGTCCAGCGCAGCTCGTAAAGGCAGCGCGCCAGTCGGAGGTGGGCCTTCACGTATCCGGCCTCCAGCTGGAGCGACACATGGCAGTCGCGCAGCGCCGCGTACATGTCGCCGTCCCTGTGAAAAGGGGGATTGTTTGCTATAAACAGCTTTATTTCTGCGGGCTCAATACTCTGCCAATTTTGCCAAATGTGGGTTTTGGAATATTTCTTGGGCACAAAATTCCACAGTTGGGGGCCGTGTGTTGCGTGTTTGTTACATATTCGCGTGATCATTTTCACGCTATGTTTTACAAGTTGTGGAAAGTGTGAAAATCAAGTCTTTGAAGGATTTTGGAAAATAAATTTAAGAAAGTTCCCCATTTATTTTTCACCACTTTGATCTAAGTGGTGAAAAATAAATGGGGCACTTTTTGGAGACAAATCCTATACAGCCAAATCTCATTAATTCAAACTCTCTTAATTCAAACTTGCGGATAATTAAAACTAACGTGCAGGTCCCATCTTAGGCTTCTATACGGGAGGAAACTCTCGCTTATTCAAACTTTGCTTTGTTCAAACGAATTTTCAATCCCCCTCGAATTCGAATTAACGAAATTCGACTGTATGTAGGGTTCACAATTTTCAGTATTTACCGAAAAATTATGAAAACGGATTCATATTTTATTGAAGAACGGCGAAATGACAAACAGAAAAAGCCTTCCATAAAAAAGAAAAATACATTTTGGAGCTTAGCTTTGACACTGTGGTGATGTTGCTTCAATAACATCAGAATAAACGAGGCTGTATCAGACAGATCTGCGAGTCTTGTCTGGTTCTCGAGAGCTTTTTCTCTTGTCGGCAGCCACATTTACTCGCTTTTTTTTTTTTTGGTCCTAGAGAACTCGCTTCTCCTATCTACTTCTTGGGATCAGTCTCGGCGCATTGCATTTGAAATAAAACTAATGTCAAAGTGCACGGCTGCGATGTCGAAGTAAATTTCGTGCCTGATTGAACAGATTAGTCGCAACACGAAATCCTAGTAGAAACGGAGGTCCGTACAGAGCTCAACAAACTTGTACGGAACATGCAAGCTGCGTCTTTTCTAATGGAAGCGCTATTCTGGCAGCAGCTGAGCGACAGTTTCGCAACTCATCGCTCGATAGACCATCCCAAGGTACTACGTCAAGGAGCCATTGTTCTTCCAGGATAGCACTACCATGAGAAAAAGCATGATTTGCGTGCTCCGTCTAACTCTGGTGAGCACTGTAATGACAGAGAAAAGCTCACCATGCCCGTTTCATGAATGCCGCCGCCCGGTTGCAGTAGAGCACAGCCGAGTCAGACACCATCTGAATCGCCTTGTTGTACAGGTTGATGGCCAGGGTGTACTTCTGCTTGCCAAACTTCTCGTTGGCCTTGCACTTGATGGCCTCCACTCTCGGTGGAAGAGGCTTGCTGCTCATGGGCCTGCGACACCGATACAAACCACATAAAACATTTCAACTAGAAAACTTGCCTTGGCAAGCCCGAAAGAAAGATGCCAACGATGCATTGTGTGGAAGAACCGAAAGGAAGTAGTAAACCTACACACAATTGCAAACATTACATTCTTACCAAAAGTGTACAGTCGAACGCCTTTATAACAAACACCTCTATTAAGAAAATGCCCGTCTAACAAGGTAAAATAGAGCCCTGTCCGATTTCCTATGCGTTCAATATGTTTCTCCGACTACTACAACAAATTTCTGTTTAACGAAGCAATTGTGCGGTCCCACAAAGCAAAAATTACCGGTATTATGAATTTTTTCAGGCGAAAAGTAATTGATTTTACGTAAATTGTTGCTCTCAAGTGATGCATGTGAAAAACAAATACAGCCGTGACGGTTGACGCTGCTGCCGTGCCGCCTCTGCCGCGTCCCTTCGCTGCCGTCCCACGGTGGGTTCTCGAATTCAAATTATTTGCTAGTGTGCAACCTTGTGTCCAGATGGCGATATGTGACTACCGTAATATCCCGAGTCTTCGCCCACCCCCCTAGCGCCTGAAATTCATTAAAAAAGTGGGGTGGGCCATGTCTCGGTGGGTGAGCACAAACACTTGAAAAAAAGCGGAAAAAACCGCCTATTTTTTTCTGCGTACCTAGCGCTGATGCACAAGATATACATCAAACTCAAAACTCGATTTAGTTTCATTGTTTTATAGAAAAAAATGCTCACGAAAGAATATTTTACTATAGCGAAGTCCGTTGCTTGCATACGCGCTAGAAACACCCCCGATCTGCATATAGCGCGAACGTTTGTTCCGCGAAAGAATGTCACCACTATGTTCTCCTAGTTAGTAAAAAAAGAAAGAAAAGTCTACAAGAAAATAGAAAAACCGACCAGGCGCAACGAGCGAGCGAGCGGACCAAAGAAGCGACCAAGAGCGCAATGCTGGGAAAGCGGGAAAGCCGGCGGTCGCGTTGGCAAATACTTTGGCGTCGGGCCAAGTCGGGCGCCTTGTCAATTGCAAGCTCTTGCGCAACTTTCTTGTTTAGTGCGTACATACGTGCGTCCGTGCACGGCGGGCTATCAATGCACGGTTGGGACGCTCTGCAAACGTCTGTGTAGGGCGTTCCAGCAAAGCTTTATTTACGCGTTGGCTTTGCCTAAAATATTGCACAACCGCGGTCGCGACGGGCGGGAAGAAGGAGCGGGTTCGCGGTGACCTTACTTAGGCGGAGACAGACTTTGACCTAACACTCTGCGGTTACATTAACAAACTCTTGTTTTGTTATCTCCATCGTTTTCTTTTCGCACGGATACACGACCACTTTGGGGTCGCTCACGGAGGAAATGCGTAAACAAAAAGAAGTGTCTTTCCCTCCTTCGTTTTACTTTGTCACGGACGTCCTCCAACTGTAAGGTCCGCGGCCGCGTCATTCGGGTAGGATCGATGAGTGTTCGCGGATCGCAGAGTCCGCGCTGGGGTATTTGAAGGGGTGGGCGATGACTCGGTGTTTTTTCGGAAATCGATATTGGCCTAAAAAATGGGGTGGGCGATGGCTCGGGGATGGGCGATGACTCGGGATATTACGGTATGTTGCTGCGTAGAAAGACTGTATGCAGCAACGTAGTCAGATAACGCCATCTAGACACAAGGTTGCACACTATTAAATTCTTCAAACCCAAAAACCGAGAATGCGTGGCGCGGCGGATGCCGCAACGCCTCCGTCGCACACCTGCTTTTATTTTGCTCATGCTGTTGATTGAGTATGTGCACTCTTTTTTTTAAATATTTTGTACGTATGTCGGCACATTTGAAAGGACCCGCACGAGCAAGGGTATATGAAAAAAAAAAGTATTTTCATCGGCAGTCGCAACTCCTTTGTTCCGTCTTGGCGTTTGTTCTACCGACGCACCAATCTTCGTCAGGATCCGAAGATTCCTAATCTTGCTCGATCCGAGTCCCAAATTGTTCCAACTTGGAGCCATAATATGCGGTTGAGGAAACGTGATCTGCGACTGCGGCTGCCGCACCTATTTATATGAGAGCAACGCAGCCGCTACGAAAGCTTGCTGTGAGTGACACGAACTAGCGCAAGCCCTTGCCCAATTTAGAAAAGGCCGAATTAACACAGTCGGCAAATGCCTCTCATTCGCTGCATGATTGGGGCTCGATGTTAATGGTTTAGTGATTGTTGCGATTCATATTTTGATAAGTCAATTAAATTTGTTGTGTGGAAGTTTGGATAGGTCTCTTGTGTTGCCCAGGGGGCACTGCAAAAAGGGACTTGTTAGGACTCATTTTATTTAGTACCAACTTGCTCAGGGCGCGCCCTGCCGTCGATGCAAATACGCTGCAGACGAAATAAGGGAGTGGAAGAATGAAGTGCCTGTTTTTGCATTCCCAACTCGTAAGAAGTGCTTAGGTGTATCTCGAGCTTTTTTTATTAATGCTCGTCTGTAATTTGATGCTGTCCATTTAAATCATATGCAAGCATGTCAGAATGCGAAGAAGAGAAACAAAAACGTGTATGCGTGAGTGCACACACACACAGACCGACAAAGGAAGGGACTGAGAGGGACAGGCACAAACAGATCTAATTGTACATGTAAAGTTGATCTTACATTGGTCAGTAAAAGTTTTACGTTTTACGTTATACGCCTCGCAAGTGGGCTGATTTTCGTCTTCTGCGCATGAGAAAGGAAGTAGCGGTGACGTCAGAACGCCGAGCCCTGATTGGCTGATGGCGACCCCCTATCTGAGCGTCGTCTGCTCCTTTGCAACGTCGTCTGCTCGCAACGTCGTCTGCGTCTGTCTTACCTTTCCTGCGACTTTCGGAGCTCGACTTCGCCTTTCAGAGAGGGCAGACGAAATAACTCGAGCGGTACGTTGTTTTTGTCTAACAACTAGCAGACACGCATAAAGGGGGGAAGTCAAAGGACTCACTGGCGAGGTGTCCCGAGGCGCCGAGGTTTGTTTGCTAACAACCGAGAGTGAGCGTGTTAGTGTCCGCAAGTTCCCTCCCAAATACTTGTCCCTCCTTTCGTGTGCGGTGAGACTCCTCACTCTTTAACGGCGTCGGCGGGTTGGCGCAGTTAACGTCGTCTGCTTTACGTCTGCTAGTCAAAGCGATGGCTGCTTTACCTTTCCGGCGTCTGTCGGTGATTCACCGCTTTTTCACCGGCGAGAGTCACCGTTGCCTCGGGAAACAAAGAGATAACAAGAGGAAGAAATTACCTCTTAATCTAAAATTGAAGTCAGCGATGAAAGTATAATACGGGAAGGGTTCACAAGGGTTGCGCGGGCATATTCCATTCAGCACGCCAGCCGGTCGTGGGCAGACGGTCGCCGAGTCGCGGAGTGCCTGCTAGGCCTAACTGCAAAGCTCGCTTGGTCGCGTTCGGTGGAATCGTGGACGTTGGAGCTTTTCCCGGGTGTTTGTGGATCCAGCGTTCTTGTTCGTCGTGGTCTGTTTCAAATACTTTTTCCTTTTTTCTTGCTGCATGAAGTCGGGACGCGTGAGAAGCGCACGTAGAAAAATAAACGTCCGTGGGTCGTCGCGACCGCGACGCTGTCGGCCATGCTGATTTGATCGTAAGAAGTGCGTAAGACAGCTTCAGAGCTGTTGTAGGATTTCGTCGTAACCTGCGCAAAACTTACGAAAATTTCGTTATGTGAATACTAATTTGTTCTCAAATTTTGTCTTGCGCATTGTTTTGGCGTCGTCGCAGGAAAGGTGAGACAGACGCAGACGACGTTGCGAGCAGACGACGTTGCAAAGGAGCAGACGACGCTCAGATAGGGGATCGTGATCAGCCAATCAGGGCACGGCATTCTGACGGCACCGCTACCCCCCTGCGCAAGAAGCAGACGAACTTGCCCTCCGCATACGTTTTGTCTCACACGAGCTCGCCACTTTTTGTTATGATTTACACCATCTTGTCCACTTTAAAACCAAAAGATAGTCACGGTCGTTAAACAACTCTCGAACTGTGCTCGAGTTCAAAGACTATACATTTAGGTCATTGAATATTGTTTTTTTTGCTTTTCATTTTTGGTGCAGCTGAGAGGGTTTTAATACTTTGTTTGGAGCCGGCCTCAGAAGCAATGGCAACAGTGACACCGTGTGCACGAAGCTGATAGAAAACAATTTGGCGCGATTCGGCATTTTCATATATACTTTGGAGATATCCTATTTTGTTTTGCTGAAGTATTGCAGCAAATAAAGCTTTCTAAAAACAAGGAAAATCAAGCTTTTTTTGTTATACATAGTATGATGTGGTTTATATCAAGAAAACAGTTTTGAATTAATCTGCACCTTATGATAAAATCAAGTTTACATTGAATCTTTCTTTTACACTATTTTCAACGATTGGGCGGATTGAAGAATCCATTTCCCGTGCTCAAAAAGACTAGTGAAAGACAAATGGCTTTTTCTGTAAAGTGATTTAAATAATATATATATATATATCATTTAGACTTGGATAATAAAATTGATTTATTTGATGTATTAAATTATATATATATATTTTTTATTGAGACGTAATTAGTTATGTATTTCCAGTGCGCACAAGCAGCAAAACGGAGTGGTGCATTTTGATGGCACTCACCCCCACTTGGCACAGGAGGACACGCCTTTGGAAGCTTCCGTGGGTGGGACGACGCCATTGGGCTTCATCCCATTGGATACCACTCCATTGGACATCCCGTTCTTATGAGCGCTAAACCCATTGGCTGGGCTGCTATTTTCTGACAGACCTGCAGAAACAAAGCGGGTTGCTCACCCCCTGCAATGGTTTCGACATCACTGATCCCAATTAGAGTGCTTAGCCTACATGGGTAAACCTGTCACCATAATCACTGACAGAACAAGAATGCAGGGTGTGTCTCTTGTTTGACCTCTCCGAACTTCAAGTACCCAAGTGAGCTATATCACTATGTCAACTACAGGTTTTCCCCCTCATTTTAATCCAAGCGACGGCCATTTTAATCCAAGTGCCACCAAATTTAATCCAAGTGCCACATAATTTAATCTTTGCGCCACCCAATTTAATCCCGGGGTCAGTCAATTCAATCCACAATAAATATATGCAATTAATGTCTTCGGTGGTCATGTTTGCTTACACATTTGGTAACTTAGAATAATTGTTTATACAATTAGATTTTTCGGGGGACAATTGAGCGCTTATCCCTATTGTGATTACTTGGGGTTACCAGTCCCACTATTGACGAGGCTTAGTTGATATGTTGATTACTCTTTTTGTAATATTGAGTTATCGAGGCGCGCTCGAATTTATTTTAGCTGAATAGACGTTTTGTTTAACCTTTCTTATTACTCGTTGCTACAGTTCAGATGATACAAGTACAATTGCAATTTATGATTACTATTTTGATTACTTTGTGTTATTATACTTCCAATTGATATATAATAAACTCAGTTGACATTATTATTACTCTTTTGATTACTTCGAGTTACTTTTAACCCAGTGGACTTGAATTCGACCGAAATGACATTGGGATGACTCTTAATTACTTTGAGCATATCTTCATACAAACTTATTTATTATGAGCCTAATGTATATTATGATTACTCTTCAGATTACTTTGAGTTACCTTGACCGACCCATTGAATTTGTCCTATTTCACAATTTGGTAACTCTTCTGATTACTTTAAGGTCACATTCAACCAATTGGTCTTTTAAGAGCTCAATTCACATTTTTGTTACTCTGTAACAGGCTTGAGCTGAGCTAGTTGGATCATACTTCAATTAAGGCCAGCTGAACTAGAAAAAAGTTAAAGCCGTTTACAAATCCCTGTAACGCCGAATTGGAGCGCAGCTCTTGAGGAGGAGTAGGGAAGGGTACTGAGGGGGGTCACGTCACCTGCGTGTAGTCACGTGACCCCGGGGGGTCACGTGAGGGGTCACGTGATCTTGGGGGAGGGGGGGGTCACGTGACTTCGGGGGGGGGTGGGGGGGGGGGGGGTCACGTGACCCCCCCAGTTACGCCGACGCCGCTCAGGCTGGAAACGGGCCCCTAAAGGCCGGTTCTCACATGCAGCGAAGCGCTGATGTAGCGCTCCTCACGTGCCGTCAGCTACTTATCGTCTGCCATGAGCAACAGTTTTGACGGTGCGATACAAAGCTGGTGAACGCTCCCATCAGCACGCGCTTAGCGCGAGGTAAGCGCTATGCTTGTAGCGCTCCGCTGCATGTGGGAACAGGCCTTAAGAGCTGCGCTTTAAAAAAAACACACATAAAGAAAAGACCATTCACACCGCTGGACTAACAACTGATTTTCTTTTTCTTCCTCTTGTACTACGAGCCCTACTTGAGAGAACAATTCTTTTCCTCTTTTTTGTTTCCTAATTCACTCTTTTGTCCCAATTTATCCTAATTCGGCTTAATTGACATTGTAATGAGACTTGATTATCTTCTGCTAATTTTAACCAATTGATTTCTTGTGGGCATAATGGACATAATGATTCTTTTTTTTTTATTTACTATTAACCCAATGGGCCCAACTAACATATTGGTAAATCTTTTAAGTACTTGGAGTTATTGTGCCACCAATTTATCTATCATGAGCTCAATTTTCATTGCAATTACTCTTGATTATTTCAAGTTGCTATTGACCCAACGAACATTAATTCGGCTTAATTGACAGTTTTATAATTCTTACATACTTTGAGCTAATATCGAACCAATTGCGTTCTTATGAGCTAAATTTGCATTATGATTACCCTTTGAGATGGTTCGAGCTGCTATTGACCCAGTATTTTGATTACTTTGGGTTATTATACAGCCAATTTAATAATAATTAGCTATATTGATAATTTGATTACTTCTAGTTACTTTTGAGTTACTTTATACTTCACTTCAATTACCCTGGACACCAGAGGGCGGCGTCAGACCAGAAGTCCTTCCAGTGAGCCCTTCTCGTCCGACGGCTTCCTTTGGTGTCCGCGATACTTCCGAGGTAAACAATCTTTGATTCCGATATTAATAGAAAAAATGTAGAGCCCTCTTCTTTCATGTGAAGATGGAGGACCAGCGAAGCTATTTTAACGTCTAGGGCGATGCCTAGAGGACGACGTCTGAGACGACCTCAATGACGATTTCTAGGATGACCTCGAACACCGCCTAGAGGACGACGCCCAGGACGATTTCAAAAACGACGTCCAGGACGACCTTAAGGACAACCTGGAGGACGACATTTAGGACAACCTCAGGGACGACGTCTAGGACGACCTTGAGAACAACCTCGAATATGACGTCTAGGACAACCTTAAGGACGACGCCTAGGACAACCTCAGGGAAGACGTCTAGGGCGACCTCAAGGACAATGTAGAGACGACCTCAAGAACGACCTCGAAGACGACACCTAGGACGACGTGTAGGACAACCTCTAGGACGACTTCAAGGACGACATCTAGAACGACCTCAAGGACAATGTAGAGGACGACCTTAAGAACAATCTCAAGGACGACGTTTAGGACAATCTCTATGACGACGTCTAGGACGACCTCAAGGACGACGTCTAGGACGACCTCGAGGTCGACGTCTAGGACAACGCTTAAGACGACCTCAGGGACGACGTCTAGGGTTGCCTTAGAAGTCGTCTTAAAGTTGCCTTAGAAGTCGTCCTAGACGTCGTCCTTGAGGGCAACATCTAGGACGACTTTATGGCAACCTTGAGGACAACACCTAGAGGACGTCGTCCTCTAGGTGTCGTCTTCGAAATAGTTTTAGAAGTTGCCCTTGAGGTCATCCTAGACGTCGTCCTTGAGGTCACCCTAGACGTCGTTCTTGAGGACTTCCGAGAGGTTGTCCTTGAAGTCGTCGTAAACGCATCCTTGAGGTCGTCTTGCACGTCGTCCTCAAGGTCGTCCCCCAGGTCGTCCTACAAGTCGTCCATAAGGTCGTCTCAGCCATTGTCCACGAGGTCGTCCCTGAGGTCGTCCTAAACGTCGTCCTCGAGGTCTTCCCAAAAGTCGTCCTTTAGGTCGTCCTAGACATCGTCCTTGAGGTCGTCCTAGACGTCGTCCTCCAGACGTCATCCTTGAGGTCGCAACAGAAGACAAAAAGTGCATATACATATATTCCACTATGAGCAGCAAATAAAAACTTTAAAAAACTTGTGTAAACAAAGGAAAAGCAAAAGCATGAGTGCTACTTAACATTACTTTGTAGGCTTCTCAACATGCTTTGCAAGTAGTAAATGTGAAGTTTTGTGTAGCAACACACCATCTCTGGCAAAGTTGTGGCTGTAAACATCGTTCCCCACTAGACCGGCTTAAATTCTTCGGATACTCCAACCTAAATCAGGCAAGAGGTTTGCTGACAAGGCTTACTTTTGCACATCCCATTCGTATGGAGAGATGAGAAGTCCTGGAGGTCGAAGCTTTTGGGCTGTCGAGGTTGGTTGATGTTAAATAAGTATATCTGTTCGCCACCAAGGTTGGCAAGAAGTTCACTGCCGTCGGGACTGAAGGCAACGTAGGTGGAGGCCAGCGTACGAAACCGCTTCCTTGGGTACTTCAAAGGCAGGTGGCCTGAAACCAAAGCATTTCAAAGCCATGAGTGAAGAAAGTTTAGTTCTACTTTGTGGAACAAATAAAGCAAGTGACATAGAGACGTGTGTCCTGTCCCCATTCTTTCTGTCGTCTCCGGTTTTAACGATGAATATCATCCTCCTTTTTCTCTCTACTGGAAATAAGCAGTTCTCTTTTGGTGCACGAGAATAATGTGATGATGAATAATGTGTAAGTCAGTGCTAGGGTGACCATAATCTACAGCATAGAAAACAAGGTTCAGGGGAGGGAGGAGGAGGGAAGGGGGGGGGGGGGGGGGGGGCGGGACAAAAGAAAAAGCAAACTTTACTACAACTATTTAGTCCACTGTAAAAATGCACACTTTCCCAAAGTTCTTCACTTAGTTGAGTACACGAGCACATTTATTCTTCATTTTAATCAAAACTGAAGCATGACTAATACAGTTAAGGCCCTGTCACAGTGAGGCAACAGTTGGACCACCTTATCCGGCAACACGTGAAAATTGTGTTGCTGGCGACCCTGCCACATCACGGCAACAACAACAGTTGGGCAACATGTTGCTGCTGCCCGGCAACCGTTTTGGTCAATTTGTTGTACGACCACCCTATTGCATTGCGCTGAAGGCACACCCTTTATTGTATCAAAATGTTCATCATTCGCTGACAAAGCGGATAGCCCTAACCAAGGACATATATAAGGGCATATATGTTCAGAATGTGCGCCATCATATGAAGTGTTTTTGTCCGGTTCTCTCATTCATGCGATTCCTATTTCTACTGTAAAACTGTGTTAGCACCGGCAGTATTCCAAAGCGTCTTTTGTAGAGTGGTGTTGAGCTCAAATGACAGTGCTTAAAAACTGCAACACCAACACGATCGACCTTCATAACAATTGGTGGAATAAATGTTTTTCAATGGTTTCTATTTGCCTATCGCCTGCTACCAATGTGATTGCTTCATTCCCCAAAACATCCTGGCCATTTTTTAAACAAATCAGGTGTCTGGTAGTGGCTGTTTCTAAGTTTCAGGCATCGAACAGTCATAATCAGAGTAATCGTTTTAATGCTTCGATTTTTTTAATCTTTGCGTTTCTGAATTATTTTTAGTATACTTCATCAGTGGGTGAGTAGGCATGCCTTTTTATTTCACTAGCAGTAACGTGAGCTGGTCTCTTGGCAGTTCCAATTTCAACACAAGTATGAATGTTCACTACTGTCGCTGTGACCATTTCAACAATCCCTTTCCAAAATCACGCAGTAAAAACATTCATAAAATTATTGTATTATTTTTTTTTTTATTCTTTTTGATTCAGAGATTACCCCGCAGTGCCCGAGGGCATTGCAGCAGGAGGGTTACAATGCTGAAAAAAAACACATCTTCATTCTCACTGCACACTTGCAGCTCCGACAGCCATTTCCACTCTCGTATCGTTTTAACAAAAAAAGAGTTGGTGTAGATGCTTGCCCTGGCATGGTACTCTTTAAATTGGAAAGCATGATCATTACGCTTTTAGAAATATAATACGCCTGCCAGCCTTAATTATTGTTAAATAATGTTTTCCAAGTCTTTATTTGAGTAAGACGTTATTGATAGAGAACTAGCTTTGCCATCGAAGCTATGTGTGTTGTCGTGTTGCCGGCCTGAAATCCACTCAGCCAGCGCTGATCGCTGGCTGAGAAAAACAAACATTGTCCAACACAAGTTGTTGCTGTTTGTGCTGCCGAAAGCTGTCATACCAACGCAACATTTTCATTGTGGTCCATGCTGTGCTGCTGTTGCCGTGATGGGACAGGTTTGTCGGACAACACGGGGAGCGAGCAACAAGCTGCCCGACAGTTGGACAACGTGTTATGTTGCTCTTGCCATCGTGTTGCCTCAGTGTGACAGGGCCTTCATATAGTAAAGTGTCCCAAACAAATGTCTCTACAAGCAAATCCTATCGACAGATGGAACCACAGAAATAGCTCTAAGTTTACTTTGTGGGGGGTAACATTTATATAGTATGTTTACTTTTATCAAAAGTATTATGTATTCTTCCAGATTTCTTCCACTTCCACACGCAAGGCTTCAATGAGACAAAACGACGGGACCGCAGAAAAGCAACTCTAAAACAGGACTGTCCCAGCCAAAACGGGGCATCTGGTCAACCTGGTCAGTGGGGCTCTAAAAGCTGCCACGAGACGACACCTCTGGATAAGTGTGTGCAATTGTGCAATCACTTATATGTGATGCAAATTCTGGTACTTTGTTTCACCTTATAACGAACCGTAGATGACGTTACAAGACATTGAAGCCAATCCAATGCTGTGTGAGTGTTTCGTGGTCTCCAAGAAGGGTGCGGCGACATGCAGGACGGATAGTCACATGACACATTCGCAGCGCCAGATTGGTTGAGATGGCTCCTAACACCTGCTGCTGTTCATCGTACGGTGAAATGGAGTATAGAGACCCCAGGCTATAGCAGTCAGCCTGCACTGGCTAAATTGAGCATCCATAGCAGAGACATTAAAAAAGGCTATCTTCCTGCCAACTAAATGTCCACACAAGAAATTTTATTTCTAAACATTCTCACTTACAAAAGCAGAACCACTTATGCATGCATTGGTGGGTTTCTGTAGTGCCATGTGTGCAATGACGTGAGAAGTGCAGTTACGTTGACCTGCCATGAAGCAACAATACCATTCTTTAATAACATGGAAGCAAACATAACTCACCAGCAGCAAAATAAGTTACACAGCCAGGAGGGAGGTTATCGCCGTCCGTCTCTGACCTCGAAGCATTGGTTTGCCTCCAGAGCTGCATATGGCCAAGCCATCAGGGTATGAGAGACATGGATTTTACATGCCTATAAGTGACAAATAAGTAACTTACCATAGTTTTATTTTGTGCTAAAAGTGCTAAACAAGTCGACCTGGCAGATATAGTTTTTTTAACTTCCTATTATGTAATAATAAAATCAAACACACCTCACAGAGTTCACTACTCTCGCATCCAAGTTCAAACTCACTGTGCAATTTTGTTTGCAAGAAAAGACGTCGGAAATGACAACTCACCTTTGTGGTGCTGATCATACGTCGGTCGTAGAGGCGGATGTATGAGTCGTTGGCGCCGACGGCCAGGAGGTGGGGCTGCAGTTGGTTGACCGCTATGCACTTGGCCTCCACGTTGCGCCCCAAGTGGTAGCCCAGATTCACCAGGACGTTGCCAGACTCCGAGGAGCACTGGTGGGCCGTCCGGTAGTCAAACTGCCTGCAAGGCAAGTCTGAGGCTTGCGTGACTATCCTACGGAGTAGTTACGTGGTTCCTAGCATGCAAATTGCGTGAATATACTACTTTCTAGTCTTACGATAGGACAATGTCAGGGCAATTTAGTACAAGAACGTAGATTGTAAATAAATTATTAGCCCGAGAAGATAATAATTCCCAGATGTAAATTGGTGCAGCTGGGTTGGATCTGGAACCCAGCTAGGTCCAGTTGGAAATGAGACTCAATCCAGCCAAATCCAGTTAAATTCTGTCCCATAACCCTGCTCCAGCGTGACCGATTGTCGTGTGGCTCACGATGTCTTCTAGATGCCTGCGGCTCATTTTCGAGGAAATATGGTGCGTCCCGGCAACGCCGCAGAGTACGTCTGACATCTGCCATGAAAATTTGACATGGGATTAGAGAGGCTCACAAAATGACCCCGTCCTCGGCCGCGCTCCAGAAAACGAAGGGCACGCTGGCTGCGGTGGCCAGCCGCTTGACCCTGCTGGTGTGGCAGCTGCACACCATTGTCGTCTCTTTGGCCTGCACGTCGTGCACCCGGATCTTGAAGTCCGCCGCACCGCTCACCATCATGCTGTCCCCGGAGTAAGGCAGGAACTGCATGTAGACAGAAAAAGAAAAGAATTACACAAGCTTCATTATTTTGACGAAGACTGGGAAGCAGAAATTATGTTGAGCGCAAACTACAGCCTCAAAAAAATCGATGTCACGTGACTCGAGGCAACATGACATAGTCACATAGCACCAATTTACCCGCTAAATTTGGTGGGAAAATTGACGTCATGTCACAATAGGTTTCCCGCTAAGATTAGCAGGGAGACTATTGTCGGTTTCTTGTTGAAAGTTCTTTGTTATGTTCTTCACAACGTTTTATCATGGAATTCGGCTGATAAAACAGATTTTGTGTTAAAGAGTGGCTGGCCCTGCGAGTTCATATTTCCTAATCATAGTCATATTTCCTCTTTGATACTGAGCATATTACTTACTACCTTCTAGTAAGAAGAACAGATGGAGCATATAATAACTTCCGAGCCTATCGTGCTAATCCAGGCGCTCACCCATGTCTGCCGCTGCTCCTAGCACTCCGATGCAAAACGGTGAAACTCGACGCGCTCGCACTGGTGAGAGGTGGCGAGAGACGACACGGAGTCATGCGGCAGACATGATAATCGAGTGATTTCATGAGGAGTAAAATAGCCTGGTTGTGTATAATCACAGTATTCGTCATACTACTATTATTCAATGTTTTCTCGCAAACTTTAGCTCCTGAAATCGCCAACATCATCTGAAAATTTAAACAATGTCGGCGGTCAACCTGTTAGTGCATTAACTGGACAATGCGTTTGACAAGCAATGTCAACTGCTTGTCAAACGCATTGTCATTTCACCTTAACTCAAAGCACAGCTGACGCTACGAGCCAATGGAACCAATTAAGCAGCATCAAAGTGCAACATCATGGCATTCGTCCACCCTCCCGTACGTGTTCTTTTATAGACTAAATCAAGTGCAGCTAATATCTCTTAGCTTGCGTTTTAGTATGTGCATTCGAGGTTGTATGTGTTCAAGCCTTCGAATGTGCTTCAACCTAAATGAAACAAACTATGCGGCGAGTAGACACGCTGTGAAATACATATCTCTACAATTTTCCTTTCCGACCAATAAAATATTTTTATTTTTTGTTTTGCTTAAGCCTATCTTGGCGCAGGTGTGGCGCAACTCTTAGGAAATATGGCACTTTGGCACAAGATGTGGCAGACTTTTGTTCATGGTGCAATTTGATGCAAATGGCACAGCACTTCCATCACTGCGATTACATATAGCAGAGCAACTGTCAAGGAAAGCTTGACAAAACAGCCTCCTGTAGTTGCCAGTGTTGTTTTCTTTCTCATATTTTTTTACGATAGTTTGTTTTGGGGGTTGTTGGTATACTTTACATGCCCTATGATATGTAAAGATATGTTTACAACTCTTTAACAAGTAAAAAAAAAAGATTGTACCTAGCAAAATTTTGTAACTGTCTTCACTATCTACTCAAATCATTGCAACCATTGTTAAGAAAAACCTCCATGGAGGCTTACCTTGACTGAGAAGACATTGCCATGGTGTCCGCTCTGTACAGTATGGAGCCGACGGTGGCGGAAAGGATCCCAGAGGATGATTTGTACATCGTCCGAACCGCTGGCGAGGATTCTGGAACAGAGCACACTACAGTTCAGGAAGGCTCGTTTCCCCAATCTAATTATTCACACACGGGAAAAAACAAAGAAACATTAAACTTCCATTGTTTTGGTATGCAACACAAATAAATAATGTAAACAGACTGAAGCAACTGATTTCCTTTTGAATCACACTAGGAATAAATGCTTCTCCTCTAAAATGTATATAAATACATTATGCATGTAAAGAAAATCTAACTTGTGCAATCTAGACAAAAAAAAAAAAAAAACAGATGATGTTAAAATTAATTTTCCATCCCCAAGCACTTTTTTTTTTTTCTTTCAGACATCAGCCCTTTCTGGGTTTTTTGAAAGGCCAGATTAGGCTCATAACTCCCCCAGTTTCTTATTAATAACATTCACTTACTCTCCTCTCTGATTCCACTCCAGGCAGTTGACGCATCCTGTGTGGCCCTTAAGTTCAAAGGAAACATTTCAAGTCACACCACCGTGTCTCATTAAAGAACTAAAGTAGTGCTGCAAAATCACAGTACCTCAAGTTCTGCTTCAAGGCCAAGCCTCGCAACAAGATCGTCAGTGACTTGTAGCTTTCGTTGAACATGAGCAAAGCATTTGTCCTACAAAATGTGTGAAAAAAAAAAAAGAAGAAAAAAGATGTTTATCTAGATCAGTTGCGTATGTCACAGCGCCCTAGCAGAGGCAGGGTTAGACAGGGAGCCTCTATCCATTGCCCCAGTTTGAAAGATTATCGAACTGACAAACACCGAGGGTTATGCAATCTACAACAATGCCTTAGACTTTAGTACTACCGTTGACAGGTGAGCCGCTTGAAAGCAGTGCAATCTTATCTAGGGTATAGGTCGCTCTGTCCACTGGGGGAGACGGTGATGTCAATGTACGCTCCATATAACAATTGTTGTCTCTTACCTTGCTCTGCCTCTCGTTTAGTAATTTGACGACCCTTCTTTCACTTTTGTAGTGCTGTGCCATGTTTGACTGGACACAGAACCTACTTCATTTTGCCTGGAAAGTAGAATAAGAATATCTTTCAATGAGTGCAAGAACGGCGACACTATGCGTCGAAATAATCGCGGCTACCACGAGTGAAACCACACAGAAGATTCACGCAAAGGGAACTTAATGGGTCAAACACTAACGCCGACTTGGGTGCTTTATATATCTATCTATCACGGAAGTGTACTCTCTTCAAAAGAAATGGGGGCGAATTTAAGATCGCCAAGAAACCCGCGCCTGCGTGCATATTCGAGAAGGCAAGCTAGCTTGCCGTCCTTCGTGGAAGATGTCTAAATCAATTCTTCTGTTGCGCTGCCTCCTCGATTATACCATTATACGTAGGCAGCAGCGAACTTGCGCAGTCGAAAAATCCAAAAACAAATATAAAGAACCCGTAAATCACGTTCCTCGACTCCGCCTGCCCCTTCGGTTGCGCAAAAATGAACATTTCAGGACAATAGCCCTCGACGGTGTAAAATCTGCACAAAAAAAAACCCTAATATTTTAATTGATTAATTATTTTATTCGCGAGCGCGCGTATGGACCGGATCGGAGAAAGTCGTTGCCGTTAAAGGCTTATAAAGAAAACAAATTGACATCTCCAAATTATGGCATCAGCTTCTTACCGCATTAATCCGCAATTAGAGCCCCGAATTAAATAGTAAGGAACCAACAACAAATGCAAATAAATTAAATAAACCGTCACATGCGTTATGGAACGTAGGCGAGCGACTTATTTTTTTCTAGGCCTACCCGCGAGTTGCGGACGACAAGTACGGATATGCAGCGATAGAATCACGGAAACGATTGCCACGATAAGGTCGTTGAGATTACCAAGAGTCGATTTTTATCAACGGTATTGGAAAGCCAAACTCACCGTCACGACAAAAGTGCGACCACCAACGAGTCACCAAGTGAGACATTTACGGGGCAACCCCATGTTTACAAACTACGTGAAGTCAATCAGCTGACTGACTCGATCAACGGGAGGGCAAGAAGATTCGCAACAAATAGTACATTACTAAATACTCAAAACCGGGTTTCATTGCAGGCGCCATTATATTTAGGATTTAATTATTTTCAGTTTCCCCTAATAATTTTTGTAAAGTGTACAGATACGAAAGTGCCAATTTGTTCAGGTTGGCCAGTGAAGGGTTTGGAACTTGGAGAGCGCGGCGGATGTTCGTTGTAGAACTTTTACCACTTTTACTAGCAGTAGCTGACATTCAGTTTACGCATTTTTGTAGTAAATATGCAAGTAACAGTAGTTGAGACGCCAGTTCTAAGCATACAGTGCAATTGGAGCGATGTATTGAGGTGAGTAGCTTTTGAGAACACGCGAATGAGGTCCTTTGAGAAGCTTGTTTCGGTTGCACATTTTACCCTGGACGTTTCTTGACTGCACATTATGTTTTAGAAATACTGACTTAATTTTTCTGGTAGATCTCACGAATAAGGAAGTGAACGTCCTGTGGCTGCGAAGCTTTGGCGCAAAACTTTGACTGTTTTTTTTATTCAACAGAGAAAGAAACGGAGATGCTTGGGTGACTTGCAAATGTCGAGGTGAGCTTGAGTCCTTCAGCTGCGATCGAGCAGGGGGGCTATGTTCGACAAATGTTTCATTTCTTCTAAACAGAAACGGAAGTGGCGAAAGTGGCGATATCGCGTCTGATAGGTTAGAGGCTCAAATGACGAAAGTTCCCTCTTTCGTCATTTGAGCCTCTAACCAATCAGACGCGATATCGTCACTTCCGTCACTTCCGTTTCTTTTTAGGAGAAACGAAACATTTGTCGAACATAGCCGCCCAGGATTAACAAGACAGGTTGTTACCTTTCCAGGTCAACCAGGTATTCATGGCAAACTCAAAAGAACCGGTCTAAATCCAGATGGAACTCCGGTGGTTTCGGCGTCTGATCGGTTCCAAGTGCTTGGCGTCACAAAGGTCCGCTGTGCACAATATAAGGATTTCTTTCTGTTCTATAATTTCGATGTTCATGTATAGGTACTGTATCTACACGAGGATTCGGTTAGTCTGTACACCAACGCACGCATATGGCGTGTAGACAATATTTCTTGAAGCAAACAAATCGTCAATATTTATTTATTTTTTCTTGGTAAAGCATTAATATGCTTCCTTCGTTTTGCTCATTTAATGTCGACTTATTAAATGGGGCTTTTTATCTTGCAGAACTCGATTCGTGTTTCACACACGGATCCGAATTGCGAGACCTGCTTTCTGAAACCCACCACAGCATTTTCTAACATCCACCAAAAAAGTGTGAGTATGTTTTGCCGTTATTACTCATCGCCTAGAACAATTGAAGAAGTTTCGTAGAAAGTATGAGATTCATTTTCTCTTGGGACCGCATTGTGATGTGACTGTAACTATCAAAGGTCATTGCACTTCCCTTTTTCTTTTTAATTTCCTCTTCAGGTGCCTTGTCTCGATGTCACCAGTGGATTTCTTGGCGTGTCCGTCAGTGGGTGTAACGAGATGCGAATCTGGGACACACGCACCGGGGAAGTAAGGGTAGGTGACTCCGACTAAAACTGCCCCGTCCTTGTAATGTGTAGAATTTTGGTAAGCCCCAAATGCTGTGTGCATAATAGAGCAAGCATAATTTTACAAAAACTTACATTTTATTGGTGTCAATTTTACAGCATCTAAAATAGGAGAAAATAAAATCTATACTTGCTCAGGAAACAGAAGGTATCTACCAGGGTTGTAAAAGTTACTTCAGAAAAATGTACCCAAGATACAGTTACTCATGCGAAAAGGTACCTAGGTACGTATCTAGGTACTCACTTAAAATTGTGCCTAAGCACAGGTACAGTTACTTCAAAGATACTTTATTTATTTTCTCCAAATTTTTCAGAATAAATTGGAAGTATACCTTTTTATACTAAGGATACACAAATATGAATTCGATAAATGTGCTTTATTGGTGTCAGTGCAGCATCCACATTAGAGTTGAGTCCTCACGTGCCTTATCCCCACGCTCCAGTTGGTTCACCGAGGCCAGAGCTTCCACTGTTGACCATATCACGCCGAAACCGCCGAAACTCGCTTGTTGACGTTCTTGCTTTCAGAGCCGGCGCTGACGTCGACTGGCCCTGAAAAAGTCGGCTGCATGAAGAAACGCATGAGTCGGGTGCATATGCACCTAACCTTTGCGACGACAAGCGAAAGGCTTCAAGCTTTCTTGTTTGTTCTTTTCTTCCTTTAGTCAGAAGAAAAATTAGCTTTTTTGTTTCTTTTAGTACTTTTTCATTCAGTTTTGATAACTGCAAAATTTGAGTCTGATTTATTGAGTGGAAACTATTATATATGCGATGTTACGTTGCTTTACAATTGGAATTATAATTTATTTTCAATTATATTTTATATTGTATTTATGGCAAAAAAGAGCCACCGCCAGGACAAGATACAGGCGACAGAAAATGCACACATCTTTCAAGTTATCTCCTTCCTTGTATAGCTGTCAGAGGAGCTTCAAACACGCAATGAAGTTGATTTTGGTTTGAGATGAAGGAAGCAGGTCACTATTTTTACTAAACGGAGTTCCGAAGCGATTCTATAAATTGGTGTCGCTAGAACATCACTAATCCACCGTTCGCTCAGATGAACACCGCCATTGCCTAAAGTGTCAATTGATGAAACATCATGGGCGGGGCTTCGATTGCTAAAACGTTCGATCAAGTCAGTGCCTCCCAGGCTGGGTACCCAGCTCAACGTCACGGCACCTGGTAGTGTGCTAATACTTCAAGATTTATAGTTTCTACCATCTTGACGAAGAGAATAGAAAAGTACCTGTAAAAAGTAACTTTACTTAGTTACAAGTTACTGGAAAATATACCTAAGATACAGATACCGAAAAATTAAAGTACCTAGGTTTGAACCTCAGGTACAACAAAAGTACCTAGATACCGATTTCTTCAGCCGGTGGCAGGTCAAGAACGAAGTGGAAGCTCTTCCCACCCCTTTCCGCTTCAGCGGAGCGAACGGTAAAGAGGAGGTCGCCTCCTCTCCAGTGTTCGCTCTTCTAAAGTGGAAAGAGGTGGGAGGAGCTTCCACTTCGTTCTTGACCTGTCACCAACTATAGTTACTTGTACCTGAGTACTTTACAACCCTGGTATCTACTACAGAGTTGCAAATAATTGACACTGGTGCTCAGAGATGGTTATCATATATACAATAGCGCAAGAGGGCAGGAACATGAAAGGGACAGGACAAGCACTAACCGCAACTGGTACTTTATAGAAAAAAAATGAGACGGAAGTGTCGAATCTGGTAATTGGAAATTATAAAGAAAAAAAAGAAGTGTGATAAAAAAAATATGAACTACTGTAAACGACTTAATTTTCGCGGGCTCAAATTTTCGAGAATTGGGCCAAAGCTGAAAATTTGAAATTATTTGCGGGTTCTAATTTTCGCGGGCTCAAATTTTTGCGAATCGGGCCAAAAGTGAAAATTTGAAATTATTTGCGGGTTCTAATTTTCGCAGACTCAAATTTTTGCGAATTGGGCCAAAGCTGAAAATTTGAAATTATTCGCGGGTTCTAATTTTCGCGGGCTCCAATTTTCGAGAATCGGGCCAAAGCTGAAAATTTGAATTTATTCGCGGGCTCAAATTTTCGCGAATCGGGCCAAAACAGAAAATTTGAAATTCTTTGCGGGCTCTAATCTTCGCGGGCTCAAGTTTCCGCGAATCGGGCCAAAGCTGAAAATTTGAAATTTTTCGCAGGTTCTAATTTTCGCGAATTGGAAAGCTGAAAATTTGAAATTATTCACAGGCTCTAATTTTCGTGAATCGGGCCAAAGCTGAAAATTTGAAATTAATCGCGGGCTCAAATTTTCGCGAATCGGGCCAAAGCTGAAAATTTGAAATTATTCGCGGGTTCTAATTTTTGCGGGATCAAATTTTCGCGAATCGGGCCAAAGCTGAAAATTTTAAATTATTCGCGGGCTCTAATTTTCGCGAATCGGGCCAAAGCTGAAAATTTGAAATTATTTGCAGGTTCTCATTTTCGCAAATCGGGCCAATGCTCAAAAAATTTGAAATTATTCGCGGGCTCTAATTTTCTCGAATCGGGCCAAAGGTAAAAATTTGAAATTATTCACGGGTTCTAATTTTCGCGGGCTCAAATTTTTGCGAATTGGGCCAAAGCTGAAAATTTGAATTTATTCGCGGGTTCTAATTTTCGGGGGCTCAAATTTTCGCGAATCGGGCCAAAGCTGAAAGTTTGAAATTATTTGTGGGTTCTAATTTTCGTGAATCGGGCCAAAGTTGAAAATTTGAAATTATTCGCGGGCTCTAACTTTCGCAGGCTCAAATTTTCGCGAATCGGGCCAAAGCTGAAAACTTTAAATTATTCACGGGTTTAATTGTGGAATCGAATTTTCGAGAATCGGGCCAAAGCTGAAAATTTGAAATTATTCGCGGGCTCTAATTTTTGTGCATCGGGCCAAAGCTGAAAATTTGAAATTATTCGCGGGCTCTAATATTCGCGAATCGGGCCAAAGGTGAAAATTTGCAATTATTCGCAGGTTCTAATTTTCGTGGGCTCAAATTTTCGCGAATCGGGCCAAAGCTGAAAATTTGAAATTATTCGCGGGCTCTAATTTTTGCGAATCGGGCCAAAGCTGAAAATTTGAAATTATTTGCAGGTTCTCATTTTCGCAAATCGGGCCAACGCTCAAAATTTGAAATTATTCGCGGGCTCTAATTTTCTCGAATCGGGCCAAAGGTAAAAATTTGAAATTATTCACGGGTTCTAATTTTCGCGGGCTCAAATTTTTGCGAATTGGGCCAAAGCTGAAAATTTGAAATTATTTGCGGGCTCTAATTTTCGTGGGCTCTAATTTAGCAAATCGGGCCAAAGCTGAAAATTTGAAATTATTCGCGGGTTCTAATTTTCGCGAATTGGGCCAAAGCTGAAAATTTAAATTTATTTGCGGGTTCTAATTTTCGGGGGCTCAAATTTTCGCGAATCGGGCCAACGCTGAAAATTTGAAATTATTTGTGGGTTCTAATTTTCGTGAATCGGGCCAAAGCTGAAAATTTGCAATTATTCGCGGGCTCTAACTTTTGCGGGCTCAAATTTTCGCGAATCGGGCCAAAGCTGAAAACTTTAAATTATTCACGGGTTTAATTGTGGGATTGAATTTTCGAGAATCGGGCCAAAGCTGAAAATTTGAAATTATTCGCGGGCTCTAATTTTCGTGAATCGGGCCAAAGCTGAAAATTTGAAATTATTCGCGGGCTCTAATATTCGCGAATCGGGCCAAAGGTGAAAATTTGCAATTATTCGCAGGTTCTAATTTTCGCGGGCTCAAATTTTCGCAAATCGGGCCAAAGCTGAAAATTTGAAATTATTCGCGGGCTCTAATTTTCGTGGGCTCTAATTTAGCGAATCGGGCCAAAGCGGAAAATTTGAAATTATTCGCTGGTTCTAATTTTCGCGATTGGGCCAAAGCTGGAAATTTATATTTATTCACGGGTTCTAATTTTCGGGGGCTCAAATTTTCGCAAATCGGGCCAAAGCTGAAAATTTGAAATTATTCGCGGGTTCTAATTTTCGTGAGCTCAAATTTTCGCGAATCGGGGCAAAGCTGAAATTTTGAAATTATTCACAGGCTCTAACTTTCGCAGGCTCAAATTTTCCTGAATCGGGCCAAAGCTGAAAACTTTAAATTATTCACGGGTTTAATTTTTGCGCGCACAAATTTTCGCGAATCAGGTTACAGCTGAAAACTTGAAATTATTCGCGTGTTCTAATTTTCGCGGGCTCAAATTTTCGCGAATAGGGCCAAAGGTGAAATTTGAAATTATTTTCGGGTTCCAATTTTTGCGAATCGAGTGTAGCTTCCGTAGCGTTCACATATTGCCTGAATTGTTCGCGGGACATATTTTTCGCGAATTGTAGGTAATTCGCAAAATTCACAAAAAATTAGGTCCCCACGAAAATTTTGTTGTTTACAGTATATTAAATAAAATAAGAAATTATAAAAAATTAGACATTTACAAATCTTTGTAATGCAAAATTAGAGTGCATCTCTTGAGGAGGAGGGAGGGCAGGGTATGGAGGGGAGAGTATGCCCCCCCATCTCCTCCTCGTGCACACACTTTCATCCTCTTCCTTACCCTCCCCTCCTGCTCCTCCACCATCCTCTCCTCCCGCAGCTTCCCCGCTAAATATAGCGGAAAAATCGATGTCACGTGACCTCCACATCGATTCAATTCCCCGCTAAATTTAGCGGGGGATTCATTTGGTGTTGGTCGCATGACGTCAATTTTTCCCCTAAATTTAGCGCGGTTACGCCGACGCCGCGAAACCTGGAAACAAACGCCTAAAAGCTGTGCTCTAAAAGTTTTATTTTTTATTTAATAAAAAAAAAAAAAAGAATTATGTAAACTCCTGCGTAGGGGTCGTATATAAGATCCAGTTTTCCTGCACGAAGGGCAATCTGGCCACTGCATAAACGTCGAATTACGAGAGCGTGAACTTTCACTCGGGTCATCTTCATCAGGACACTTGGCTTTACATGTCAGAGACTAGAAATGCGTACCTTTGTTCTTGAGAAGCAAGGGTCTAAAGCGTTTCCACAGCCGGATGACCAGAGAGCTTTACGAGGCAAAAACTGTCGGTGCTCAAGGTGACAAGTGCATCAGTGTGCCGTCAGTCGCACTGACTAAGAAAGAACTGATATACCTCAACCTCTTTTCTTAAAGGGGCCCTGCAATGACTTTTTGACTGGTTTTATTTTGCACCGAACCTGAGCGCACTGAACGTAGAAACTTAATAAAACTTTTCTTTTCACAAATTTCGCATTATTTTAAAAGTTATAGGCCAATTAGAATTACAAAAACAAGCAAAAAATAACCTCCTTCATGACGTAGTAGGTCCTGGCTTGAGTGGCCATGAACTAGAGGAGGGGTAGTGAGCTCATCGTGCGTTCACGGTTGCCGCACTCCGGGTCAACGGCTCGAGAGGGCGCCACTAAAGCATATGTTGGATAGGCTCTATGAAGCGGGCGGCCGGGGCGGCTCGGCATTGCATTTGCTGCGCGATTAAAGACTATTTCGGCATAACACTTCATTGGCCACAAACGACAGCAAACACGGGGTAAAGATCAGTTCAGAACGGGAGCCACTTCGCGCTGCTATGCCGCCAAATGGCCAAATCGCCAGCAGGGCCCGCGCCGAAGGCCTTCGGAACGCTCGGAACCGGTCGGATCGTTGAGCCGGTATACGACCGCAGCGCCGCCGCGTACATCCGGGGCTTTTCTACGCTGGCCGTTCGTCGTAGCCTCATCCCACTAGTTATTTCTAGTATGCGCCGTTTTTTCCGCCGCTTGGTGGCGGGTATGTCGACGGGTCTTTTCTTGTTTCCGTACTTTATAAACTGCATTTGTTTCTTTTCTGATCTAAAATACTGAACAAAAACTTCTTTTATAAATAATTGAAACGGGTCGCGCCAGTTATATTTTGTATTTCGACTACGAAAAAGCTTTTAGCGGCTTTGACCAGTAGTAAGCCTAGGACCAAAGACGTCACATTTTGCGCGCTTTCGGTACCGCGGGTCGCCTTCGTCGGTGGAGGTGGTTTCCGCGTCGTCCGGTTAAAATATAACGCACTGATATTTAGTTACTCTCTCCGTGCCCGCTGGCTTGCCCGGACCCCAAGAGACGTGGAAACCGCAAAAAAGGTAGACGCTTAAATATGATTGCAGGGCCCCTTTAACTCTTTCTGTCCTCTTTTAGGTTTTTTTTTTCATTTATATTAATTTTTTTTGTCCTTTTCCTTACTTTTCCAGTCTTTTTGTTTTTAATTTTTAAAATTTTTAAATAAATCTTTACATTAAATGAGTGAAATTTTTCTCATTACACATTTTCTTTTTTTTTTTTGTAATTTCCAATCATCATATTCCATGCTTCCTTCTTGTATTTTTTTTTTATGAAGTACCAGTTGTGAGTAGCACTTGTCCCTTTGATCTTCCTGTCCTCTTCCGCTATTGTATATATCATGTTTAACCAACATAGCCCAGCAATTGACTTTACTGGTACCAAGTAGCCTGTTCCCCTGGCAAATATCGATCGCTCGCAGATTTGGGACTCTGAGTTTCCGGTCTCGGTGGTGGGGTGGCCGAGTGGCAGGTTTTAGGGGCACACAATGCGCAGACAGAGCTGCCCTGCTCGCTGGTGCTTCTGCTGTACAGCCGCCGCTGCTGTGGTGCTGTTCTGGCCGTTTTCTCCACCACCTCCGCCCTCCAATGCCTCGCCAGCCCTGCGTACAGCACGAAGGCAGTCATGCTCGACGAGCGCGGCTTGTAAGGCAACTGATCGACATACCTTTCCTGCAGAATAATAAGCATTCCACCAAATAATGGTGACTTTTTATACGTCTTGATCGCAACTTCGTTTGTTTGGCAAGAATGTCGACACCTCGTCACCGCGTCGTACTGCTTTGCCAACCTTCGAACAACTCTTAACGAGAGCTGTAACACCGCCACATCCTCCTGGTATTCTCATAACTATCTATCCTCAAGTGCAGCGCAATTGCTTTTGTGGCTGCCATAACATCGCTAATGCAAATATTTAAACTGAAATGTTGCGAGTGACTATGGATCAAAGTCCTTCGAAAAAGGCAGTGCAGAGAACTTCTCCAAACCACTGGCCGCACTCCGCCACTTTCCCACGGATTGGTTGGGGCTGCTCGGCAAGCACTCCACCGGCTCCAGATCTACCAGCGGCACACGGAGAGATCGCTCGCATCTCGCGAGGGGCACAGGAATCCACTTGGCGAGTGCGCGCCAAGTGCTAGCTATTTGCCAGTGGAAGGGGCCATAACTAAAATTTCCTGTTTTGAAATTAAAAAAAATCTGAAGAACATTTGTTAGAAAATTTTCTGTCAATTCAAATTTATTTGAAAAACTGTATTTGTAGGTCACAACAACAAAATAAAAAGCAAGAAACACTGTTTGACAAATGAACATCATAAGAGCACAGGGTCAGTGGTCTTGGGGAGATTCCACTTCAGTTTCCCTTGAAGTCTCGAACTACTGACAAAAGGGGTTTTCCTTTTAGCCTGCCAAGGTTCCTTCAGACAATGGGTCCTGGTACCCAGGCTTTACTTATTTTGTTTTTGGAGTTTTAAAAATTGGGAATAAAGTAAAATAAACTCAGAATTTCCTAGAATTGGGAATCTAACAAAAATAAACTCTGGTGGAAACTGAATTTTCAGCGAATAATAAACTCTGAAAAACACCCTCCGAATTTCACAAGAAATGAACTCTGAAAACATGGAATCCTAGCAGTAACATAGACGAAGGTGAGCATAAGACAGAAAAGCAAAAACCTAGAGAGAAAAAGGTTTTTTTTTTTTTTTTTCCCCGAGGCTCTGCTTTTTAGTTGGAGAGTTTTGGGTAGTTTCAGTATCTTCACATTAAAACCATGTTGTGACCTAGCACTTTTTTTTTTTCCATATATTTTTTACTTGCATATTGAGCTATGCTTTGGTTGCTGCCACAAGTTATGACACAACTTAAAAGAGCTAAAAAAAAAAATGGAGACTGAATTGAAAAAAAGTAGGAACTGTATCTTCTTTGATCTTGCCATTCACGCTTCACTTCAAAATATGGCTGGGAGCTCACACGCTGGAGATGTGGGTCATCTTCTGGTAGATGCTTGCCATCAGAAGTATACCATGTGTTTGCAGTTCATAAACTTGTTTTGTGTACACTGCTGATCAGTGACCTAGCCAGGAATTATTTTTCTGGCTATGGGGGGATTTGCTGAGATGGCTGGGATCTAGGGGGGTAGGGGCGTAATGCACATTTATATAACGGGGTCGAATTTGTTTTGAGGAAGGGGTGAGGGGCAGCTTCAACTCAAAACTTCTCCTTCCCCGACTATGCCATTGCTAGTGACCACCATATTGGGTGTACCATTGGCAGACTATAGGAATATAAAGATTATGCAAACAAAACACTATCAGCTAGATACAGGTAGCAGCCTTGCCATAGTGGGGCACTGGTTGTCATCTTTGTCGTTTGGAGTTGCTAAGGCACAGGTAAAAACCCCATCAACTAAGTGTGTTCATTTGGCCTTGGCAGAGGGAGTTGGAGGGCCACGTGTGGGACATCTACACCTGCCGCTTCTTCCCGTCGGGGGTTGTGGTTCTGTCCGGCGGAGCGGACATGCAGCTCAAGATCTGGTCTGCCGAGACAGGGAAGTGTCCTGTCACAATGAAGGGTCACTCTGCAGGTAAGCTGAACTCCAAAGTTAAAGCACTGGTGCTTTGTTACAAAGCACAGGTACTTTACTGCGAAGTGCAAGTGTTTTGCTACGAAGCCATTGCATCTTGTGGAACAATGTACCAGCTGTACGGCTGCTTTAGACTAGCTATTGGCTACTTACGCAAAAATGGACCGCATCTAGTGGCTAGTGCACGGGGTTGTTGAGGCAGGTTCGCTCTAGACCTGTGCGCCGCCGCGCCGCAGCGCCGCCGCCGCCGCCTGTTTTGCTCTCGCCGCCCTGCGCCGCCGCCGGGTTCCCCAGATCCCGCACGCCGCCGCCGCCGCCGCACAATAAATCCGGCGCGCCGCTGGCGCCGCCATCTTTTTTTTTTTTTTTTTAGGGGGGGGAAGGGGATTGGTGTTTTTTTTTTTTTTGCTGCTTCTATATGAGTTTTACCTACTATATTATGCATAAAAAATGAATAGATTGTTTTGCCTTTAATTTTTACTCCTGTAAATATATCAATAAATGTAGAAGTTCCATAAAAAACGAAGACACAGAACAAAAAAAAAAAAAAAACGGACAAAACAACAAGTCTCAAACACCGTCTGTACTTTATTTGAACAACGAACGTTGTTACATATACCTCAAAACCCTCACCACCAAAAAAGACACACCTCCCCTTCACTAGGTCACCGAGAGCCGGACACTCAGACAGAACCCATATGATTCATGATTCAGACATATCTAAATGATTTACACCACCCTGATGACCTCGCTTGAGGGCTGACCAGCCACATGCGATAACAGGCAACTCCAGCTCCAGCACAGCCCTTACAATTCTGAGAAAACAGACACAAAAAAACGCTTCATATCACTGTCCAATGCCAAGGACGGTATGCTTGCTCAATTACCAGAGGTCAAAATACGCATGGTCTCCCTCAGAATTCTCCTACCATTGCTGATTGTTGGGCGAGTGTGTATTGTGCGTGAGAAAACATGATTGCGCTTTAAGACATAGACAGAGGAAGAACACCACAGAGCGCTTACTTTCAACTGATTTAATCCAAGCGCCTCAGCGTAGATACACACTGCGTCACCACACCACATCGCAGCCAATCCGTGGCCCCGCCGCGGACTGCAAATAAGCTATCTCTTTTTCTGCAATGTCAATTGAAACCACGCATGACTGCAGGTGCAAACCATTATTTGCTTCCTCCACTGTTCTCGCTAGGCACACAGATAAGACTGTTAGAGAGATAATTGAGGCGGACGCCATCAATAGTTCCGGCACGTGTTGTGCACGTGTTTTATTCTGCACCCCTGAGGACTACCCCGAAAAGGAGGTTAACCTTTCTAATTTGTGCTGAGCTTTAAAAACTAAATTTACACCGAACCTCTCTGCCATTGATATAAAGTTATGAGAGATTCCAAGGTAGTAAGGCACACACACAACATTCCTTACAACCGGTTTTTTCCACGAGAGCCGGATTAAACATACGTTCCTTACACCTTGAGCACAACTGTAACAATCCCATCCTGGTGTAATTGTTCAAATGGTTGTGAACGAAAATTGAGTTTGGCAGAAGGTGTTGTCGGTTTTTATCTAGAAATGCCTGACAGGAGTGGAGCAACAGCCCATTGTCACTCAAAAACTCTGAGCAATTGATTGAAATATTGAATCCGCATCATGGGAGAAGGTGCGATGTGACAACTGTAGACATCAAGGACTTACGTTACTCTATGGATAAGTCGGAGCTGTTAATAAGGGTCAGGAGGTGGTGTGAGGATAATCTAGTGAAGCTGCAGTCTGCCAATGGGATCGATGTAGATAGTTTTATCAGCATTCTGGAGTTTCATTTAGAGTCCACTGCCGTAGACTTTGATGGTTCTCTTTTTATTCAAAAACAGGGTGTGTGTATCGGGTCGTGAATTGCTCCAGTGTTGTCCGAGATTTTTTTAAAACGAGACTTATGTACACGTTGACACGGTTGTGCGGTCCTTGTCGATTGGACCGCAAAACCCTGCCATCGCAACAGTTAAATTAAGTACTTATAGACCTACTGTTGCACACGGAAAAGGGCCTGTGCTGGATGTACGGCAAGGAATCAGCCAAGCCTCTGTTGGCAGCTGAGAGTTGTCACTTGAAAATAGTTAAGAGTAGTGTAATTGCGTCTGCGATGGATAACGCTTGTAAAGAATCCCGTATGTTTTGGGTTGGTGAGGTAGTTGAGTTGCAAAAGATGCGTCGTTTGGAAGCGGGCCATCACAATGATGTAATTGTCAGAGTTGTGCTCAAGGTGCTGAAGGTTTAATCCGGCTCCCGTGGAAAAACCGGCTGTGAAGAATGTCGTGTGTGTGCCTTACTACCATGGAATCTCTCATAACTTTATATCAGTGGCGATCGGTGTAAATTTAGTTTTCAAAGCTCAGCACAAATTAGAAAGGTCAACCCCCTTTCTGGTGGTCTTCAGGGGCGCCAGAAAAAAACATAAGAACCCAGATGTAACTTTTCAAGCAGGAGTGGTGTAGGGATCCTCTCATTTCGTCGAAACTCGTTTCGTGGAATTAATTATCGGAGACAACATTTCATGGGCACGCGTTTCACGGACACATGTTTTGGCGAATTGCACGCTGTAGGGACATCTCGTCACGCGTGTATCATATATTAGCAAGGGTTCTGATGGAGTTGCCTGCTATCGCATATATGGCTGGTCAGTCATCAAGCGGGGTCGTCTGGGTGGCAGGTTAGTGTGACCATGAAACTTTTGGATCTGCCTGAATGTCCGGCTTTCAGTGACCTACACTCTAAAAAAAGGGTGTATTCTTACACCTTTTGTCCCATATAAGACACCCCAAAACTTCAGACGTCGATCTGACGGTACCAACTTTCACGAGAGGCTTGATAGCCGTGTGGTACAACTTATTAAAATAGCTAATGTACGTTTTACTGACTACAAAAAAAAAAATATTATAATAATCGGGGCTGCGAAACATCAGTGTTTTCTTTCTGTGGTCTTTGATACGTACTTTAGCTATTTAATCAGTTATATCGCTCCGTTATCAAGCCCCTTGTAAAACGTGTCGCCGTCTGTGCGCTGTGCGTCAAACTAAAGTTTTGGGGTGCGTTATATGGGACAAAAGGGTGTATGGTGATACCCTTTTTTTTAAAAAGTTCTTTTTTGGTTGTGAGGGCCTTGACGTATATATAAGAGCGTTAATTCCTTATTCAAATAAACTGTTTATTTTTTTTTATTTATTTATCAAAGTACCCTCAGGGCCCGAAGGCATTACAGAGGGGGAGAGCACATACATGAAACAAAGATGTTCGTATACGCGACGCGAAGTCTTACGAGATTTGGTTGTCGGAGAAAAAAGCGATGATTTTGGCACTGGAACGTGTACGTCTTGATAACATATATATACTAAAATCCAGCTACATATATCTTAATTCTCCACATAAAGGTGGAAATTAGTAATGGTTTGCAAGGAGTCGGACTCTTTTTACTAGAGTTCTTGATGTGAAAACGGGTATAAAACCTGTGTTTGAGACGTGTTGTCTTGTGCGTTATTTTTATCGTTTCGTGTCTCCCGTTACTATGGAAGTTCTTCACCAGCTCGCCTGTGTTTTTAAAGTGTTATAACGGAATGAACGGTTTTGTAGACCGCAAAACGATTTAAATGAAATTTTTGTGAAATAATTTGATACAAAAGGGCTATATTCGCGTCCGTTTTTCAGGCTTCTTTCAAAGGTATTTTATTTTGATCCACACGCCTGGCTTGTTCCTGTCACATCGTGTTTCTGGGGGTCCTTCTTTCTCGTTTCCACGCCGGGATCCAGCATCGGGGGTCGAAGTCGAGCCCCCATCCGGTCGAGTCGGGGAGGCTCTCCTTACCGGTCTTTGCCGCCAAAGTATTTGTTTACACTCCCGAGCTCAAAATCCTTGCACCCTCGCACATTTTGTAGATGTTGTCATGATCCTCTGTTATGCGTCTAGCCATCGTGGAGGGCAGCGTCGGCGTGATGCGCTTGTAATCGGAAGATCTGCTGCGGAGCAAGGCGAGTTGGTTGAAATCGACGTCAATCGCTGCTGGTTGTTCGTAAAAAAAAAAAAAAAAAAAAAAAAAAAAAAAAAAAAAAAGAAAGAAAGAAAGAAAAGAGCTATTGTGCGGCAGCTTGGCGGCAATCCGGTGTGCTTCGCGGGGTAAACCCGGAAATGGTGTAGGTTTGATTGTTCACGTTGGTGATGAATTAAGTGTCCATGGAAAAGTAAGCCAAGTTTCGAGGAAGGAACGCCGTTCGTGTACCATACCCTATCCCTGACCCTGTATGGAGCATGGTCGATATTTTGCATCGTAGGAACGCTTCATGCTGTGAAGGTAAGCGAGGTTCGCGTTTGCAGCGTCGCAGTTCGCGCGGGACGTCGCCGACCTCGTCGGGAAGCGGGGAAAATTCCATTGCTCGACGTGGGACAAAGTTGAACAGGAATTCGAACGGTGATGTCTGGAGTCCGGCGTACGGCTGCTGGTTCACTTGAAAGCTGGTTGCCTGGAGATAATCGCTCCAATGGTCGATGTCGCCGTTGACGTTCTTTCGCGCAGACATGGAAGGATTTTTCCGTTGACGCGCTCGACAAAGCCGTTAGCTTCGGGGACGTAAACTACTGTTAGGGATGCTCTGAATGTGCCTGTCGGCGAAGTACCGCGAAGCCGAACGAGAGGTTAGGACCCTGTCGTTGTCGGTGATGACGGCTTGCGGCGTATCAAATGAGAGTACGAGTTCTATAAATCGAAGGACGTGCTCGGTCGACTTGTTAGGCACGGGGCGTGCGACAAGCGCGTGGTGGGGTGGAACGCGGTGATAAAATACCTGTTGTCGTCGGTCCTCATCTTGCGGAATATCTTGCGCCGCGGCTGCGAGCCGGTGACATATTCTCTTACAAACGAGAATAAACAAGACGCCGAAGTACCTGATTCTTCTAACGGACGCACTCTTCAAAAAAAAAAAAAAAAAGCGTGTTCTTTTTTATGGTTATTTACATCTTGTTTTCCAAATTCAAACGACTCCTTTCTCTCTCCTCCTCACTCTCTAATTTACACCCCCCTCCTCCCCTCCCTCTTTCGCGCCACGCCGCCGCCGGTCCGTTGATCCCCGCGCCGTCAACACGCCGCCGCCGGAGGTACAAACACTGGCGCGCCGCCGCCGGCGATTTCTGACCGGCGCACAGGTCTAGTTCGCTCATCACTTCGCATGACCGTATCGCGTGTCCACAGTGCTGCCAGTCGGAGTGTGGAGACGGGTGAGCAGGTTCGAAAACACTTCCTGGAAATTGCAAATACTCCCAGTTTTTACTAGATTTCTTATTGTATTGTTTTTTGTCTATAGCATCTCGGAGTGGTAAAAAAAATTTATTTATACATTAAAAAAAAATGCTTGTTTTTCACCTTTTTTTTTTTTGTAGTACGTATGTAATTATTTTAGAGTGATACATGTAACCACTGCAATACATTGTGGGTAAGGTGGAACCACCAAAAAATCAAATGCAGCAAAAAATAAAAGTTGCTGGATGTCCAAATATCTAAAATTAACTTATATTGTCTGCAATAAAACTTGGGGTAAAGGGCGAGCGAGACACATGTGCGTCGAAACTGTCCAGTCCGACGTACAAACGGTCAGAAAGGTGTCTGTTCCGACTCGCCGCACACGACAGTTCGAGACGCGCACTTGCTACCTAGCTTCCAACGCGTCGTTCCGTTCAGCTCTGCCCAGTTCCGATATTCCTACAGGGAGGCTTTGCCACCATGCGTCAGCATTTCAATGTTGCCTAACTCCACTCGATCGTGGTAACACATTCCTACGGTGGAAATTAAAAGCAAAGGTCTTTGCAGTTTCAAAAAAGAACAAAAAACTAAAACATTTTTATGATACTTTATTAAAGTGTGCGTGTCTTAAACGATTTTACATAACGTTACTTTTTTTGCTCAATATTACCAAGTGAAAGTGGCTGGTGTAATTCAATCGACCCCATTTTACTCGCGACGGACTGCATCGGACTATCTAGACTGAAGAGAATGTGCCAATGCCTGACGCCTCATGCGCCGATTGGCCGCAAGTATGCATGCTTTGCGTTGTCACATGGCGAGGAGACCATCAATGCTTTTGCCACCTCCAAGCTCGTATTGGAAATGTGGCCCATAAACTATGTGACCCCGATCGAGAAGTCAGAAACACACTGTAATCGACGCACACTACAACGGAGCTTACGAGCTATCTCAGCGAGTCGAACCTTACCTGCATAACACGTGACTACACACCCCACGTATTGCCAAGTCTCTGCCAAAGTTCACTTGACAATCGCACGGCATTGGAATGGCCCGTTGCATCCACTGCTGTCCATCACGAGGTAAAATGGACTACAGCCGAGCATTGACGGTCTCGATCAGACGCGAAAAGCTGGTTCACTATGGACGAGTGAAATCAGCCACTTGTTTTGTGCTATGCGAGAAAACTCCGTGGCATCCATTGCTTTCATGAAAATTCGCACGCCCACGCATGCCGCACCGCTTATATCCGCTTCCCCGGATCAGTGCCTTCTTTTCCAAAAGGCAATGTCAACATGACATAGAGACTTTTTAGTGTTGTGTCGTTTACCCGCAGTCTCGGGGTTTTTTCAACCATGTGCAATGTACACCAGCTCGTTTGCGCCCTTACTTTTTGTTCATGACATTCGTGCCATCCGTGCTGCCATCGTCCGCGGCTGTTGGACCGTCGTGTGGCGAATATCTGGCCAGTTGGTTGCATGCAGGAGTGGCGATCCAATTTTTTTGTACGTCGGTAGGGAGAGTTCCGACGCGCACATGCCTCGCGCTTGACAATCCTCCGAGTAATTTATCGTTTTTAAAACATGTTTTTTCTTAGTAACCACTTGGTTTCCGGGATCGTCGAAAAACATCATTTGCAGTCGTTGCTAAAGAAACCGAGTGCCAAACTCCCCGCTCACTCGCTCTTCCACCCTTGCTGAAGCGATCCACGACACCTGCGTGGTGGACCAAGGACGCAACGTCATATCGGCGAGCAAGGACGGAACGGCCAGGCTCTGGGACTGCGGACAGTCTGCCTGCCTCAGCACGCTGGCGGAATTTGAGCACGACGCCATCAACTGCTGCACCCTGGGGAGCTCGGCGGCCATTGATTTGGGCTGCAGGGAGGAGCCGTCAAGTATGTGGAGGCGCTATAGTCATTGACAATCGAGACAACGGCAGGGAGGGGCTTCAGTTGTCCTGCCTCCAGCGTAAGCTTACCGCCTTCGACGACGCTTCGGCATCTCGCACACCTGAAGCCTGCATGTACAACCAAAGTATGTACGGCGGAAGGCATGGAGCGCGTGCTGGAGGCAGGGCGATTAAGAAAGACACGCCTTGCCTTTCTCTTTCCGTCGGCGACTACGGTAGTCTCAAAAAGGGCTAGTGCCTATTGCTGATTTGGCCATTTTCTCTCCTAGACGACAGGGAAGTTGGCACAGAGGGAAAGCTACTCGTAGTCGGGACTGAAGCAGGAACCCTTAGGGGTGTCGGAGTGCATTCGAGACAGACGGTAACCATCCTTCATCTACTCGCTCTTTACTTTGTCCCGGCAAGCTGTATGTTTAGGTACTCACTGCTTGTCTCGAACGGCATGCTAGAAATAAGAAACAAATCGCTGTTGCATATGAAGCAATAATAGGGTGCCCGTTTGTACCGTTTCATTAGTAGATGTGTTGAAAAGCTCTCTTGGGTGAAAACTTCGCTCTTAGGAGTTATTATATGTGGTGGCATAACCTACAAATGTCAGTTATTGATTCTCGTAGATGCATGCCCTCATTAACCATGGAGGAAAGTTGCACGTTTCTATTTATTTATTTACAAGAAAAAACCCTGTACCTTGTGGGATTTGCTATTTTTACCCCTGATCCTCATTGAGGTGAATACCCACTCCGTAGTCCGCTCTTTGCGCGGCTACGGCCGGGTCCGTCCGTTGACTGCCTTTTTGGACGCCGGTGGTTGGGAGACAACACCAACACAGTGATTCCGTTTTTGACGCGTTTATTGACTGAAATGCCAACACGCTTCGCTCTTAGACATGAAAAGTCTGGGCGGTGGCTCAATTGCCAGTATCACCCGGTCGGTTTCCCGCGCTGCCGCATTAGACAGATTCACGGAAAGTCGGAGGCCCACAAAGAAAAACCAAGCTCCGTAGAGCCAGGGCCTCCGCTGACGAGAGCCCTTGGCCCTCCTTCGGGGCCAGCTTATGTAGCCTCGGAAATACGGACGCGCCCGAGGAGGTTGGTAGAAGTCGCGTCCATTATCACTCTCAGGAGTACGCCGGCGGCACATTCACCACCTATGTGAGCGAGGGAGAGCCGTCCTTTTTGGGGAATACAGCCTCAGTTCCTGGTATCTGGGTGGCCGTCGCCATTGGTGACGACGACTCCCACGCCCTGCTCGAAGCTGGACCTAGATAGGGATAGAGGGAACCCCGTGGTTCCCACAACCTTCGAAGCATTATACCGAAGGAGTGGGTTAATATGTTTGAAAATTGCTTGTATCGACCTTATAATGTAATTATACCAGTGAAAAATGTGTGAAATATAGCAATGATGTTCCTGGTATACATGCAACGAGCCCAACTGCTCATTTGCATACTCTATCCTACCATCCTACCTCCCGGTTGCTGCTCTGCAGCGCACCGGAGCACCCTAGCAATCTTTTTAGGCATTTAGTCGTAATAACATTTACTGAAATCTTCTCTACATTCCTTGTCTTTTTGGTAGCTTGTTTCTTAAAACTTTCTTGTTTTTCTTACGGGGCTCAGGTGTTTGAGTTGAAAGCTCCTTCTGCCATCAACTGCTGTTGTTCCATGGGGCAGAACCGTTTCTTGTACGGAACACAAGACGGGGACATCTACATGCTCGATGCGAGGCAGCCCAGGTGAGCTCTTTGAACAAGGACACTACAGTAGACATGGTAGTAGGTTCAGAACTTCGTATCAGCGGTGCGTCTTTGTTTTGTAGGGAACCAAGCCTGACCTGGGCAAACTCGTCTTCACCTGCCCTTTCGTTGATCACTCACAAGCAAGGTTTCATGGTTGGGAGAGGTAAAAAGCATTGGATATAACCCTTGAGCACTGTGTCATTATAAACCTTCTGCACAGGTCACGATTGCAACACTAAAAGAGACATAACCACACGATCTACTGCGCTCTCTGTAGTCGGTGACAGGTTATGCAACCTCCTCTCCAGCACTTGCTAAAGTGGAAAGAGGTCGGAGGAGCTTCCGCGGAGCTCTTTAAAAAGCACAGACTCCCCGCAAAAAATATTTATTTTTATTTTTTGCCCTGCAATTTAATATGGTGTCAGAACCAATCAATATTTTTCTCTGGAGTCACGTATATTTTTAATAAACCCAAAAAAACTCAACTCCTTGAAACCGAAACCTGAGCACGGAAGGTCATGGCTGGAAATCACGTAGCTACACCCGACCACTTTTTTTTTTTCCTCTGCTTTTTTGGTTTTTGAAGCAGACGACGACGAACTTGCGTGCACCGTTTGTCGTGCGATTGTTTCGCACTTACGTCCTTTTTGCTCAATGTTCTGCGCTTGAAGATAGGTTGGCTGGCACCACAAATGACAGTTCAGAAGTGGTGGCACCACATCCGTCGCAACATTGGTCCGTTGTGGGCCGCCATTGTGTCGTCCACCCCGCGATACGTCGCCATATTGAGAATGACGTGCACATGTACTCCCTGTCACCTGTGCATTTTTTTTTTCCTTCATTTAATGTATTCACAGTTTTTTGGAGGCCACAAAGAATGAAGTTTATATTATTTTCTATTTTTAATATTGAATGTGTATCTTAAATAACCCACGACTTTGAATATATTTGGTACAGATAGTTTGAACACCATGTGACCATGGAAACAAGAGTGAGCTAGACTGAAACCGGCCGATTCTCGACTGGCTCTTTTCGGGCAGAAAGAAAATGAATATCGAGCCGTAAATTGTGTTCTGGGTAGTTGCTGTGTTTTTTTATTCGGAGGCCATTGTCTTCTGTTACACTTTTGGTACATAACAGCTATTCTCACTATAGTTATAGGGCAGTGTTTTTCAATAATTCCATAAAATATTTTCATATCTTTCTTATTTTATTTGTTTATAGCATTGAATATAGATTACTATATGTTCCTAAGGACTTTTGCAAAACATTCATTTTGAGCATAGTGGAAATATAAATTTGATAAAGGTTATGGTGGGGCAACGAGCACCATCCAGAAGACTAATGTTTGCAGACACAAAAATGTGAACACCACGTACAAACAATCAGCCATTAAAGAATTCTCTACTGGTCTCCTCATGGTAAAATGGGGGCATCTCTTTTGTATCAGCACACTATTTTATAAATGTTTCTACAAAATTATCCAGGGTGTTTTTTCTTTAAGCTTAACAGATTTCTTAAAAAAAAAAGTTGGAAAGTTTTTATTTATGGTTTTAATTAGAAACTCGCTAAGCGTCATAGAAAATCAGTAATTTTGCATAAAGGCTGAGCGTGTGAGAAGCGCAGTAATGGGCCGAAGTTATCGCTCGTGCAGCAGGAGCAGGGCTACCGGTGCAGTAATGCACCCGAACATTTTTTCTGTCTCTTATCATAGCCCCAGCCTTGTACCTGTTGCACGTGTGGTACCTTATGCACACTACTAGGCTTCCCACGCATTTAAAGTATTTCTAGAAAATATTATTTAGTGGTTTTTGATTACACTCACTAAGTTTCTAAATGGAACCATATGTTTATTTCCACTAATTAAAAGTTAATTAACAAATTTTACTTAATTTGCCAACTGATTGTGGTGATTAGCCCCCTATACCATGTCCCCCTGGCTGTATAACTCACCTCTACAAACTGCTTGCATCTGTTTATACATTCTAATGAGAATAGTTGTGTCCCACGCACAAAGCTTAGTGTTAAGGCTCAAATTTCTCGCCATATATGCCAGATCTTATTAGTGAAAGACAAATGTTTCTCACGAATCAATGCAACCATTCAACTTGTTTCTCCTACACCCCCAGATGGGCGCCACTTTAGCTGCAAAATGATAAAATAAGTGTACTGAGGGAAGAAAACCATTACCCAGTTTACCAAGAATAAATGCGGAGACACAGTGAAGATGCCGTGCATTCTCTGATTAGTGTTCTTTTTCTGCCTTGGCAGCTGACGGTTCATGCAGTTTCGAGCCCCTGGAAGGCGCCCAGTCGTTCTGTTTGACCGGACCTGACTGCGAACCGGTCTACCACATTGCTTCCGATGGAGAATGCATTTACACTGCTTGCAGAGATGCCGTAATAAGGAAATACAAGATGTCGGATTTCTAGAATGGCTCCAGTCTCTTTCTGTGTCAGTTTTGTGTAGCAAGAACATGACACTAGCATAGAAAGGGTTTTACGGTGGTCTTGCTTTGTTGAGATGCTGGGTGCCCATTTCCCATCATATTTTTTGGTTGGCAGATCTTTTAACACAATAACACAAGCAACCCCAAATTAGGTTGTTCTTTTATATACATTTTTATTTACAACAGTGCTGGAAAATTCCTCACCGACGTTAAAATTCTGAAGGCTAGAATATAACTTGAGATCTGATAGTGGCATAAAATAAGCAGTAAAAAACTGCTTGTGTTCAAACATTGTGTCTGTCACTGTTGTGTAAAGTACATCTAAAAAGTACTTGAAGTAAAGTACAAAAAAAAAATTAGAGGCTATGTACTTCAAGTAAAGTAGTAAGTACACCGGGTGGAACATACTTGAAGTAAAGTGCAGTCGAATCTCGTTAAGTCAAACTTGCGGATAATTCAAACTAGCAGGTCCCATCCTATGCGTCTGTGGAAGGAAACCAGGTAATTCAAACTGCTTTATTCAAACAAATTTTCGGTCGCCATCGAGTTAACTATAAATACAATGTACTTAGTAAAGTATAGGTACTTTTTAACGCAATATTTTATGATGACCTTGCACTTCCCTATAGACCTTTTCCACAAAGTTGCCACCATCTTGAATGTCGTTACTTCCAATATAAGCGAAAAAATGTTTTTTTTTTTTTGTTTTGTTTTTTTGCCACTGCCGCGCTGTTAAGGCTTGTTCACACTCTTGCGACCTCTTAAAACTGGGTTCTTTAAAACCTCTTACAACGAGAGGACACACTGGCGCCATCTATTGGGTAGCAGCGTAAACTTGGCGGTCTGGCATATTTTCTATTTCTCTCGCGCATTATCCATTCTTTTTTGGCTCGAAAAACTTGTCAATGTTGAAAACGAGCCTTTCATATAGTATTAAGCACATTTGTCCTCGGAAATCCCGTAAAACCTTCGCTCTTGTGAAATGCAGTTCCAGGGTCACCGCATAGATGGTGCCACAATGCCAGTGTTTTCATCGTCCTAAGAAATTTTAAGAAGTTTTAACAGATCTCGTCTCTCGGTCGGACTCAGTTGCAAGAGTGTGAACGGGCCTTTAAAATACATTTAAAATATAAGCGTAACCATCACTCATTCTCGCTGTCGGCAAATATTGGATAAAGTCGAGTGGCCGCAAAATAGCTGTTTTACTTGCTGACGAACCATTTGACACCATCGCCTTGTAAATTATTTTTTTTTTTTGTGCTTTTGCTTACATCGGTGCTTTGCTTGAATAATTTGGGAGTTGGTGTCTCGACCTTTCTGAAGTAAAGAAGAAAAAATCGCCATCTTCCGAATCACGTGCGCTGTGACGTGAATGGGGGATGCGCAGAGTTCCGGTGAAGCTCTCTAGAGCCATCAGTGAGCAGCGAGAAATCACCCGCTCGCGACCACGTGACCACGTGCTGCGCTACCAACAAGGCGAGAGGAGGAAAGTCCGTGTCCGGCTGCCCCCGTTCCCCTCCAGCTTCTGGCGGCTGTTTACAGTAGCGGTATCGTTGACCTCGGATAGATGGCGCCACTAAAACTCCGTATAATAAAAGTTTTGTCGATGATACCAAGTTTTTGACTCATTTATAAATGTTGCTCTGCATGGGCGTAGGTTAGGGTGACCGCCCGTCCCGCGACTCGCGGGACTGTCCCGCATTGAGGGCTGGTGTCCCGCGTCCCGCGAGAAAATCCCAAATCTTGGAAATGTCCCGCATTTGACACTGTCGTAAAATTCACTCCGCAACTCGTGGTGCCGCCGAACAACGGGGCACGGGGAAGCGCGGAGGTCGCTCGAAATGGTACGCCATTTTTTATCTAAGCATTGCGGGAAGCGACCGTCGTTCTTGAAGGAGATCCGACGCGCATGCGCCATTGTGCCTCTTCCCTTGGTGGTAAAATATTGTAAGAAAAAAGTTTAAATATAAAATATTGTAATTATTTTCAAATTGCTATGTCGATGCGAAAGGGTTGCTGTGGATTTCTTTTTAGTGAAGACAACGGCCGAAACAGAACAAAATGTTAAAAATTTGTGTATGGCCAAGTTGATAAAAGTAAGCGTTGACAGGAAACGTTAACCCGGAAAAGGTTTACTATTTCTTATTTCCATTTGATGCATCGAGTTCTGATACAGTCGATTTTTATGTTTTAAACTTCGAAACATTTAATAACAAATTGGGCATAAACAATTGTATCACTGGTGTATAAACAGCACAGTATAATAAATGTGTTAACAGAGCCTCGGTTCGTTGTGTGCGTCTTAATGAAATTAAGACGCACACAACAAACCGCGTCCCCCCCCCCCCCCCCCCCCAAAAAAAAAAAAAAAAAAAAAAGCCAAACCAAAATTTTGTAGACGGGGGTGGTTTGGGGGGCCCGCTCGCTCCACTCCTTACGCAGTCGGGAGCGAAAGGGGAACGCGGACTATCTCCAACTCGTAGCTACACCGATTTGTTATGTTGGGCTTTTTTAAAGAATCCCGCTTTGTGTAGAAGGCGCTCTGTTTTTCGCGTATTTTACTGACTTTTACCCGAATGCTTGTGATGCATCACAACACAGGACTGCGGTGTTCTCGGAAGTGGGTGCCGCTCCCTATTTTAGAGCGCAGCTCTTAGGCGCCCGTTTCCGGCTTGAACGGCGTCGCCGTCGGCGTAACCAAGGTCATGTGACCCCCCAAGGTCACGTGGCCCCCTCCCCGAGGTCACGTGACCCCCCTCCCCCAAGGTCAGGGACCCCCCCAGAGCATATTAAAGAATGAAGGGAGGAGGAGGGGTCTACCCTCTCCTCAGTACCCTTCCCTCCTCCTCCTCAAGAGCTGCGCTCCAATTCGGCGTTACAGGGAGTTGTAAACGGCTTTCACTTTTTTTTAAGGTTTTTATTTATTTATTTTATTGTGCCAGCTGACCGCGGTTGATTGCAACTGACCAAGGGGAGACCTTTTTTTTTATTATTATTGTTGAAGGATTTAAGGGAACAAAAGTGCATGGATTTTATTTTTAGGATTGCTTTCGGTTTCTCCGCATTCGATCTCCCGTACCCGCGAGAGCTGGGGAAGGGAAGGGAGGGGGGGGGGGGGGGCAAGTCGAGGCAAGTGCCCCTTTTGCACCCCCCTCCCACCTCTCCACCCCCCCCCCCCCCCCCCCCTGCCGACGCCCATGCCTCCCGCGTGGCTCCGGCCCAAAGTCTCCACCCTGTCTTCCAGTGGGCCCGGTGTAACGCCGACTAGTTTTGACCAGAGGAAAATTGCCGACCCCCTCGCCGTGGGGAAGAGGCAGGGGCTGAAGTTTTAGATGCGGAGTATCTCTTGCTCGAGTCTATGTCCCGCGGCGTCGTAGTCCGCACTCACACTACGCATGCGCAACTCTCCTCCTTCCCTCTCTCCAACAGCTGCGCGTTACTCTCTCCGCTCTCTCTCTCTACCAGCTGTCTGCACTTCGCGTGCGTTCGCTTCTACTCACACCGCGCGCGCATGCGCAACTCTCCTCCTCTAGTCTCCTCTCCTTCAAGTGTGAATATAAGCAGCTGTAGCGCGCTGCGCGCGTTCAAGGGGAGGAAGTGGCCGAGTGGGCTAACGCGTCTCAGCTCGGAGCGTGGAGCGAAAGCTTGCGCTGGGAACCTCCTAGGTTCGATCCCCGCCGCCCCCGCCCGTTTCGATCTGGATGAGTTTCGTACTGGCACGCGTTCGTGTGATCACTACTGCGTGATGCACGTTAAAAACCCCAGGTAGCGGTTGTACCGCACTGGCCAAATTTCTCATCTACAGCTAAGAGACCGATTACCCGTTGAGGCGCATCTCCATCAAGGCTGTATAAACATAAAGAGCAAGCCAATTTTTTTTTTTTCTGCGCGCGTTCAGTTCACCCGCTGTTGACTCCACTTCACTCCGTTCTTCCGATGAAGTCTGATGGAAGCAACAGTCCCGTTAGTGGGTTGGCGCAAAGCAAGCGTCAGCACCACCCCACAAACTAACAGCAACGCTACGTCCACTGAAGACAAAGCTGCGCAGCGAAGGGCACGCGACGCTGAGCGCAAACGCTTGAAGCGAGCGGCAGACCCTGAACTACGGCAACGAGAAGCGGCGTCCATTCGTCAACGTCGAGCGGCGGATGCTGAACTACGACAACGTGAAGCAGCGGCGGTTCGAGAACGTCGGGCAGCAGAACCTGAGGTTGGGGAACGTGAAGTTCAACGTAAACGTACGAAGCGAGCGGCGGAACCCGACCTTCGAGAACGGGAAGCCGCGTTGGTTCGTGAACGTCGAGCAGCAGAACCTGAGGTTCGGGACCGTCAAGTTCAACAACGTTACTAACAACGTTACTAACAACGTTACTAACACCGTTAATAACACCGTTAATAACGATCCGCGATGCTCCGCATCACCCCATGGTTTTCCTCGGGAAGATGGTGTATTTTTTTTAGTTTCATCCTGGTGGTGATACCAGTGATACTGGTGATACCATAAAGTTATGTAATAACTCTATGAGTGATGCCGCACACCATGGAGAATAGAAGGGTAGGAGAGGGCATGACGTCAGCCGCGTAGCCTCCACAAGCCATGCTCCCTTGACGCCTCGCCAATTTCTCATTTTCCTCCTTACTCTCACCACATCACGTGACTGTAGCTAGCCTTCATCTAGCTATGGTGTACTAGAATACACCACAGCCTAGCCTTCGATGTGATAGAACCTACCGGACGGAGCGCGCGCAAGCCTGCAAGTATCCTCTTGCAATCAACCATCCATCTCGCACGTGACATGTCACGCGCACCAATCGCCAGACAGATCTGCGGTCACGCTGGGCACAAAATCGTTTAAACTTTTTATGACTAGGCTTCACCAATATTGCAACGTGCCCCCTCCTAGTACTTCTAACCTCCTTGCCGCACACCGCCTGATGTTAGTTACGAAATTGCAGAAAGCGGGGGGAGGGGGAATCGTACTGTTTACAGTGCAATTAAATGCAAAGGTGCATACTGTTGGTTTTTAATTTTTAAACTAGGTGCCGCAAGCTACCGCCCGTTATAAGGATTTTATTCATATAAGATCAAATAAGGATTTCGTTATCCATCAAGCAACGAAACGTAGCCAACTTAGCACGTAGCCGTAGCCACGCCATAGCCGTATCCGTAGCGTCCCGTCGAGGCGTCAGTCAACCCGGCGTGTGCGAGAGCGTTTGTTTGGATTTGTTTTCCAGCGGTTTTCGGTCTCGGTGGTTTTATCAGTTTCATCGAGGCCAGGAACGATTCGGCGTTCAGCCAGCAAACATGGGCTTCACTGTTCTCGGCTTACTAACTCAGTGTTACGAAGCCGGCAGAAGCTTGTGCTCCAACCTTGTCCTGTGTACCGCCAACACCGTGCGACCATACTGGACAGTTCAGAACATTTTTATCTTCGCTTTAGCGGTTTCTTGGATTGCGTACCTCTGGGAAACATACCTGTCCTATCGACAGGTAGGTGGGCCTCTAATTTTATGGCGCTATATGCTACAATTTGATCGCCGGGTGAGTCACGCAATCTCATGTGCGTTTCTTTTTTTTTTTTTTTTTTTGTTTACAGTACAAGTTATGCAAAAGTACCTCTCGTGTTCCTGCTGAAGTAAGTTCCATAACAGACCAGGAAACCTTCTCGAAGGCAAGGTTATACCAGCTGGACAAGTCCAAGTTCGGCTTCTACGCTGGGCTCTGGAATCAAGTGGAAACTACAGTGCGTATCTTTCATTTTTGTTTTTTTGTTTTCTTTCTTTCTTTTTTGTTTCGGAGATACGATTCTGTTCCATCTCCTGATGCGAAGATTTCGAGAGAGAAAAACAGCCCCCTCACTCTTTCTTTGTTCGTTTCAGCTCGTGTTGATCCTAGGTGGTTTCCCCTTTTTCTGGTCTCTCTGTGAGCAATGGGCAGCGAAAGCCGGTTTCAGTGGCAATGAGGTACAGTTATATTCCCAGTGCTGTGTTTACCGCCGCTATTTGTTACATCACTTCGTTTTCCCGTACCATTGGGTGGATACAGAAAGACCTTATCACTATTCGTTTGACATTACCACCTTAGTGTCATAGCACCAGAAGCCAACAAATGTGACAGGTTCATGGAACAAAATCAAAATCAAAATTCTTTATTTTTTTCTATTTGGAGAGGTTAAACAGAGAAAAAAGCAACAGAACAGTTGCTTGCCAGGTCTTCATCTCCCCTCAGTAGAAGCAGAGACAGCAAACAAAACAGTTAAAGGGCAACTCTGCTCAATTCTGAAAAATTTAGGCTTACATGTGATTCCATTTCACAAAGCACTACTAAACAGCTCTACGTCTTCGGATTCGCGAAATGTGGAATATTATTTGTGTAATTCTAATTTAAACATCAGCTGATACCGAAATTTCGGTTGCGTCAGGCAACATTGGTGTCGCATCGTCAGAGTCATGGCCACGTCACGTCGAACCGCGTGGTCTTGTGACGTTCGGGGGGGCGAGGGACAGGACACGCGACGTGGGCAGGTTGCTTCGCATGGCGTGGACGGTGATGGCCCGGGGGAGAGGGGGAAGGGGAGAAGACAAAAGAGGAGGGGGGGGGAGCGGAGAAACAGACCGATAGGCGCGCAGGGCAGCGCAAACTGGCGCATCCGCGTTACGGTGATCACGTGGACGCCGTTCAGCCAACACCGGGAGGAGAAACTCATGACGTCATCGTTCAATTTCTCTCTAAGAAGTAAAAACAAACAAAACGTAAGAATGATGCGGACATGCCTCTGACGTAGTGGCTCAACGTTGGCCACTCCAACTCCGTCGCATTGACTGCGCTGACGATTGCGCCTCGCGTCGCACGCTAGAGTTGGCCGATTTCGGCGAGTTGGCTCACTTGAAGGTTTGCTGGCCAGTTTATTAAATATATAGACGTAATTAGATCGTAATATTTGACATGGGGTCTTCCTATATGATACTGAAGAGGGCTACATAGTTTTCTAAATATCGAAAATGAAGCGGAGTTGCCCTTTAACATACAAAAAGAAATTGTATATGTAATTATTCGCTTGATATAAGACAAAAACCAATGAAAAATGAAAATCACCACACGTCATGCACCTACACTACCACTGAAGGCTGAGCCAAAAATGAAAGCAAATATTTGTTTACTGTAGACAATAGTTCTATGTTTAATTCCCTCAAACGATTTAAAAGACGTGGAAGAGTATTTTGCAACCTCTGATTTCCATAATTGGTTCTGGAAGCAGCATTGTGTTAAAGGGATGCTGCAACGGAATTCTAGCGCCTATTTTATTATCTAAATGTCAACCATGTTCTGGCCACACCACAGAGTCGGAGACACCATTTTTTTATTTATTTATTTTTGGTCGAAGTGACATTAAAACATTATTTAAAAGGAATAAACCGAATGTCATTACGTCACTCTGAATTTAAAAGCAGTGCCGCTCCACGAGAGTACGGCGCCAAGCTGCGTGCGCGAGAGCCCTGTCAGACCGGATTTCCTTTTCTCTGCCGGCCTATTCAACTCCTGCGGGGAGCGGGGAGGGGCAACTAAACGGTTAGGTTGTAACACATTGACGACACCAAGTGGCGGAGCCCATAATCACGCCAGCCCTTAAGCAGCTTTGCCCGTGCTTGGCCAGTTGATATCACATCATCCGTGATGCACCGCTCTCCGATGGCTGATCTTCGAGCGCTCGCCGGAATCAATCCTTTGGAACAAAAAAAATTGCTTCCATTCAAAATACAAGTGTGCGATTGTCATTAGCAGATAAAGTTGATCATGTTTAACTTATTTTTGAACGTGAGAGGTATATTTTAAGTTTCGATTCAGTATCCCTTTAACAGGTAACAGCAGTGTAGCAGAATGACATCATGTAGACATACCTATTCTTCATTTTGGCATCATCATCACACAGCTTGGAACATCATGTTATGGCCATGCTTCATTCACACCTAGCTGCTAAAATCAACTAAGTGTTACCCCTTGCATTTGCAGCTGGTGGTGACATCATTCTTCATTGTCGTCGGTTCCCTGATCTCCACAGTGGTGGATCTGCCATGGTCCATATACTACACATTTGTAATCGAGCAGAGACATGGCTTCAACAATCAGGTGACTGTTCTTTATTCTTGTTGAGGATTCATAGAATTAATCGTTGTATTGTAATGTGGCTTTAAATGTGCATTCTGTTTCAGACTGCAGGATTCTTTGCAAAAGACCGTGTGAAGAAGTTCTTCTTGATGCAAATGATCATTGTCCCGATTGTGGCCGGCATTGTTCAGATCATCAAGTTGGGTGGAGACTACTTCTTCATCTACCTCTGGTTCTTCACACTCGTGGTTTCCTTAGTAAGTTGAGCTAAACAGATTTTCAGAGATAGCTTCATGCTGTCGGTGCTTTTCTTTATTGCTGCAGTTGTATTTTATTTCATCCCCCGAATCCACGTAACATCAGGTGATTAAATAAGTTCAGGTGGTGGAGAGGGGAGAGCGTCATAGAGGGAGGGAGGTGTTATTGCAGGGGTTGTAGCATTCTTTCTTTTAAAGTTCAGGTGGTATTTGGTATGCATATAATAAGTTCAGGTTGTATTTGTTATATGCCTACAAAATTGGATCTTGGCTTAGGAATGCTCAGTACCTGAATGCTCTCCAAGACCGATTTCAAAACTGTTTATTTTGAAAATACAGGTGTCTCCCCTGGAGGTACACCACACGACTAAGCTTCCCAAACTTGAGGTCCACTTTGGTTGTTCAACACTTACATCCTTACTGTGAGGGTTCAGTCAAATGGTCCGCTATCGAGGCATACATTGTGCTAATGACTGGGGATCGGCGCATGCTGCTCACTCATAGAAACATGGAGGTAGGAAGAAGAAGATGCGACATACCGGCGCAAGCCAGCCAAACGAGAATAATTTCGAATGAAGCCGGAAGTGGAGGTCGCGGTCAGTAGGAGCACCCCCAAGGGCGCCCAAGTTCATCCAATGGCAATCAAGGTGCCCAAGTTTGTCCAATAGCGTCTTTTGGCTTTGTTCATTTTTGGACATCGTTGGGGGTGTGGCGTAGCCGGGAAATTTTTTCGGGGAGGGAGGGGCTGAGGTTGCTGGGATGTCCATGAATTGGGGTGCGGAGGGGGGGAGAGGGGGTCACAGTGCATGTGTATATTGTAAGCTCGGCTGGATTTTGGTGGGGGGCTGAAGCCCCATAAGCTCCCCCCTGGATACGCCACTGGTTGGTGGTGTGTCCGTCCAAACCGGAAGTCTTCCCTGGCTTCACCTCTGGTGGCGTGATGTCGCCTCCAGAAGCTTCCAGCCTCCATGATTAGATAGGACAGGCTGCGTACAGAAAAAGCACATCTTTATTTGAACAGACCTAGCAATCGAGTGCTCCTCACTCATGCGGCCTGGGCTGCGCTAGGGTCGCTGTATGTCCCTAGAGTACCAAAACACTTATGCTCAATGGTGGCTAAATTTTTTTTTTTTTTTTTTTTTTTTTTGTGGTTATTATGACAGTTATTGTGAATGGCGTTTTCAGAATTTCAAACTGACTCTGCGCGTGAAAGTTCTGGAAGAAAATCTTGTCAATATGAGCGTATAGAAAGCATAGTTTTGCATAAAAACAAACGGTTAAAGCCCTTTTTGTAGGTACTTTTACTGTAGCCAGGTACAGGATGACAGGACTGTGATGTTTTCATAAAACTTTATTTTACAAGGATTTGCGGCACAATTATTGTTTTTATACAACCATGTCTCATTGGTGATGTAAGGTAAGGTAAGTAAGCTTAGTAAGTTTATTTCCCATCAACACTGATGGCGGAGGTCGAGAAAAAAAGCTGTAAAGTACAGCTTGACAAGGTCCTCGACCTCCTACATAGGCGAAATAGCAGAGGCACAGGAAAAAAAGAAAAAGAAAAAAAGAACGCATACAAAAAAGATATTCCATACCAAAACATGGTTCAAGGTGAAACAAGAGGGCACTATACAAGCGCAAAATATGTACTAAGCAAACAAGGAATAAAAAAAATATATATTAAAAAAAAAATATTACATGAAAGATGAAGTCATTACTAATTTACCTATCTAAGCTTATAAAATATTCTCTAAGTTTTGGTACAGAGCTTCTTTGGGTTTGATTCTCTAAGGTAGCATGTCCTGACCTGGGTGTGTCCTAGTCCTAACTTCGATGGTAATTCGCAGAGCGTTCGCTTGGGAGATGGGGGTTGGCACCCCCGAAACCCCTTTTACCATACATCTTTTTTGGCACCAAAATGGCCAATCAGAGCTGAAATAGAACAGTCACAGCGGACGCTATCGAATGCGATACTCTGGTAACATCCAATGACTCTAGGCTGCGCCGGCATTTTTCTCTTCCACAAGCCCACACACCACATAACTTGTCATGGCCACTGCCCTTTCTGGTTGGTCTGAGGAGCAGTGCGAAGCAATGCCTGGTACACGATGGCCTTTATTCGGCGCATTCTTCACTTTGACTATAGTGCAGCCACCAGTTCGGCCTAAAACTGTTGTCTGGCATTACAAGATCGAAGTCTCTTTTTCAGTTTGCTTTTGTGCTTCCAGTACAGGCTTTGCTCCTCTCATCTTTTCCAGCTAATGTCGGTAGTCTATTCTGACTTCATTGCACCTCTCCTTGACAAGTTCACCCCGCTCCCTGAAGGCGACCTCAGAACCAAGATAGAGGAACTTGCTGCCAGCATTCACTTTCCACTCAAGAAGCTCTTCGTGGTCGAAGGTAAGCACTTTGCGGGGCTCTTGACTCAGAATCAAGTCTCAGGTCTCATGTTCTATGCATATAATAAGTTAGATTAACTGAACAGATATATAGAACTCAAAGAGGGAGTGAAAATCATTCCATTGTTCCTCGGGTAGCCGCAGTACTCGATGCAATCTTTTGTTTTGCGCTTCTTGTAACATGGCTCTGGTGTCGAAACCAAGACTAGCCGAATTTCTGTCCAGTGGAGGCTTAGTGCAGAAATGAATAAAATTTTGTGTGTAGTAATTAAAAATACATTTGTCACCACTACTTGTGAGCCTGAAGTAAATATATACCTTATTTAACGATCAAACGGCAGGTTCCCGTAATTTATTTGGCGTACAGAGACGGCTAATGTCCACCGTCTGCTCGGGTTTCCTGAACCTGGCAGAAATTCAGGCTTTTGTCATGCAACACCAGGGGTGCCCCTTTTTTAAAAGTACCTGTAAAGCCTCAAGTTTTGCGACCCAGAAGGTTTTCACTGATAACTGGATTGTGAGTTTGAGCCAGTTTTTAAGCTTCGTATTGTGGCAGGAATTTTCTTGGACTTGTTCATCTGCAGACTTTACAAATATGCAAGTCTTGCATGCTCTGAGAGTTTTACTCTGCCTATACCATGCAGTCTGGGCTGAACAAAGTATTTCGGGACACTGTAGGATAGAAAATAGCAGCACAGACAGCCAATGAAAAGGTCGGGATACGATGGTCAACACACACTGAAAGGCAGGTGCTCTGCCTGCCTTTCATTGTAGGCAGCAGACATGGCTGACTTTCTCCCACATCATGCTGTCAGTACAGCTAAAAATCTGAAACTTTTTATAGAACTGAGCTTTTTTGGGTTTCTTTACTGGTAGCCAGCTCCTCTCGCAGAATGAAATGAAGGTTGCAACAGCCATCTCGGAAGAAATTTATTAGGGCAGAGTTCCTTAGCCAGATAATGTCAAAGAACCGTGGTACTGCGCAGGAAGTCCCAAATTCACGAGACAGCCTGTAGATGCAGGATGTGGTAATGCGCGTCAGCTCAAAAGTGGAAAGAGAAATCCTCTTCGAGCAGAACATTGAGGAAACTGTAATAAAGGCAAAAATGGGCAAGGCCCAATAGGTTGCCACCATCTAATCTTTATACACGACAATGCAAGGTGCCGGGAAACTTTCATTTGCGTGGATACATGGAGGTTACTGTAAAAGGTTTTGTAGTTGTTTTTCTAATTTTGTTTACATTTTAACATAGACTGTGTTATATGGCTGGCACCTAACCGTATCTGGTTAGGTGCCAGCAACAAAAGTTGACAGGCCAACTGCCAGCCAAACGCTGATGCAGCACTCATCTCCTGATTTAAGACAACCCTGAGACAGGGGAAACAAGGAACGACAAACACGACGAAGTCTCAATAACACAGCTGCGAATTTATTTTTCTGACTCGTCCTTTTTATAGAACGACCGCCACCATCACTAGAACTTCCTACTGTCAACTCCATGATTTACGTCGGATGGGCAAGGCCCGACGACCCCGATTCGAAGAAACCAAACTGAACAAACTTACGAAACAATAGAACATCCACCGATACCCCCGGCACTCGCCTTAAGGCAGCCCCAACACACCAATTCAAAGAAACAACAAAAGCAAAGACACCACTTCACATCACCCGCACATAAAGTTTGAGGTCACCACAAGATAAGACCATCCACAACTCTTTGTCTAACGCAATGGATGGAATGCTTATGCGGTTACCAGCACTTGTTATCCGAACACTCTCCTTCAATAACCTTTTACAATGATCCTTTTCTTTGCTAACAGTTTTATAGTCCCCTCCCCTGACAAATAGCGAGTGCTCGGCGAGCGGATTCTTGTTCTTGTCGCGAAATGCGAACAATCTCTTTGTGTGCCGGTTGTAGATCTGGAGTCGCTGGGGCGCTCTTCAAATGGCTCCAACTGATTCGTGGGAAAGTGGCGAATCACGTCAAGCGGTTTGGAGTCGTTTTTCATGCAAACTTTTTCGGAGGAGTATGATCTGTAGTCCCTCGCAATATTTCAGTTCCGTTATGAACGTTCCCGTGGGGGAGTCATGGAGTTTTGCGGCTTTTTTTGTTTTGATTGCCGGGTGGGCTCTCTTGCTGTGCTTGCTTTCGTTTCTCTCGTCATGACTGACTCACCTGAGCATACTGCGGAGATGACATCGTTGCAGTTAATTTCAGGAGGTCCAATAAAACGCAGTGACAGCGATGAAGATACCAGCTTAGCTCCAGCTCGAGTGACAACGAGGCAGCTGTTCTCGGCGAAGTGTTTGCCGAGTCGTTTGCCTTGCCAGCAAAGAGGCTAAAGATATTGTGTTACGTCGAAGACGTTGTGCGCCCCTATTCGGATGAAGAGCTAAGTATGTCGTCTGTTCGTTGTGTGGTCTCTGTAAAGCAATTGGAATAATTAGAAGACAATACGCTAAATACTCTGCAGATGGAAGTCTCCTTCGGAGATGACGATCGCTTTGCGGCTACGTGTTTGGTATTGCTTAATTGCATCCTACGGCTCGTACAAGTACTTCTTGTTGTCTTGATCGAGTTTATATAACTGTAAGGAAAAATAAATTGTGTCTTAACGTCGGGGTCACCATTAATCAAGCGGTAAGCAATAAAAAAGTTTTGTCATAGCATGAAGTTCCGATCAGAACTTTATGCTTTCAGCAAGATAGCAATGAAAACCGAAACTGTTCAAAAGTGAGGGCAGACGCCCTGAAAGCGGTGGCGCTGGGAGCGTTATGCTCGATTTTTTCCGCAGTGCGTGCCACTGGGATGGATCACATGACGGATCGCTCACGGAGGCCTACTGCTCGACGACTGCAAGCAGAGAGCGCTCGCCATCTGCCAGGGGAAGGGTTTATTAGTTTCAGTCCACTCGGGGAAACAGCTGCCACATTCCCCAAGATGTTCTGCTACTTCCGAATTTGATGCGTTCGACAGTCCTGCGCTCCTGTGTTTCAAGATTCTATCATTTATGCACCGTCCCGTCTGCCCTACATAGGAAACACCACATGCCATCTGAATTTCGTATACCACAGCCTCTTCGCATCCAATTGACGCATCCCTATGTTTCTCCGTACAACCCTTCTGAACTGCCAAGAAGGGCGTCAACCTACTCAACTTAAAATCATTTTTGAACACCACTGTGCGGGTGATGTGAAGTGGTGTCTTTACTTTTGTTGTTTCTTCGAATTGGTGTGTTGGGGTAGCCCTCCGGCAAGTGTCAGAGGTGACGGTGGATGTTCTACTGTTCCATTGTTGTGGAAGTTTGTTTGGTTCGGTTCCTTCGAATCGGGGTTATTGGGCCTTGCCCATTCAACATGTATCGTGGGGTTGACAGTAGGAAGTTCTAGTGATGGTGGGAGTTGTTCTATAAAAAGAACGAGTCACAAAAACAAATTTGCAGCTGCATTATTGAGACTTCATTGTGTTTGTCCTTCTTGTTTCCACTGTCTCAGGGTTGTCTTAAATCATGAACTTAAACCAGTTCGCCTGTGCCTTATCACTCATTTCAGTAACTCATCTCCCGACTGATTGGATACCGGCGTCAGCCAACCCTCTTTTATAGGTGCCTCCGCGTTACCCTAGACGGGGGTAAAGCATCGTGTGTTCACACATACACGGCGCTTTGCTCCGTGAAACAAGTGCGCTCCAGGCTTCCCCAGAGAAAGGGTGCAAGAAGGAGCAACAGAAAAGCAGTGAAAGAAATGCCTACACTACTTTAGGTGTACTCTCGTACATCTAAAGCATTTGGTTCTCTTTTGCCGCAAGCTGGCGGCGCCAGGGGTCTGCTCGGTGCTGTAGAAACTCTAGATTGAACAGAGGGTCCATCTCGAACCAACGGGGAGCGTTTGTGATTTAATGGCGGACGCCTTCTGCGTAGATTGGTCGCAAGTGCGCAAGCACTGCGTAATTGCACGGCAAGTACGAAAGCAGGAGGGAAAGCGGAGACGCTTGGAGACGATCGAGACTTTTGCCACCTCCTCGCGGCTCACGTTGCAAACGTGGCTCGTAATTCCCATGACCCCGATCGAGCAATTGGAAACTCTGTGATCCAGGCTTTCTATATGGTGTTGTCACATTCCAAATGTCCCGTTCTCTGTACGCTCCGTCTACTGCATCTCACACTGCAGCAAGCGCTGTGAAGGTCGCATTTGCATAGCCACCGCAGAGGCATCGCACCCACAAGTAAAACAGAAACAGAGCGCCCATGCGCTTACCGTGCACGGCACAGGGCTGTGAGGCCAGCCGTGCGGACGGAGCCTTCGAAGTGTGCTCCCGGGCCCTCAACTGAGCGGATGACACTCTACAAGGAAAGCACCGTGTGCGGCGGTGCGCACATTAATCCTAGGCTGTCTACTTCTGTTGGCCCTTTGCACCATCTCCATAGTGACGCATCACATCTGCGTTACCACCGTTTTTGCCACGCTAGTGGGGCAATGGGTTGACTTTTAATGTAGTGATCCTCGCCTCTTCTGGGATTCCAAGTGTCTATGCACTTATTCACCAAAGTTCTGTTTCATTTCGTTTCAGGCTCTAAGAGGTCATCTCACAGCAACGCATATTTCTATGGCCTCTTCAAGGAGAAGAAGATTGTTCTGTTTGACACCCTCCTCGAGAAGGCCGAGCCCCTTGATAAAGAGAATGGAACTGTAACCAGCGAAGGTCTTGATGAGAAGGTGACCAATTGGATAGACCTTTGTGTATAAGTTCTGCAAAGACTTCTGATGGAGCAGGCCTGCTTCAGGATGTCAAGTATATGTTTGTTGCACATTCTTTTCAGCCACTGACTGAGAAGAAAGAGATGAAGAAAACCGGCTGCGATGACAACGAAGTCCTGGGTGTGCTTGCCCACGAGCTGGGTCACTGGAAATTGAATCATGTGCTGAAGAACTTTGTCATTGGCCAAGTAAGTAAGGTGGTTTTTTTTTGTGTGTGTGTGTGTTAGACAGTGTGTGCCAACTGTGTATATTTATCCGTCTTTCACCATGTGCCCCTTGTTTTGGACGCTATCGAGAGCTTCAGGGACTGTTAATGCATTGTCTGAAGCATGTTACGAATGTCTCTTATCTAGGCAGCCTGAAAGCCTCACTACGTTGCATGCCGTATGTGATGGTATGTTTGTGGGCTTAGTTCCTGGTTTTAGCTAAGTGCTACTTTTTTTTTTTTTTTTCAATATTTTGCAACAGTCAAATTTTACAATTCGGGTAGATGTTATAAGCAAGGGCAATATATTTCTGTGATCAATGCTATGCAATTATTATCTATTCATGGAATTTTACAATGCTGAAGTCACTGCAAAATATAAGTTTCAAATATATTTTCAAATAAAATTAAAAAAAGTTTTTAGAGGACTTCAGCTCGTTGTCAGATGCTGTATGCCATGACGATAGGATGAATCTGTCAAACGACAAAGTCCCAGCAGAACAGGCCCCGAAGGTGTTGCCTTTGCCGTATTTATCACGAGAGGCTGCGACCAGATGAGGTGCGGGCACTGACTAGCAAGCCTGCGGGGCCCGGGATAGTATGACACAATCAGAGTGATGACATAACAGTTATGATAACACAGTAAGAATGGTACTACACCCCCTCCTCCCCCCCCCCCCTTTTTTTCTTTTTTTTTTTTACGAAACAAATTAATACGAGCAACATAAGAAAGTAAAGCATCAAGCGGTGCAATATAAATGATGAAATAGCACGATGAAGTGTGCAATTCTGGAATTTTAGCTACAACCACAGGATTGAAGCTTTTTCACGATTCAACCAAACTTGCTACGTACGTGCCCAGTGTGCAGCTGTCCTCCAGAGTTGCCGAATCAGAATTGAGTGTTGAAAGCTCCTCCTGCACTTCAGATATTTCTTGCTTTCCACTCTCCTTTTCCTTAGGAACCTCTGGGGAAGTTTATGTGCCTCTTCTTTATACAGTATCAGGCCTTGATGGTTGAAAGCTAACTATACTTGTTGTCACCTCAAGAAAAAAGGATGTTTTGCGCATTGTTCGTACGCCGGGCGAAGTAGTACTTTCGAGGTTTGGTTGTCAGTCAAAGAAGCAATGCTTTTGGCGTTTGAAACGTATTCGTCTTGATTAGATAACACATATCTAATCTAAAATGCACCTACATATATCTTAATTCTTCACATAAAGGGGAAAATTAGTAAAGCTCCGCGTGGAAGCCGGACTTTTTTTACTAGAATTCTTGAGGTGAAAACGGGTATAGTGGCCTATAGTAGTGCAATAGTGCAAAAAACTTATGATAATAATTTTTTTTAATTTAAACTCAATGGCATACTAAATTCATATTTTTGTTTTTTTCAGGTTCACTTGTTCTTTTGCTTTATGATCTTTGCCATGCTGTACAAGGACACCAGGCTGTACGAGGCATTTGGTTTCTATGGAACACGACCTGTCTTTGTGGGGCTCATCTTGATATTCATGTACATCTTCTCTCCATACAACACGGTGAGCAGGCTGTCTTTTTTGTCTGTAGTATTTACAAAAGTTTGGGGCAATAGCCCTTTTCCTGTGAAGCACTGTAGCTAGTGGATTGATGCACTATATGTGGGAGTTTAGTTCAGGTTTGTTGGACCTGTCTTCTCTGAAACAAGGGGGAGGGGGGGGGGGTGCTAAAGGAGGCAGTGTACAGAAATGTCTTTACCTGGTGTTTCTCTGCTACAGTGCTAGTGCTTCTGTATGCAGATTTTGGTTTTTTGTTATTTCAAGATCCTTTGAGTTCACTCTTTGTGTGCGTGCAGTGCCTATAAAGGTCTCGTGAAAACACACTTGTTTACATGTAAACAATGAGTCTGTGTTGTATATTATGGTGCAGAGAAATTATTTTTCGTTTATTGTGCGCTGCTTTTTTAGATGCAGATAGAAAAGAATGGGCTGCAAAGAGCTTGGTTGGGTCATAAAGGAATGATATATCCAGGTATTTACTGGGTTAAAGGTACAGAGTAACTTGAGTACTTCTTGTGGAACCTTTGTTACCTCAATACTACTCAATTGCTTGAGAGACATTTTAGTGGCAATTACTTTAGCTTCATTCATACCGTTCACGTCAGGCTCCATGCTTGGCTTTTCCGCCTCTCTTGTGCAGCTGCTGGAGTTCCTGATGACTGCGCTGAGCCGCCACTTCGAGTTTGAGGCTGATGCCTTCGCTCGCAAGATGCACAGGGCCTCTTACCTGCGCAGTGCTCTGATCAAGCTGAACCGCGACAACCTCAGCTTCCCCGTGCACGACTGGCTCTACTCTGCGTGGCATCACTCGCACCCACCTGTGCTGGAACGGGTCAAGGCCCTCGGAAAGACAGACTGAGCGCGCGTCCACACATTTGCGGGACTTTCTCGACGCGGAGAAGCAGAAAGGTTAGCCAGACCAAGGCGGGCAAGCGCATGTTCATGTTCTTTCCTCGTTGTAAAGTCATTCTTTTTGTAACATGCCAGCATATTCTACCCATGGTAGTTTTGTAACTGTGAATGATTCTTTGCTCTTAGGTCCACCGAGCTTTCTCTGCTTCTGAATATGGCAGCTGGAAGTGGTTGCAAATGTCGGAAGAATTTGAGTTTTTCTGGGCATTCCCTCTTTTTACGGTTTTGGGGCTTCCTGTCGAGCCTGGGGGTTAGAACAATCTGTTTGTTCTTATTTGGAACATGGATAAAGACAAGTTTGTACCTAAAAAAAAGGGGTGCAATACATATAATAAAAAATGTACTGTATGCATCAGGTAGGGAACACAGTTTTTTTTTAAACTGTTGATGCATCGTCAGTTGGCTCTCATATGCAAACTTTTCTATACTAGTAAACATTCTGCACATTGAATGTTGTGTGGCATATTTGAGATTTATTCGGGCAGCATATATATTTGTTTCATAATGCTTGCCACATCTCTTGCACGCTTAATCAATCTCTAGTCGGGTTTCCATCACAGCCGGTGTAGTGTGGCATTTGAAAAATTATTCACTCTTTCACTGAACTAGGTGTCTTCAGTAGGGCTGCAGCAGATGATGTCATGTCCATCTTCAAATTAAATTCCCCTGGGTTGTGTTGGGAAATGTATGTATTATCTGCACTGTTCCCTGGTTGAGTTGGTTGCATAGCTTGTATTATAAAAGGCCCTAAAAACTCTAAGCCTTGGTAAGGCTCCAGTAAATAAACATTAATTTTGTGTGGGAATAATTTTTTTAATGATTTGCATCTGAAATTTGTCTGGATTTTTTAGGTGCTGAAAATAAATAAGGATGCCTTCAGTGTGTTGCTTCAGCTCCTTCGGCATTGTAAGCCTTATTTTTTCCTAGGTTTTTATGCGTATGCCAAGCGTGACGGCTCTTAGGGCTGCGACACTTCGTTTGATATTTTTGTTTCCTGTCGGAAGACTTTTCTAACACCTTTTGTACCTCCTAAAAAAATTGTTATTGAGAAAATAAATTTTTCTTGTGTACGATTCAATGTCATATGGAGCTGCAAGTTTTTGAGGTTACCCCATTTACACGACAGGACTCATCGTGGAAAGAGATGTTTGCTTAAACTTTGCAAAAGCATGGTTAGGCACTTTATCAAATTACAGCACCAACTGATAAACAACAGCAATGCATTTCTGATTGCAGGGGTGACATAGTTGACTTGTAGCAGCTTATTGCGTTTAGAGAGTTTTTTCTTTGGCTCTTCATCTATGTGTTCGACACTTATTCCAGCATGTCTACTATCAGGACTGTTTCTTCTTTAGAGTGGGAGCTAACTAGGTTCCCGCTTTACATTGGGAAAGAATGTGCCTACAACCTGCCGGCATGCTTGGGGACAAGCCAGTGGCGTCGGAATGGGGGAGGGGGGGAGAGAGGGGGGGGGAGCGACTGCTCCCCGAGACAGATCAGAAATTTATTGGAACCAATAGGGGGCGCAAAATTGCCGTCGGCCCTCGCCATAACCACCGTAGCCGCCCCATCTCCTGAATAGTTCCGACGCCACTGGGACAAGCAGACAGAATCGCTATGCGTTACATAACATATCTAAAACAGAGCTGCCGCAAGCAATATTTACAGGTGTATGCCTGCATTTGTGGCTTTAAATGCTATTCTCAAAATGTAGTTATGTTTAAAGGGGTTAGGAGGCCAAAATTATTATAAAATATATAAGAAAAAAAATTAAAAAGAAAGATTATTCTTGAAATTGAATGCTCATAGGCTACCTAGTGTATATACATCAAGTTTCGTGATTTTTAGTGCTCTTGTAATTGCAAAAATCAATTTAGGAATGTTGATGATCTTTATCTGGCAACCGGGCAACACTGCCCAAGTGAGTCACACCATGGTACTCGTCATACTCATTCTAGGCGCCCCCGTACCTGTCGAAGCTCGCCGCGCGTTGCACTCTGGGAACTAGTTGGCCAGGGAGGAGGGTGGCATGGTTTCGATTTCGATCGAAGCGTCGACAAGAGATTGTTTTCTGGTCCCGAGAGCGTCATTTGTGGTCTCTAAACTAACCTAAATGGCCAGACCTCGAAGCTTTAGCACAAGCCTGAGACGTATAGCTTGTCTTAACACATGCTTGTTGTATTTTTGTACTTGAGCCTTCCTGTTAGCGTTCCAATCGAGGTTTGTGGACGAGCCAGTGATGGGAATCTCGACGCTGCGAAGCTCGGGGATCTTGCTTGTGTGCGAATCAACAAGCTGTAGCAACCAGTAAGTACGCATACGTCGGGCTCGCGCCTTTACATTAGTGTTGTTGGTCAGGAAGTTTGTTTGTTTCGTGCGTCCTTTGACGAAATATTACTTTTTGCAATTACTGTTTTTCTTAATATGCCTGAGTATGCGAGGTAAAACTCGGAGGCGCCATTGAAAAGCTCAATTTTAACACACTTCTTATCTCTCATCTGTACTGACCCGCAGCACTGCACGAAGTGAAGTCCCCACCCGTTTGCATTCCACTAATATTCAACATCGCGTATGCGCATAAAGTTATCCTGCAATCATATAGGCAAATTCGCACATACAGACCGTTTTAAGAAAGCAAAAGTCGAGCACTTGTGTGAAGAATGTCGCACCGTTCGCCGGACGGGCATGAACCCCTATGAGCACCGCATAGGGGTTCATGCCCGTCCGGCGCCCGGTGCGACATTCTTCACACAAGTGCTCGAACGAATTCAAAGCGCGTTTGACGGTTGCTAATGGCCATAATATTTGTTATGCGTTTGTTTTCTTCCTGCCTGAGTGTGCCGAGATAATTTCAGACACACCGTTCAGGCACAGATCTTGGGCGTCAGTAAAAGCTCGTGCAAAAAGGCTTAGCGAGGAGTAGGAGATGCTCGTTCGTAGCTAGCCGATCTCAGCGTTTGCGAAAAGTTAATCTTCTATCAGCATAAAATTTGAGTGAGAGATATATGATGACACGAGGAAGACATCATAGTAACTTTTGTGCAGTAGTGAGGTCGAATTTATTGCGTTTCCTTAAAAGTTCATGCGTAAACGCTGGGCTCAACTTTGATACCCTGTGAGGATGCGGCTTGCTTTTCGCCCAATGAAGTAACAAGAAACGGACGTTTGGCAAACAAAATATGTGTAAGGCTCCAGATGAACAAATTTCAGTTCTAGTTCACTGGTACTAGACGGGATTATTGAAACTGAGCTCAAACATGCACTCGTAGGGTGAGGTGACTAAGCCACTACTTACTACGTTCGCATACGCACGCACAATATCCGGTGTTTCGGCAACCAAGGAAAGTGCCCCGGTCTTCGTTTTGTATCGCTCCAGAATGAGTGTATTGTGCGTTCGTGAAAAGTCAGATAATCGAAAACGCAAGCAGCGCGTTCGGTCGCGGCGTGATAGCATGAGATGAAGCTGCTCAGTCGAAACCGAAACTGAGTGGCCAACTAGTTCCCAGAGTGCACTGCGTGGTATTTCGTCGCGATGGGGCGCGTCGGTTTTGGAAGTAGTCCATTGCACACACGCGAATCGGCTACTCCAATGTACGAGGGGGGACCCAAAAGAAACCGAACTAATTCTGTTTTAAGCAGAGCTTTTGCAGTACCGCGTTTTGCCGCCAGGAGTTGATAGAGCGAACATTGCTGAGTCATTAGGCCTAATTCCGTCCTCGAAGAAGGTTAGGACTAGTTGCGGCTGGGTTTATAGTGACAAGTGTTTCGTGTGAGCGTCGTTTTTGCAGTCTGATTTCTGTGAACAGCGTGCGGCGGTTAAATTCTGTTTTTCGCTTGGAAAAAGTGGAACAAAAACTATTGCACTGTTAAAAGCGGCGTACCAGGACGATTCCATGGGGAAAACTCAAGTGTTTGAGTGGTTTTCCCGTTTGGCGACATGTCAATTGATGACAAACCTCGTTCCGGTCGTCCTTCCACGGCACGAACACATGAAAACGTTGAAAAAATTCGTGCAATCATCAACGAAGATCGACGACGGACCATTGACGAAATTGTGGAGCTGTCGGGAGTGAGTTGGAGTTCATTGCAGCGAATTCTGACAGAAGATTTGGGAATGAAAAGGGTGGCTGCCAAATTCGTGCCACGACTGCTGACTGCTGAACAAAAGCAAGGTCGCATGGAAGCATGCTGTGCTTTGAAAGAAGAGTCCGAAGTGGCCCGAACTTTTTTTCAAAAGTTATTACAGGTGACGAAACTTGGTGCTATGGTTACGATCCTGAATCAAAGCAACAATCAAGCCAGTGGAAGACTTCAGGTTCGCCTCGCCCCAAGAAAGCTCGTCAGGTGAAATGAAACATCAAAACAATGCTGATTAGTTTTTTCGATGTGAAAGGAGTCGTCCATTCAGAGTTTGTTCCGCAGGGTCAGACAGTTAATTAACCAGGCTTTCTACTTGGAGGTTTTGAAAAGATTGCGCAACAGTGTGCGGCGGAAGCGGCCCGATTTGTGGAAGTCGGGTGACTGGTTTTTCCATCATGACAATGCCCCGGCTCACACTGCCTTGTCTGTACGACAATTGACCTTTTTCAGAGATTTCTGGGCGCATGCGCCGACTCTGAGAGAGAGGGAGGAAAGGGAAAGGCGCCATTTTTGGTGGCTCTCTCGTCCGCTCGGTCGCACAGACAGTGCTGGTTCGGCTTGACTCCTCCGCTATTCTCGCGGCTTGGTTTCAAAGTCGTCGCGCCTCACCACCGCGCAGCTGTACGTTGAACAAATAAAAGCAAAAATAGTTCAAATGGAAGCCTTTATGGAGTTTCAGCAGCCTTTGTGGGGGGTGCACAAAAAGACTCGATGTCAAACACCCCGCCCTTTTTGCCCTGCTTTCAAAAGCCTATAGGACGCGAATCCCCCGTGTCAGCTGGCTGGGTCATCAATGTGGCGGCGGGACATTCTGATTTTAACTAATACAGTAAATCTAAACATGATGGTAAACCAGAAACTGGGACAGGAAAACGAAAGCGCAAAAGGAGGCAGAACATGAACAGGCAACGTCTCTTGAGACGATGCCTGTTCTTTTTTTGCGTTTTCCTTTTCCTACACCAGTCTCAGGTTTAATGCTTGAAAATGAGCGTGTTGGTGAATAGATACGAATACATGAAAGGGTAAAAGATCAAGGACACAGGAATTCTCAAAGAAGTCCTGTTTCCGTCCCTGTCCTCGATGTTCTATCATGTATTCGTATATCAAGTTTACCACCATGTTCAACTTACAACAGCTCGCCTACACTCTGACTCTTTGTCCGTTAATAGAAAATGTGCCCGCGAGGTTGTGTGACGTAATCATGCCGTACATGGTATTCAAGTAAAGAATAACATGATAAATCTTTCCGTCCTTCAGGCGTGCGCTATAGACATTCGCGTCTTACCATGTTAAAAGAGAAGAAAAATCACATAAAAATATCAGTCGCTGGCAAAACATTTAAAGCGTGCAAGACGAATTTAAGCCTTTCGGAGACAGAACCCTGATGGAATGCCGTGGCAACCAACCGTGAACTCCTTTGTTTGCCGGGCTCACTTTGTCGAAGGTTCGTAAACGTGCTGAATTTAAAGAGAGATTTTTCTAACATGCCGTTCCTTTCTTTTTGTTCGTGCAGGCGAGCCTTCGCGATATCAGGACCGCCCGAATTTCACACCGCCCGAGTTTGTTTACACAATCCCGAATACGGTGATGCTCGTGCGTTCGTGCGGTACACAGGACGGCGAAGTGACGGACGCAATAAGCTCGAATAACTTAAGCGATCGAGGGGAGAAATATCAGCTGCTTGTAGTGGCCGGGCCTTATAAACGGAGCTCACAAGCTCCGCACAGGGTAGATGGTTGGGGCGGTATCGAAACTGGTCACCATTACTTTCCTTACATGACACTCTGCGACTCTTCCTTGAAAGCAGACCCCTCTTTAAGTAGCCAATTGCAAGACGCGATACCGAAGTGACGATTAAGTGGCTCCGAGTCGATGGTAGGAACTGATGGAGCGTCGGATGTCTACGCACCCTTGAAGGTATAAAAACGAACAA